TCCGCGAGGAAGCCCCCGCTACACTCCAAGCTACCCCTCGTTCAAAGTTCGTCAAGCGAGCCGTCAATGACTGACAGGTGAAGGACAAGGCAAGGAGAGGCAGGCAAGCGGCGACCACGGCTGCTGACCCGCATGAAGCGATGCATCCAACTGCAGCGGAGGTTGCGTCTTCTTGTGTAGCCCAGGCCCCATCCAGGCCCCGTCATGTCAGTTCTCTTCAGTCCAGTCTGTTGTACCCCGCCGTCACGCGACCACGCGGCCCGCCTCACGCTCTCGGCTCTAGGCAGGACCGTTCTAGATGTCTGAGGTATCATGATGAAGAAGCATGAGTTGGGCCATCAGAAGAAGATGACCTGGTTTGAGTTGCGTTGGTTGTTGGTTCGTATTTCGTAAACCTGGTTGAGGATATGTCGTGAGATGGATGAGGCAGGTGGGGGGCAGGGAAGAAAGATGAGGGGTGAAAATGGGAGGAAATGGTTTCTACTACTGTGTATTAGTTGCTCCAGCAGGGGTTTTCTCGCGGATGCAGGCTCAGCGTTGCTAGCTCCGTGTAGACCCAGAGCTTGGTATCCATCTCATGGAGATCCATGGATCCTTGCGGGCTTTTTTTTTCCTTTTGGTTGCTTCTGTGAAGGCAAAGTGAGTGAAGTTGCTTTCTGTATCTTCCCCTTGCGTTGCTCATCTTCACGTGGCCGCCTCAAAGTAAAGTGAGGTAGGTAGTACTGTAAGTAGCTGTCGTGAGCTGCATGATACGGGCCAGGTATGATATTACACATTACTACACAGTAGGTTAGCCCAGAGACACGGGCTGCATCTTTTGGTCAGACTCGCAGCTGAGGTTTTCCAGGTTTCCGGGGCTCCCAATTCCAAACGAATGCCACTCACCTCACTGAACGAGAGACGGGAAGTGAGAGAAATGTGCCGCTGCTCATGGCAATAAAATCCACACGCGCAACACGCTCCGTTTTCGTAAAAGTACACATCGCTGCCTTCCCCGTCGACGGTTCCCCCTCACATGCGCCTCTCTCTCTCTCTCTCCTCTTCCCGTCCTCTCTCTCACTCTCATCCTCACCCTTATTACTCACTCACTCACTCACTCGCACCTCAGCTTACTCTCCCCGAATTCCAGTAGGCCACGAACCTACGGGATACACTGAACCACTTCCATCTCTCTGTCTCTCCGTGTCTCGCCTTTCCGTCACTCAGCCAGCCGTTCGCGTCTTTTGGTACTTTTTGCGTATATAATCCATCCTGCCCCGGCACTTCCCTCCCATCCCCACAGACAGAAAACCAAAGAAAAAAGAGCGAAACGAATCCTTTCAGATACAGACACACACACATACGCACGTTTCGTACCGAGAGAAAAAAGCAACGAGGCAAATGTCGGTTGCCGACATCCGCGGAAATCCCTCTGCACAGCGCCTACTTTGAGCACGAGATACCACCCAACCATCCGCTCTCTTTTCTCTCACTACCTTACCTCACCTTACTCTACCCTTTTTCGCCCCCAGCTCCCCTCCCCTTCGATCAGAAACTTCGGCTTCGCGCCTCCCGCTGCCGCCATGGCTACCAACGCTGACATCATCACGCTTGACAACTTTGAGGAGCTGCTGCCAAGATGGGACCCCGCAGGCTCCAATCACCTATATGCGATTGTTGATATGGGCAGGTCAGTACCTAAGCTTTTTCTCTTTGTCTTTGGTGCATCTATCCGTACATATTCGTTTACGTCAAGAATTTCTTTTTCTGCTTTTTTTGTTCCGTCCGGATCGCCCTCCAGGATTGCCTCGCCGAGAGGCAAAACCTGGGGAAAGCCTGTCTGCCTGTCTGCCTGTCTGCCTGTCTGCCTGTCTGTCTGCGCCTGTACTTTTAAGCCTCAATTCTCAACGAGCAAACTACTCTTTCTACTTGACACCATGACGGCGGACAACGCCAGCCGAACCATGTCTTTAGCTCCCGCTCCCCTAAACATAATGCACCTTTAAAAGAACAATAGATCGGTCTCAAATACTGACCCGAGCCCCGGCCCCACCATACAGCAACGGCATCCGCTTCTCCATCTCGGACCTCACCCCGCCCCAAACCCGCCTCCTCCGGCCCATCTACCGCGAACGCGCCGGCATCTCCCTCTTCGACGCCCTCAACTCCGCCTCCACCGCCGCCTCCGAACCTCTCACCTTCCCACCCGAGACCATCACTCAAGTCGCAAAGACCCTAGCCCGCTTCCGCCGCATCGCCGTCTCCTATGGCGTCCCGCCCGTCCACTTCTCCGTCCTCGCCACAGAGGCCATGCGCCGCGCCGCAAACGCCCGCGACATGCTGACCGCCATCCGCGAGGCCGCCGACATTGGTGTCCACGTTCTCGCCCCCGAGGTCGAGACCCTCTTTGGCGCCGTCATGGGCTCGCGATCTGCCTTTGTCGACGTCGCGCGCGGCGGGCTGTTCCTTGACCTCGGCGGGGGCTCCGTGCAGATGACCTGGGTCGACACCCGGCTGCCGGACTACGAGGTCGCCGCCGCCAAGGCGGGCGAGAGCATGCCGTTTGGCGCCGCAAGGCTCATTCGTATCCTCGAGGGGCAGTCGGAGGAAGTACGCACGCAGGAGAAGGAGAAGCTTAACGCAAGCATGCAGGGCGCTTTTGCGAAGCTGTGCGCCAAATTCCCCGCGCTCGCGCAGGCAAAGGCGGACCATGAGGCCGCTAACTCCTCCTCCTCCTCAGCAGCCACCACGAACGGCAGCACCGTGGTACCCGGCGGCATCGACGCCTACCTCTGCGGCGGCGGCTTCCGTGGCTACGGTTGCATGCTTCAGCACAACGACCCTATCCAGCCGTACCCGATCCCCTCGGTGGGCACCTACACGGTGACGGGCGACTTCTTCAAGCAGACGGACAAGATGCGGCGCGTCAACCGCGAGCACGAGGGCAAGATCTACGGCATGTCGAAGCGCAGGCGGCAGCAATTCCCCGCCATCATCGAGGTCGTCGAGGCCTTTATCCGCACCGTCCCGCACCTGCGCACCGTCACCTTCTGCGGCGGCTCCAACCGCGACGGCGCGCTGCTGATGAAGCTGCCCAAGAGCGTAAGGGAGAGTAACCCGCTTGAGGCGCTCGCCGGCTTTCCCATCCAGGGCCACGAGGAGAGCGGGGGCGCAGGAAGCAGCGGGGACTTGGCTGTCGCGCAGGCGATTCTGCGGACCCTGTACGGCGCCGTGCCGAAGAATGTGGACGTCTCGCGGACGCCGACGGTGTTCTCGCTGGGTCTGGGACCGCTTTTTGCGAGGCAGGTTTGGATTCACCAGGGCGAGGACGACGATGCAAACGCTTCGTATGCGTTGCATGAGGCTGTCACGCGGGACCCCAGCGCCCCTGGGCTGACGCACCTCGCGAGAGCGGTGCTGGGTTTGACTGTGTGCGCGAGGTGGGGGTCGAATTTGGGCCCAATTGATGCGCAGCTTTACGGGAACCTGAGGGGTCTCGTCGCGGAGGCGAAGTTGGAGAGCGTGTTCTGGGCCGAGTATCTTGGTGCCGTGGCGGCTGTCATGGTTGACCTCGTGCCCGCGTGGCCTACTAGTGTCGAGGAGCTCGAGTCGACTTTGAGGTATGTGCTTTTCGATTTTCCCTGAGTGACTCGAATCCTGGAGATAGATGTCGAGAGCTATCGACTCCTGCGTGAAAGCAGCACTGACAGAAACCACACAGATTCGAAGCTACGCAGACGTCGGACCCCGAGAAGAAGAGGGCGAGCATCGATTTGACTGTCCACGTAGCCCCCGGCGCGGCGGTCGGCATCGACCCCGCGGACGTCATGGGCCGGTTGGCGAATGTTGGCAAGAAGCGCAAGGATGGGACCAAGCCGGATAAGAAGGTTTCGGTCAAGATTGTGGAAATGAAGTAGTCGTAGCTAATAGTGCTCTATGTGTTTTTGGGTTGTTTTTTTGACGAGTCGACGAATCTTATGAAAGATACCCCCCTCACTTCCCTCCGTCACTTACCAAGTCCGAACCTGGCTTTACTTTTCTACTACTAGTGATGTGTCTGTGATTATGCGAGAATCAACCATGCCTTGCTTTCCGGTGTCAACGACACAGCTGTGTTTGTATTACTTTTGATTTAACAATAACGTCTGAACTAGACGCCAGAAGTTCAGTAGGTGAATCCATATCTGATATTGAATTCTCTCAGATCAAGATGGCGTCTATTACATGTTCGATAGCTATGACCACATCATTTATGGCTTGTTATATTGAGGATGTTCATTTACGAGTACGTAAATAACGACTGTTTTTACTCGATAAGAACGACTGAAAGTAATACACCTTATTTGAAATTAAAGCTCTAATAGTTTCCAATAAACAGTGTACTTATCTTCAATATCCACGTATCTCGCTCATGTGATGTGATTCGTAAACGAATACGTCAACGAAGACTGCTTACGCTTCAAAGAGAGTGTTGTGTTCGGTTACACGGACGCACTACACTCAGGTACACAGGAGGCTCTTTCCCTTCAGTCAGCACCGCCAGGATCAAAACCTTGTCCCGAACGTCGCACTCGAGAAGGGTAGTATCTACCACAGTGCGGCTGCATCGTTAGTAGTCCCGATCGAGAGCATTATTCAATAGGCTTAGACTCCAGTACCTCTGTCCGAGAGTCTTCGAGATCATGACATGGTCTCCCACAGGCTGTGACTCTCCTTCACGTTCGCTCTGGGCCAGACGAATGTTTGCCTTGACAAAGCACTGAGTCTATAGCTCGGGCTCCTCACTCTCTTGAAGGGCCACAGGACACCTTTTCGTGACCTGTAAGTCATTGACCTGCCTCTTTCATGCTTTGACTAACTGGAGAGAAACAAACGCAGGCACAATGACACATCTTTAAGGTGCTTCGGTTACCTGCAACATGCAAAATATGACATGAACATGGTGATGGTAGTGGATTTGTGTTGATCTATATCTGATGATTCGATCCAATTACCCAAGAAGCAAAAACGACGCCATGACCCATCACAAACTTGACTTAAAATGAAGGCTTCTCAAATTCTCAACATTAAACCGCGCTCTTTTCAACAATCTCCCTCCACAAAACTTACTCCGAAGCCTTGACCGCCGGCGTAAGGTGTACCATCAATGGCGGCTTGTTGTAGAGGATGTAGACGTCGTGGTCGATCCAGCCCTTGCTCTGCGCGGCCAGCTGCAGGTCAAAGTTCCAGATGACCTTGGCGAGGATCATTTTCATCTCGGCGTAGGCGAGGTTCATGCCCAGGCAGTTACGGGGCCCGATGTGGAAGGGCTTTAGGGCTTCGAGGTGGTCGTCGGCGAAGACCGGGTCGCCGAGCCAGCGCTCCGGGTGGAACTCGAAGGGTTTGGAGAAAATCTTGTCGTTGTGGTAGAGGGCCCAGTGGGTGACGCCGATTGTGGTCTAAAGGTTATTGCGTTAGCAAAGGTGAAAAGATGGGAAGTGGAGGATGAGATCGCACGTTTCCAGGGATCCATTGTCCGAGAATTTCTTGTCCGGCAGGCGGCGTGATACGCGGCAGAGCGACGGGAACGGGAGGGTACGATCGCAGGGTCTCTTCGAGGACGGCGTGGAGGTACTCGAGCTTGGCGGTACTGAGGAGGTCAATCTCATCCTCGTTCTGGAACGAGGTCCTGATCTCCTTCTGGAGCTTGGCCAGCTTGTCGGGGTTGGTCAGGAGGAGGTAGGTGCAGCCTGAGAGAGCCGTCGCAGTCGTCTCGGACCCGGCGATGATGAGAACGTTTGCGTTTTCGTACATTTCCGGCAGGTTCATTGGCTGTGGACGCCTTGTCAGTATTCGAGAATTCGTCAAGATAGAGGTTCTGCCTCTCATAGTGGGTGTGGCCGTAGAGTAGACAAGTGTAGAACGGTTTCTTACCTGAGCTCCCTTCTTGAGCATGGTCTCCGCAAAGTCGGGTCGCGGCGTGCCGAGAGATATTCTCTGATCGACCTTTTCACGGACGAACAGCCTGTGAGACATGCCCTTCTTCATGACTTCCTTGGGGATGAAGGCCTTGAGGATAGGTTCAAGGACCTTGAAGCTTCTGGTAATGTTGACCATGCAAATCATTTTGATGTTCTGGAAGATCACCTTGACCCAGGGGTGGTAGTCAGACTTGTCGAGGCACCCAAACGACTGTCCAAAAGCAAGGTCGCCGATAATGTCAAATGTGGTATAATTGTACCACGCCACGACGTCAACAGGGCCCTTGCTGCAGATGCCGTGGAGCCGCTCGATAAGAAGGTCAATGTAGCTCTTGATGATGGGCTGCTGCTCCTGCATGCTCTTGGCGGAGAAGCCGTTGGACAGAATGCGGCGGTAGCGGGAATGGTCCTCACGGTTGGCCGAGATGATGTCCATGTGGTTCTTGTCGATAAAGTCCGGGTCTTTGGCGTTCTCCTCGGCCTTGCCCTTGCGGTGACCCATGATCTCCTTCATGGCGTCCGGATGCTGGAAGGAGAGCTCATTAGGCGAGACGCGGATGATTTCGGCGTCGTAGTATTGGTGGAGGGCGAGGATTTCCTTGTGCGTTTGGCCGCGGGCGCCCATCAATGCGTAGGGGATGCGAGTGGCGGCCCATAGCTTGGGTCCTGGATATTTGCAGAGAGGGTGGAATGTCACGTTGTAGATGATTTGAAGAAGGAGGCCGATGACGACCTGGAAGGGTGTTAGGAGTTACTTTAATCATGCGGAGGTAGGAGAGAACGGATCATGATATATGTGTGCTCAAGGGGATGCAGACTTACAAGTGAAATTGCTACCAGAGGCCATAGAATAAGAGGCGAGAGCCTTGTGCTCCCGGTCTGTATTTCTGACAACATCTTGGTTGTTTTGTTTTTTGGGCTGAGGATTTAGACGAAAAGATAAGTTGGCATATGAACAGTCGAGAATGGCCTTAGTTCCTGGCCACTGAAACTTTGTATGGCTTCTGAGAGAAGATGAGTCAAGTGCGGTGATGATAGAGTCTTGTCAAAGTCTCAAACATGGAGGGCACTGGAGAATTCTTATATGCCACTCGGACCGTCTTCGTCGACATAAACTTCAGGTATAGGAGTCCGACATGACAGTATAGCCCTCAAATCCCTACAGATTACAACGTCACAATGTTTACCATACACTCACCGGTCATTGGCAACGCATGGTACCCGCAGGCCAGACCATCGGCAGGCAAAACTCCAAACAACGCGCAGGTCCTTTTTTTTTCCCTTTCCCCTCCCCACGCGGAGCCGTCAAGACACCGTCTTGCATAAATGCAACGAGACGCACGATGGACAATGATGAATGGACAACTTCCGCGTCTGTCAGTACGAGAGACGACCAACTTCGCTACACACTCACACGAATGCGAGGCAGGCTAATATCAGCGCCAACGACTACGGCCCGCCGCGCGTCATAGTTCCCCGGCATGGGTGATCGACTAGGCCCATCTACAATCTACCACTAGGAAGCCAACCTTACTCGTCGGAACTTGCTATTCGTCCGCTCTTTCTGAAGAGGAGGAGTCGTAGAGGCTTGAGGCTTGCAGGCGCCATGTCGTTCCCGCCCGGAAACCTGTCGGCAGTCGACATGTTGCAGGGAGGGGCGGGTGAGGTACGGGTATGCCTGATCCCTCCCGCATCGTGTTGCCCCCATGGTTTTACGATGAGTGTCATGGCAAGTCGTCTCCTTCTGGAGAAGGTAGTTCGGCTCCGAGACTCGTAAACTCTATGACACTGAGAATTCTGGGGCACTGGGGCTCAAGTTGAGTTACTGGAGTATATGGACTGTGGGCCACCGGGTTCATCTTGGCACGGGGATCTGGACCGGCAGTGTTTGCCGGGGTATGAAGTCAGTCTAAGATGTTAGTTCAACTGTCCAAGAGCTTTTTGAAGCACTGACAGGTTTTTTTTTTCCTCTCTTGACACACAGCGGTACGGATACGCACGACGTTGCCGTGCTTCGACGTTGGACGTTGCACCGCAGTGGCGTTTCCATTGTTCCAAGAGTGCAAAGATTGTCTCAGAAGGCACACCACGCGCAGTCCCGCCTATGCACGTCGATGCTCTCTGGTTCGAACGGGCAGATGAGCGGACATATGGTGTTGTCCCGGGCCCCGAGAAGCGGTATCCCTGCTACTCGCCCGTTTTCGCTCTTCGTCTATTGTCCGCGTCTTGGCCCGCCTCAAGTCCGCAACGGGCGGGGATGAACTTGCAAACCATGGCACCGTGACACAAGAGGCGGGTATTCTCTTTGGAGATTTTGGTGGGGTTGGGGGCCAAAAACCTGCCGAAGACCTCGCGGTCCCCCGACTTTTTTCAGTCCTTTGGTCTCTGGGACTCCGCCGTTTCTTTTTGCTGCGCCGCCGGACAACGGCGAGGGCACGGCTGCTTTTTGCTTACTGTTACGGCGCCGGCTTCTGATGCCTTCTCCGGTGTGATTGTACAGTCAGATGTCATCGGATGGCGGACAGCGGATGTGACGAACGCTGATCTGCTGATATTCTTATTTCCTCCGAACCGGTGGAGGGCAGCTAAAACTCCGTGCTATCGGCGGAATATTAGGAAAAGACGACCGTTCCTGACACTTTGCGCGATGGTGGGTGGTCGCGTATTGTTCCCCCTCGCCTACGTGAGGGTGTGGGAAGGTTGGATGGGCAGTGAGTGGCCCGATCATTGGGCTCAACACCGGTAGATTCGTTTCATCTGCCACGGAACTCTCAAAGTCGGCCGAACTACCCACATCAGTGTTCAGTGCTCTTGTATGAAGTTCTGCCCTGTCAACATACTTGACGCCGAAGAACCATTCCTGACTGGAAGTCACAATGTGGTACGGCGACGAGAAATGTAAGCAGCTGAAGCGAACGACACCGAATTCGCGGTGAGTTTCTACCTCACATTATCCATGGAGGACGCCTGAACTATTCGATAGAGTACCAAAATATCGGGTGGCATCAATGGCGAATCCAGCGCTTCACAATACAACTTGACGGCTGCCGGCATAAACGCAGTCAGCAAGCTAAAGCTCTCACACAACCTGGCAATATCTTGCCGAAGGGCTTCTTCTACCTTCTTTTGGGCAGGAATTCGCAAGTGACGTGCGAGCGAGCGAGGGTGTCTACGATAACCGACACGATGCAAGATGACAGTGTCAGCCTGCCTTACCTAGACCGGTAATCGCCCATCTTGCATCGGCCCTGGCGCAAGTCGGCTCCGAATGATACCCCCACCTGCCAGCACGGCGACGCAAGTGCGGCTTGAAGCCAGCTTGATTTGATGAGATATAACATGACCTGACTATGACGATGCCCTACATATCGCGATGTGTCTGCCGCCCTTCTGCGAAGCGCTCGACTTATTTTATAGGCTTGGCGATTCCCACTTCTGTTGCGCAAAAAATGTCCCGATCAAAACCGTTATTGTGTAACTGGTGGCGCTGTATTGTTCAGATGCACCCCTGTGGCTTTTGCCTGTTTAGGAAGCCTGCATGACTGAGAGCCTAACAACAAGACACCAGAATCGCCTAGATGACTATTCTCGAGATGCAAAGATGAGGGAGCGAATATTCGGAAGGTTTATCTGATGATGTTCCTTTTCACGGATTTTTCGCATTAAAATACGATGCTGTGAATGGCGGGCAGAAACGGCTTATCCATTCGAACCGGCAGGTCATCCCGAGGGGAGGCCACGCCGAGGCGAGGCGTCCGAGATCGGGCCACGGGGACAGGGGACCGATCGGGATCCCCACAGTACAAAACTATCGGAGCGTCACCGGCTTACTTCCGCGTACGCACCGAAACTCGTACCACTTCAAACAAGACTTTTTTGTTTCTTTCTTTTCGTACAGGAAGAAGACCAGAGGTTTCGTTCGATCAACAATAATCGGGTTATAACTCAAATCTCAAACATTGAACTTCGCCACTCATTGGTAGCGACGGATCTCCAATCACGATGGCCTTCACAGTCTTGTCAGACAATAACGTGAAGCAACTCTTCCAGGGCTTCGGCCCGGAAGACGTGGCCCTCATGTCAGATGTTCTCACCGACGCCTTTCTCTCCTACTCCGTCGGCCCCGAAGCGCAATACCAGCCCCACCGCGCCGCCGTCGTCAGGCCCGACGGCACCACCGGCCTCTTCATGCCGGCCACAATGGAAGGCGGCATGTCCGTCAAGGTCGTTGGTCTCCCGCCGCCGAACTCCGCGGTATCCGATCTCCGATGCGTCCTCACAATCTGCGACGGCACCGGCAAGGCTGTAGGAATCATCAACGCTGAGGAGCTCACGGCATTCCGGACCTCGCTCGGTTCTATCCTGCTATACAGGTACCGCAAGGCGACGGCCAACATCGTCGTCTTTGGCGCAGGAAAGCAGGCGCTGTGGCATCTCCGACTCGCTCTTGTCCTCCGCGGCAAGGACATCAAGACCATCACCATCGTGAACCGCTCAAAGGAACGCCCGGCTAAGCTCATTGAACGGCTTCAGGTTATGAGCAAGGCCAGCGGCGTGGGGAACACCGACTCAGTAACTTTCACTGTCATCGAAGCGACACCAGACACAGCGCCAGGCAACTCCGAGCTGCGTACCGCCGTCGAGGGGAGCGACGTCATCTTTTGCACCACGCCGTCCACACAGCGCATATTCCCGGCCGATTGGTTGACTTCGGAACGCGGCTCGGCCAAGACCCGGTATATCTCGGCCATTGGATCGTACAAGCTCAACATGAAGGAGCTCGACGCAGACTTTCTGCGTGCCGTCGTCGACACACCCCTCGGAGCTTTTACGTCTGCGGATGGCGGGGCCAAGAAGGACGGCGTCATCTTTGTGGACAGCCGCGAGGCCTGTTTCTTGGAGGCCGGCGAGCTGGTGGAGGCCAAGATACCCGCTGAGAAGATTGTCGAGGTCGGAGAGTTTACTGATACGCTTCGCAAGGCTGATGAGACGGAGGCGAAGTTGCTACGTGAGTGGCTTGAGAAGGGGTTGGTTGTGTATAAGAGTGTTGGTATTGGTATCATGGACTTGTCTCTGGGCAAGGTTATTCTCGAGTTGGCGGCTAAGCATCAGGTCGGCACGATATTGCAAGAATTCTAGGTCCTTATTAGTTTGATATAGTGAGATCAAAAATAAATGAAGGTCTAACTATGTGAATGTCAAACGCGTCGTCTTGCTCAACCTTGTTTATTTCGCCCTGGAAGAGAACTTATATCCCCAGTACATAATCCGGATGAGTACACCCAGCCGCGTAGAAAAGAGCCCAAGTTCGATAAACGCCTTGAGTGACATAGTCCCATCACCTCTTAATTCCTTGCCTACATGCTTTGATCATCTACACGATAGAATACTCTGAACATCAGAGAATACTAAGGACACGAATAGGAGTAATCTTAGGGCAGAGAGGACCACTAGGGAGATAAGGGAGGTCTGGAGTCTAATTTCACTGATCGTGGTCAGTCTCATTGCTGCGACTCAGAGCAAAAGTTTGATACCCATCATTCTGCGTCAGTAGCACCAGCAGGTTGGAGTTTAGCATAGGCTAGGGGAGCTCGTTTTCGGTCTAGATTGTCTTGTCAGAACGACGTCAGCCTACCTTACGAACGCGCCCACTCAACACTGCCAAATACGAACCGCGTAGTCTCAAGGACTCTGCGCCAGTGCTGAAAAGTTAACCGTCAATGTAGCCTCACCACGTTAATCTATAATCCTCGAAGACCCATGGGGAGGCGATCTCGCCGCCAACAAAATTTCGTGAGCTTTTCCTGAAATCCTGGACTCGACCTCATCACAATCACACGGACGCCATGAGAAACGACATGTCATGAAGTGTAATCAACAGTCTACTTCGAGTCGGTCAAAACTTTAAGTCCGGAATGCTAATGACTGTAAGTGTTGACGCATACGATCCTCACGATGTAGTCGTTGATGGTGACTGCCACCAATAAGACTTCACTAAGAGAGGCGGTCTGCATGCTATCAATGCATTGCTTGCTTCAGCCGCTGCCGGTACCCCGCAGTCCATATGCTAGAACGGACCGCTCTGAAGCAAACAAGAAGCTTCTGAGCTCTTTTGACGGATGGCTCTTTGGCCTCCTCTAGATTGCGATGTCCGTCATAGCTTAGACATCGTCTGTTTCTTCCATATGTGGCTGGGCTGAACTGAGACAAGTTTCGGTTCTCTCACAGGAAAGAGCTTGCATCCACGTAAGTCACTCGTGTTCCCTTCAAGCTTCTGGTCGAAGGCTCTGAATAGATGCCATCTGATGCGTTTCTCAGTATTTACTTGAAGAAAATGTTTGATTTCTATGTGCTTGGGTTGAACACATACTGGAATAATTCCCAAGACTATCTTCACGCCGACTCACTTTCAGCACATACAGCTCGTCTGTGAGGCGAGCGGCAGATCCGGGAGACAAATGAAGGAGGCAAGGTCTGGATGCCCTCGATACATAAAGATGAAGTCTTGGGCCTCAACGATTATGTAGACAAGAGATTAAAGAGCTACACTGAGGCCCCTCCTTTTCTGGTCCAAGATCGCCAAATACTTCTCGCCATTCATTGTTAGTCGACCAAGCCATAGCCATTCCAATCGGAAATTTGGATGGCGATCATCTGCAACCTACTCAGTACATGGATCAACAAATTTCGCTCTTCTTTCTTTACCACAATTGCCACGGAAATTTCACAATTGTTGCAGGACTGGGCCACTGGCGGATCTCTCTTTTGTTAGCAGGTAAAAGCGGTGAATTCACAGTGACTGTACCACAGCACAAGAGACTACACTGTGTGAAAATTGCACATCAAGAGGAGCAACAAGATACTGCCATCTTAAATGAATTTATGAAGCTAGGTCGAGGGTATAAAATCCTTTCCTACTTCGGCTTCATATGGCTCCAACTTCGAGCCTCGCTATCCCACTCTTCATACTCTGTCATACCATTCGTCTTCTGAATAGAACATTAAGTCAGCTCTCAGGCAAAACCCCTTCATCATGACATCTAAAACTTGTCCTATTACCTGCCTTCCTGTACCCGCTGGCCAAAGTCCGCCGCCGCGGCAGGAGATCACGGCTTGGTGTAGCAAGGCTGATAACGCGATCCAGGTGTCACTATTCATACAAGCTCTGAACATCTTCCAAGCCATTGACCCATCTGACAAATATCCCACTACCAAGTGGTCGGCATTCATGGTTTGCCAGCCCAGTCCTGGGATACCGACCCATCCCCCGCCCAGCTCGATATGAAGTCCGTGGACGACACACCGTGGTACTACTGCCCCCATGGATCTCTCATCTTCCCTACTTGGAACAGGGCCTACGTCGCCCTTTTCGAGCAGTTGCTCAGCGGGATCATGACAGACCAGATCCTCCCCACTATTGCGAATAAGATCGTGCACGACGTATGGGCCTTGGAAATTCGGCGTTGGCGCCTGCCTTACTGGGACTGGGCCACGCCCCAGGACTACATCAAATCATGCGGAGTGCCCGAGATCGTGTCCTAGGCCGATGTTGACATTATCTCTTTTGGAGGCAGCCTGCAAAGATTATCGAATCCCTTGTATAAGTTCACAGCTGCAGTCATTAGTAAATTCAAGGGAGCTTCACCTACCATGGGCGATTCAACAGCGTTTGGCAAGTGGGCAGTCCTGGGTGATGATCCGGTAAGTTAATAACCGTTGAAGTTGAATTCATACTCGGAGTATCGATCTGATTTCGCATATGCAGTTCTCTGCTTGCTCGGGAACCAGCCGGTATGGGATCACCAACAATGACACTCCGACACCGCAAGAAGCTTTGGGCGTTGAGAACAACGGCTCAGTTGCCAACGCTCTCGACATACCTCAATGGGTTAAGATGGAGTTGAAAACTGGGAAAAACCTAGATCCCAACATGAAAGGCTCTCTTCAAGACCAGGTCCATCGCCTCTTGACTCAGGGGTACTTCTCAAACTATGCGACTTTTGCTACTACTGAATATGGTGACAACGATCTCAAACCCCCTCCTGCTACCGGTTGGTTGTCTATCGAATTCCTCCACAACTGCGTTCACGTCTGGACCGGTGGAGCAGAGCCTAGCCCAGGCATAGGGCACATGTCTGACATCGGTGTTGCCGCGTTCGATCCTATTTTCTGGCTGCACCATTGCAACGTTGACCGGCAACTGGCAATCTTCCAGGCACTCAACCTGACGCATTGGTTCGACGGTGGATCCCCAACAAAAGATGAGACAGCAGACGGTCCTCTGCACCCCTTTCATTCTGATACAAACGCCACCCTCGTTACCTCGAACGTCTTGAGGAATATCACGAGTTACGGCTATACGTACGATGATCTCAACGTTCCCGTTCAAGATCTGAAGCAAGCCATCAACGAGAAGTATGGGAGTCTTCGAAAGCATCTCAAAGCGAACCCTGATGTTGGTGGAAGGACGAATGACTACCTCATCAACGTCCGATATGACCGGTATGTTGCTCAGCCCCTCCTCGCGTCTTGACATTGGCTGACTCCTCTTCTCCAAGATTCGCCTTGAATGGACGGAGATACGCCGTCCATTTCTTCCTGAAAGGAGATATCCCCAGCGAGCCTTCCGAATACAGGGCGTCGCCAAGTCATATTGGCAGCATTCACACGTTCTCAACCGAGTACTGGACTGCTGGCAACAAGAACGGGGTGGACTGTCAGAACTGCCAGAGCCAGCAGGAAAGGAGAGTCAAGGCAAAGGCGCAGATTCCAATCACCTTGGAGCTGTTGTTCCGCGCCGTGAGCCTCGATAATGCGTGGTCGGATCTGAACTATCTCGAAGCCGAACATATTCAGCAGTACCTCGAGCAGCACCTGAAATGGGTTGTGGTTGCCGTGAGTCCTGCTATCCCACGAAAAGCCGAATGTTGTGTCTCGTTGCTAATCAAATTGCGGGACAGGTGCCTGGAGAAGTTATCCCAACGGATAACTTCCCTGGTCTCAAGGTCGTGGTTCACGCAGGCAAGGGCCACCACCCGGAGGACACGACTCAACCGTCCAGGTTCCACAGCTACAGGCCCATGTGGAGCGTCACGCATGGCAAGGCCGGTGGAGCGTGCCGCGAGGACGGTATTGTGCACGCCGAGGAGCTTCAAGGCTAGATCCAGGCATCCCGGAAGACGTCGTTCCGGAACGGATGTCTCTCGGTAGGGATCCACTATACCGTCGGGAGCCGGAGCGGCTCCAAAAGTCAAGGTTTCTTGAGGCACAGCTTCCGATATCTAGCAAGAAATAGCCTTAGGTATTCTTCTCCTCCTCCAATATTGAATATCATTTCCATATCCGGATAATCACAAGAACATAGTAATGTCTTCACACCATCGACTGATATCCAATCCGGTCGCAGTCTCTTTTCTAGAACACGCAGACACGTGAAGTACACCGGCAGTTGGTCGTGAATCTACAATCAACATCTGTCAATTTTCGCTGATCCGTCTGAAATAAAAACCCACTTCGTTCGTATCGTCCCTCGCGGGGATTGGTAGGAACGCCCAAGGACAGGGTCTCGAGTCATGGACTCGGACGCTGCGACAGTGGCATCCGGGGGCAAGGATTCGCTGTCGCTTACGACTTCTTGGTCACCGACTTCTTGCTGTCGCATTGATACGAATAGTCATAAGGAGGGGCAATCGAAGAAACGAAATTTCTCTGTTCTTGTTGTTTGCATTTACTAAATAAATCAAACTTTATTCTTGGGGCCAGGGAGACCGTCTAAGTGAGCGGAAAGCAAACCTGAAACCTTCACAGAATCGTTGTCATGCCTTCACCAAGAAGGACCCCTGCGTCATCGAGTCCTGCCCAGCCTCAGTCCCCTCATTACAACGCTGAAAACGCTGAGAATACTGGGAACGCTGAGAACGAGGCAGTGCTCGCTGCGGAGGAGGTGATATAATCGGTCTCTGTTGTTCAGAATGAATGCTGATATCAGAACTCGTAGGCGGTTGACGATGCCACTTCAGATTACGGAGTACGAATATTCGGCACTGCCTTAGCTATTCAATCCAACCGGTTCAGCTAATAAAGGACTACGTAGGGTACTGCATCGTCAACAACGAGTGTGAGCGCCTCTATTCTCGACTATAGAAAGGAGAACGGCAGGACCTATCATCGGTACAAAGATGGAAGTAAGAACTTTTACACCACCGAGACTCCGTATGATGTTCAAGCTACTGAAAGACGTAGAATATAGCTACCCCAACGATGAGAGGGAAAACGATAGACTAGGTGAGTGTCCTTCACCGTGAAGCCTCCAGAGACACCTCTCACGTAAGTAGATTTGCAACACAACCTGTGGCTCCTTACTTTCGACAACCGTCTGGGAACTGCACCGCCGAATGACCCAGATTTCCCGGTAAATCGTGTTCTGGATGTTGGTACGGGAACTGGACTATGGGCCATTGAGTTCGGCGATGAGCATCCCGAAGCTGAGGTCAGTCTCATCGTCCCGAAGAAAAACAACGACTGACGCATTGTAGGTCCTTGGCATTGATCTTTCGGCTGCCCAACCAGAGTTGTGAGCACTCCATTTATTTACCTCACGTTATTATATGGAATTGAGACTGTGAGACTGACTATCTCAGCGTACCTCCGAATGTCAAGTTCGAGATTGACGACATTGAAGAGCCATGGACCTTCTCGAGACCGTTTGACTATATCCATAGCCGCCTGATGACATCAAGCCTCGCAGACTGGAGAAAATACCTGCAAAATTGTTACGAGTAAGCCGACATCAACCGAGAGGGTCACCACCGGGGATGTGTGTCAACTAACACCCCCAGCAATCTCGCACCTGGTGGCTACCTCGAGCTGAACGAGATGGACCTGATCCCGACCTCAGACGACGGGACTCTTACCGATGATCTCGCCTTCACTCAATCCCTGAAACTCCTAGGCGAAGCAATGGAGAAGCTGAGCCGCCCGTACCAGGACATACCGGAGCTCAAGGACATGATGGTTGAGATCGGGTTCCGTGACGTCGTCTTGGAGAGGTACAAGTGGCCGACCAACTCCTGGCCGCGGCACCACAAGTACAAGGAGCTCGGCGTCTGGCAGAATGAGAACCTGACGGCCGGCATGGAGGGCTTCATTATGGCGCCGTTTACGCGGATCCACGGGTGGTCGAGGGAGGCGGTCCTCGTGTTCCTTGTCGATGTACGGAAGGATATCAATGATCGGAATATCCATGCCTACTTTTCAGTGTGGGTTTGACAGTTGTGAAGCTGCGTGGTAAATCACTGACTGGGATTACAGGTATTCTGTTTGGGGGAGAAAGCCGGCGGCGAATGAGAGAGGTTGAGGTTTGCTGGAGCAATTTATGATTTGGAGTTTCGTTCAATTTTAGCAGGCTTTTGCAACTGGCACTCCCTCACTAGGAGTGAGCAGTTTGAATGATATCCCGCGTCATTTGGTTCCCCTCCCTCTCAGAACATCTTGACACGTGAGTAAATACCTCGCATTATCTTCTGCCCGCCATCTCCCACTTATGAAATGATCAAGTCATGTGTTCTGGTGAGGAACGAAGCCCGGGCGTGGTTTAAGATTCATGCTCGAATGACTCGCTTCACTATGCCATTATAAAGCGCGCCCTCTTCTAACCGAAAGATCCGACGAACCTCCGACTCGATTGCCGTTCGAATGTTCACGAGGATATAGACGCTGGTGCGAACATGAAGAGGGCAACGAGCGAAAATATGCACCTACCTTGAGCTGTGTCCGTTGATAACAGCCCAGCTCCCCGCAAGAAGCCGCCAACCAGTAAAGGAAGGTTGCAAGTGAGGCAAGGGAGGGCCTGCCAATCAGACAGAAGAAGCTTACCACAGTAGAGCTTCAAGCAAGGTGAAAGTTGACAACTCACCACGTCCAATTCGCTCACTTGAAAAGAGCTCCTCAGACTTCCATGTAGCTCAGATAGCTAGCCACCGTCTGCGGCAACTGAAGATAGGGTTGTCTTGTGGTTCGTATTCACCATGAACGGAGTCCACGTTCGCAACCAATGTAAAACACACGGAGGCCAAAAGCGGGTTGAAGCTGGAGCTACCCAGGCTTGCCGGGTACTCTGAGAAAAGAGGGAAAAAAAGGAATTAGGCGTTCGTGCCGAATCCAGGGACAAAAGCCGCGCAGGGGCCAACCGCCCACACGAAGGAGTTTAGAAGGGGCAAGCGGCAAGGCCTCAGTGGCTCAAACGGATGGTTGCAGTCCACCGCCTGCGGATACGTACCTTGAACCGTAGTGGGCGGGCACATTGGAGCTCGAAGGTGAGGTGGCTGTTAATAAGGTGCAAATACAGTGGAGGTTTACTGCTGGTGCTGCTGGAGACGGAGACAAGCGAGGTATCGGGTGTGCTAACCACCTTATAGTTCCAATTGTGTGTGAGGTGTGTGTGGCCGGTACTTCTCCCCCTCTCGAGTACCTGGGCGGGGGCGGGTGGCCACGGCAAAGATCCATGTACCAAAGAGAGGTGCAGGTACATCCCAGCGACCTACCCGTTCTGGGTGTCCTGTCTAAAAAGTGGGTACCTCGGACCTCTGAGCACTGAGCAGCCATCGCGGGAGGCTCGAAAGGACACATTGTACCAAATCTGAAGTCATCCACGCCATTCAGGCCAGCTTGCCCTCCGAGCACTCCATTTCGTTCCCTTCGACACTCAAAAGTCGCTCTCCTTCTTTTTCGACACACCAACCCAAGACCCTCCACAGTTTTACGGCCCTGCCACGACAACCTCTTCCGGAGCGCCAACGTCAATCCTTTCCTCTACCTCTCTGTCTTTCTCCTTCGTCGCAAACCCTCCCACCCCCCAATTACCTTTGCCGAAACGTCAAGGTCAAGGCCAGCCCTCGGATCTCAACTACGGTTAACCCTCTTTTTTTTCACCTCACGGTTCAAGACCCCCGGCTCTCCACCAGAAAACTCCCGTCACTCCCGACGACCACAACGACGACTCGAAAGAAATAAAGTCGCCAGATCGAACAGCTGGTCTGTCTGTACCTTCTTGTGCAACAGCCACGTCTACCTCTCTTACGACCTCACTCCCTCCGTCGATCTCCCGTTTCCCACGATGGCTCAACAGAGAGGCCCTTCCTACGGCTTGGGTGCCGGTGGCCCCTCGGCCTCCTTTGGCGGCCCCAGTGGCGACAGCTCCGAGTCCAGCCCCCTGGACATGATCCGTCAACAGACAAGCAAGATTGAGGACATGTTGGACACTCTCAGCGAGCCCCTCAAGCCGTGAGTCGGACCCTCGGCATCTTGACAGGGAGCTGTCGGACAGCTCGCCATCGCGTGAGCCTACTGTCGGCTAACAGTGATTGATAGTTACCTGCCCGCCATTGGCCGCTTCCTGATTGTCGTTACCTTCCTCGAGGATGCTCTCAGAATCATTACGCAATGGAGCGATCAGCTCCTGTACCTTCACGACTACCGCCACAGTACGTCCGCAAATCTACAATACCTGCGCCAGTGAATTGGATGCTAACCCTGCACAGTTCCCTCGGGCATCACCCACCTGTTCCTCATCGTCAACGTCCTGGCCATGGTCGCATGCTCCACCCTCGTCATTATCCGCAAGTACTCCGACTACGCAGTCGCCGGCCTTATGGGCGTCGTCGTCACGCAGGCTCTGGGATACGGCCTGATCTTCGACCTCAACTTCTTCCTCCGCAACCTGTCCGTCATTGGTGGCCTCCTCATGGTCCTCTCCGATTCGTGGGTTCGCAAGACAAAGGCTTTTGCTGGCCTGCCCCAGCTTGACGAGAAGGACCGCAAGATGTACTTCCAGCTTGCTGGCCGTGTCCTGCTCATCTTCCTCTTCGTCGGCTTCGTCTTCAGCGGCTCCTGGTCCGTCTGGCGCATCATCACCTCCCTGGTTGGCTTCGTTGCCTGCGTCATGGTTGTTGTTGGCTTCAAGGCCAAGTTTAGCGCCACTCTCCTGGTCCTGATTCTTAGCATCTTCAACATCCTTGTGAACAACTTCTGGACTGTAAGCTTTTTTAATGGTCCTCTTCCAATGCCTGAAATTTGTGTGCTGACGATTTGCAGCTCCACGAGCACCACCCCCACAAGGACTTTGCCAAGTACGACTTCTTCCAGATCCTCTCTATCGTCGGTGGTCTCCTCCTGCTCGTCAACGCCGGACCTGGACAGTTCTCCATCGACGAGAAGAAGAAGGTTTACTAGGAGAAGAACTCCTGAGGGAGAAAACACAAAGCCCAGTTTCGGAAGGGCTGATCATACCTTTGGGGAAAAGAAAGACAAGACGATCAAAATCATCTAGTCGCTTTCTTGGCATTACGAACGGCATTCAAAAGGCTTGCAACCTTGTTCCCGCACTGCAGTTGCATTTTTTTTTGGGCGTTGGGTCTACGGGATCCCATCGCCGCATATATATGATGGGTAGACACAGAAAGGATTCAATAGTGGGAAAAGGACAGCTCAAGCAGCGCGCTTAGGAAATGGAGAAGATATATTCAAGTTCATCCACGTTTTCATCTCGAGTTTACTACTGAATGTCTGTAAGCGGGAAATTCACCTGCTGTGGAATATGACCCCTAATCCTAGTCGAAGGCGTCCGCCAAGCTCCGGCACTAAGGGCGAAGAAGGGCTGGAATTGGCTCCTCGGTCGAAGTGACTTGCATCAAAGGTGGCTCTCATCCGTCCCCGCGAGTGAGGGGAACACCAACCGTCGGGTAGACTCTTTGCGATTGGGTGAGATTTGGTGTGGATCATATGCAGGTCTTCAACGACCCCTCTGAGAATCGTATGCAGGATTGTCGAGGACTGGCATCATTGTTCCTGTCGCTTACTTGTTTCTTTCAACTATCCTGATTTGATTACATGACCACTCCAAATTTGTTTTCCCCCCCAAAAGCCTTTCTGGGTGATTCAGCCGAAGCTTGGACTCACTCTTTTACCATTTTTTTTTCTCGAACTTGTTCGTTTTATTCCCATGAGTTGAGGACTCTGGTGACTTTCCATGTTGAATATTACTGTTGAAGAAAGCGGTGTAACCTCACTTCAACCCCTCCTCTGCATCTCTCCAGCATTAACCTTTACCGTTTTCGAATATATCACGACGATTCGGCTTAACAACCAATACATGTAGGAATTCGGAAAGGCCCCTTTTTGAGAGTCGACAACTAACTTACTTCAGACAGCCAATTGTCGTGAGATAAAGTCAAAAAAGATCAGCTCGTCGAGCAAAGGGGGGGGGAAAAGAGCAGAACCCCAGGGCAAAGAAGAGAAAATATTCCCTCTCAGAGTATTGCAGAACCCCGAGAGAGAAAACCCAAAGAAAACCCAGATACTCGTCACATCGTTCCCCGCCCCAAACAATGGCTGAAGCAATAGGCACAGCAATAGGCGTAGTAGGTTTCCTAGGCCAGCTCTTTGACGGCTGCGTCAAAGCCTACGGCTACTTCTCCGCCGCCGCCAACCTCGACGCAGACTCGCAGCGGCTGCTCTGCAAAGTCCGCATCGAGGAGATGCGCCTCGTCGTCTGGGGCCGCGGGTGGGGCGTCGCTGAGGGCGAGGGACGGCTGGAGGCGCATTTGAATGGGTTCAGTCGCGAGGCGGGGGATCCGCGGATGGCGGGGTTAGCGGAGGGGATTATGAGGGAGTTGCATGCTACTGTTACGGACTTTGGGAGGTTGAGGGAAAGGTATGGGTTTGTGGAGGATGGTGGTGGTGAGGGGGGAAAGATTGGGGCGAGCGGTGATGGTGAGAAGGGAGGGGAGGGGAAGAAGAGGGATTGGAGGAGGGAGATTTCGAGGAGGGCTAAATGGGTTATTGCTGGTATGTTTTCTTCCTTGGGCTTCATCTTGTGTGTATGGTGTCAGGTTGCTGATGATTGTGTGATAGACAAGGAAAAGTTCACAGCCCTCTTGACAGACTTGAAATGTGAAACCTCCCTCCCAAACCTCTCTCTACATACACTCAATATCAGTACACTAACACCAAAAACACCAAGACTTCAACGATGGCCTAGAACAACTCTTCCCGCCCCGCCTCCTCCCCTCCCTCCACCGCTCCTGGCGCCACTCCCTCCTCGACTCGGCCAGCCGCGACGTAGCCCAGCTCGCCCTCCTCGAGTCCTCCTCCGCAGACTCGTACCCGCAGCTCACCGTCTCCGCCAACCTCAAAAAGCTACGCATCAACCTTGACGCCGAACCCCAGGCCTCCTTCCGCCCGACCTTCGCCTTCCGGATTCCCCGTACGGACCTCGATCTCGGCTCCTCCTCCTCCTCGCCAACGACGACGACGCCGCTGCTCTCGCCACCGTTACCAATATCTCCCACCCCCGGCACCAAACGCCGCAACTCCTCCACCGCAAAAGCAGCCTCTTCCCCCTCCTCATCCTCCCTAAACCTCCTCTCTTTGACATCACCAACGACAAACACGACCCGCACCCACGCAACACACACAACCCACGGTCCAGTCCTCGTAGAATGGGTCGAATACGACCCCTCGTCCCCAGACGAGCGCTTCCTCCACCTCCGCCGCCTAGACGACCTCGCCCGCATGATGCACTCGGCCTCCTCGAACCACCCAGACCTCCACACGATAGACTGCATAGGCTACACCGACGACTCAAACAACGCCCGCTACGGCCTCGTCTACCGCTGTCCCTTGTTCTCTCACTCATCCCTACCCACGTCCTCCCCGCCCACCGCCAAGATCAGGACCAAGACAAAGTCCACCACCGTCACTACCACCGCAGCAGCAGCAGCACCACCACCACAGCTTCAACCACAACCAGCAACATCTCACTCAACCCTGCACGCCCTAATCTCCTCACCAGACCTCAAAACGCCCGACCTAGACGACCGCATAACCCTCGCATCAACACTCGCCTGCGCCCTCTGGTCCCTCCACTCCCTAGATTGGCTCCACAAGTCCCTCTGCAGCGCAAACATCCTCTTCTTCCCCTCCGCCGCCTCCCTCGCCGCAACCCGCGCCACCACCGTCTCCGCCGCCGTTGTCCCGGACATCGGTTCCCCCTACCTCGTCGGCTTCGATGCCTCCCGCCCCGATTTCGACGCCGAGATGAGCGTCAACCCGCGGAACCCCAGCATTCTCGACCTCCACAGGGACCCGCGATCGCTGGGCTCAGGCCTCTGTAGGAAGCAGTATTGCAAGGGTTACGACGTGTACAGCCTCGGGTTGGTGTTGTTGGAGATTGGGTTGTGGAAGGTGCTGCAGACGTATTACAAACCGCATTACTCGGCGGAGAAATGGAGGGACAGGGTTATTTTGCCAGTCTTGGTTCCGGGACTGGGCAGCAAGACCGGAAAGCTGTATAAGCAAGTAGTTGAAAAGTGCCTTACAGCCAAGGACGACATGTCCAGTAGCGAGGCTGGGCAACTCATGGAATGGGTGGTCACAACATTGGAAAGCATACGCACATAGGACCCTAGCTATTCACTACGGCATCAGCGAAATTTAGCTTATGCAGTCCAGGACACAATAAGAGGAGGAACACGAGGCCGGTGCCTCGGTTGTCATGCATTCTCTGATAGCAACTTGCAGTGTGTGAAGAGTGTCGAAGGATGGTGATCCACAAGCAAAGGTGATACGCCCCCCTCGAAATCCCAAACCAGTAATAGCAAAGTAAAAAATGATATAAAACAATACCGCCGAGGACCTGTCGAGTTGTTGACTGACAGTACCCACGGACGGCTCAATCCGGTTTCCTGTCCCATGATCGCCCCTGCCATCGCACAAGATTCATATCAGGTCGTGATATTCTCCAGGAGAGGTTGAGTGAGTTTTCGGGCGTTTGCCAAGCCAAAACCAGCGAACAAGAAAAGTTGCGCGTGTCTCTGCACCGTTAAGACCCCCGACCAGAACAAAGCTTGAATTTTTTGGCTGTCATGTTTTACAACGACCCACCACCTCAAGCGCAAGTCTGGGCCCGGAGCGAGTTGGGGAGCACCCCATCGGCGAATCGTACACCGGTTCGGGGTGCGCGCCCGGTGATGGCCGGCTTGCCCTTTCTGAGGATCGTCTTCTGATCCGGAGAAGTGGTTCGTTTAGATGAAATAGACGGGCCTGCAGACGAGGTAGGTGTCTGGAGGCGTGCCACAGACCCGTCGGATTGTCAATCGATACCGTGCTGTGTCTTGAGCTGCGCTAAACGAGCCTGGCGAGCCTCGAGGTCCTCTTTTGACTTGAGCATCTTCTCTGGCTGGTGGTACAGAACTAGTCGCCAAGTAAGTATGGATCCACAATTGTTCAAGATGATCGACAGAAACATACCGATGAGGTATCGGTTCTGGAAGTTGAAGCCGTTGAGCTTGTCGCAAGCTTGCTTCGCATCCATTACGTCTTCATAGACGACGAAGGCGGTACCCTTGGTGCCGCTTGCAATGCCCTGGCGGACCTGTCTGTGGTAGAGGTCAGTATTGAGATCGAGGAAAGGCGACGTTTGTCATCGACGAGAGGTGCGTACCGAATTGGGCCGAATTTTCCGAACAGGTCGAACAACTCCTCTGGAGTTACGTTGTAGCTATGTCGGGGTCAGTCATTGATGCCGATCGTCGCGTGGGTCATTGTCGGAGGGTTGGGTGAGGCTTACCTCAAGTTCTTCACGAACAGAGCTCTGTACGACAACCAGTCAGTCATGTCTCTCCCATCAAGTAGCACGCCGGCCAGGGTAGGTATCAAATCGGGGCACGGAATAAGATCGAGGAAGGTAGGTAGTAGGCGAGGCCGGACGGAGGTGGTCGGCATGGGCCGTGGGGTGACCTTGGCCGGCAGCCGGATGTCGTGTGCGGTCAAGGCAGGGAAAAGATGCAGAGATATACCGGCCTAGCAGGTAGGCAGATTCGCGACTGGAAGAATTCGGACTTACCGGTTGACTTCTGGGGCTAATTTACCGCCGCGACTACTCATCTCTCGATGCTCGGATGACGCTGAGAGTGTTCGATTCGGGTTGGTGAACGCTCGTGGAAAAGGACAAGGACGCGCTGGGGGGGGTGTGTGGTGAGGGATTGACGGATGTTGGGATAGGATCTGGAAGTTCTTAGGAAGAGCGAAAATGGGGAGTAGGCAGTAAATGAGGCGACCGACTGGCGGGAGGCAAGGATTGGGCGAAGGCGTCCACGTGACATGGCGGGCCCCACAGGCCGTCACGCGGTGGACCACTCATCATGCGTTCCCCGTCATGGAAGGACTGGACACCAAGACACATTTGCACTGGGACAGTGCAGCAGGCACGGCAGGGCCGCAGTTGCACGCAGAGAGGCACAGAGGTTGCGCTGGGGAACGGCACACCGCACACCGTAGGTACTGGGTACGTACTATGTAACCCGCTTCGGCTTTCCGCAGACGTGGCACCCGGGCAGACACGCAGAGTGCGAAAGACGCACCCGCGGCACCGAACGCCTATCTCGGTCTCCGCTCACTAAATCAACAGTCGCCGGATAGACATTGGCTGGCTCATGTCACTGCCACCCTTGATGCCACTAGGCTAAGTCTTGAGGAACCACGCACTTCTGCCATCTCAGTATGTCTGTCTACCTACCCTGATGGAGGTCAGGCACCTCAAAAACCGAAGGAATGCCATTTGTTGGTATGCTGTCAAGCTGGTACTGGTGCCGGATGCTGATGTAATGATGTTTCCAGAGGGAATGGTTGCCGGCCTCGACTGGACTTGCCCAATTTGAGGCACCTCTGCATTCCCCGAGTGAGGGATGGGAAGTCAAAGTACCTACATTCGTCCAAAGCAACAGACACCTTGGGCTAAGTACCACCACTCCTAGGACACACCTTGACACCGCACCGCTGGGCAAGTTGGATAAGCCACCGGAGCTTGAGCACGCCATACACGTATTGCAATCAATGCGAATATTTACGCTCGCCATGGAACACGCTCGAGCAGACGATTCTCATGCATTGGTTCCTGAGGATCGCCGTCGCCCATTCCACGTACAAAAGTCACTGCAGCGAAAAAGGTCGACGAGTGGACCTTTGTGCAAGTCACAAGACTGGGCCCCAGATTGCGTAACTTGATCAATGCGATAGCAGCCTACCAACCAGGTTATCTCTGCTATCGCATAATCTGGGGAAGACGAGGAGGCTCTGGGTGAGGCACCCCTGTGGACAACCTAGCCAACTGTTCGAGAAGGGGACTTGGAATTTTGGACAGTTAGTGCTAGCATTGCTGGGCGTCTTGGCTGTGCCATGTATCCGTGCCTGATTGAGGTAGGTGATCTCCAATGAGCTGGGCCGAACTGGTTTATCATCAAGGCCCTCTGCAGCAGTGACAGGCCAGGAACTTTCCCCCTCATGTCATGCCCAGCGCCAAGGTACCTACGCGGTGGTTTGCTATGTGTATGAGGGCGGGTGTTGTTGGTCATCGATTTCAACAAATAAAGACAATACCAGCGTCATCAAGCCACCAAGTCCATGGCCTTCACGCAAATGCCGCCGTTTTATGAGATCCCGTTTCTTTCATCGATAGTTCAATTGTTTCAATGGACCGTTCGCCATGAGCCAGCGGCCGGTTCGTGTTTCTATTTTCCCACCTAGACTCCGCGTCAAAGCCAACCTAAACAAGCCTCCCAAGGTGCCAGGCTATGACGCTGAAAGGGAAAAGGGGACCTGGCTCGCCAGGGGATCCGCATGAGGCTAAACAACCACACCTCCAGCAGGTTCTTGTTCTGCTTACTAGAAACGCTCTCCTGGAAACAGACCCGACTTCACCTCATCAGCGTCATTGCCGTTGTTAAGGTATTCCTTTACGACGGACGGAATACTCACCCCTCCTTCGCAACTGCCTTGCCGTGTTTCTTCCCCTGCACCTGCCGCATTTAATTGCTTTGTCCTTTGACGCTGCAACTGGATGCCATTGACTGCCCACAGCACACAATGGCGTCCTCAACGGCCCCCAGGCCTCACTTCAAAGGCAACTGAAGAAGCCCAACCCCTTGGGATCACCATTAACGTCGGCCCGGACTCTCAAGTCAACCTCAGGTGCTTCTTACTCAATTTTAGTCCACTGCCCTCTATCTCAGACCTTTCTCCGGAACAATTCACTTCCTTCCCAAAATATTCCTCGCAACCTCGACAGAAAAAAACTCATTCTTTCTTACTCCATCACTCAATCCGTCACTCACACCACCCACCCACATCCATTTCCATACATAGTACAAACATACATACATACAAGCTTCTCAATACGATATCCTGTTCATTCGCCTGCGTCAGTCCACCCACATCATCAGCAATGGCGCATGCACTAGCAGACAACGTCTTCGTCGGATTCGACGTCTCCGAAATCGACAAGCCATTCTTGCTCGACGTCCTTGCTGCACCCGGCACACCCTGGGATGAGAAGCTGGCCATCTACGATCTCGGCCTTTTCAGTGGGTACGAGGATTGGAACCTGATGCTCGAGAGTGCGGCCTCAATCAAGGAGCAGAGCCCGGCTAGATCCCCTCTCGATGCACAAGACCTCCTGGCCTTCGTCCCGCGGGTTAAAGAAGCCGCGCTAGCCGCCGCGAAGCTGCGTCAGGGTTGGGCTGCGACTGATCAGTCCATCAAAAAACTAGCCACGCTTCTGCGGGTTCATCGATCAGGCATCGTTGCTGAGCCCCAACCTGCCGTCATCAAACGGGAGCGAATTATCAAGCGAGAAGGCGTCTCCAAGCGTGGACAGGACGATGAGGAGGACGAAGATGAAGATGCCCAACCCAACAACCAACGAGTCAAGCGACGCAGAGTCGCTCCCAAACCATCCACATCTCACTATTTCGCGCCTTCTGCGGCCGAACAGTCGACACGCATCCAGTCAAAACAGCCATCTTCATCTTCATCTCCGTTCGTTTCCGACGCAGTTCGAGCCTACACCCCAGCAGTCATCCGCAATGGTATCGCCACGCCCAATATCACGCCGCGCAAGCAGTCTCTTGAGATTGAGGCCCCGAATGACACCACCGGACAAACCCCGAAGGAATCGACCAGCGAGGCCCAGAACGCCGCTTGTGCGGCTAGGGGAGCGAATGACGATGACGCCGGCGCTTTAAAAGCCAGCGGCCCGCAGACAGCCAGGGATCTTCGGGTAGAGACGCCATCCTGGCCATCCCCGCCCAGCAGTCCGTCCCCGATGAACTCGTCCGAATCATTGTCCCCCGAGGACTTGAGCCGGATCAAGTCGGAGCACTAGGTCTTGCCGGCCCATCGCCGAAGCGGAAGCTGGCTGTGAAATCGCCCTTCTTCAATCTGCCTTCACCAGCCAAACAGTCTCCTAGATCGAAACGCGGCGCTGGTCTTGTATCAACGATCCCCTTTCCGCGACTTTCGGCTCCGAAATTTGGTCTCATTCAAGAAGAGTTTGCACACGAGCCGTTCTGGCTGCTTGTGGTAGTGACCTTCCTCGTCAAGACAGCTGGGACGCTGGCCATCCCTACGTTTTACAAGGTCAAGGAACGCTTCCCAACACCCGAGGCTTTGGCCGACCCAGAAGCGACACCGACCATTACGAGTATGATTCGTCATCTGGGGCTTTCAGTTGTGCGGACAGCAGCGATACAGCGGTATGCTCGAGTCTGGCTCGAGAAGCCTCCAACAGGAGGGGTTGTTTACAGAGTGAAGAATTACGACAAGAGAGATTTCGAGGCAAGCGTACTTCGACCCGACGGCGATGCCGGCCAAGGCTCGCCTGAATTGCCGAAGAATGAAGACGTCAACGATGCATGGGAAATGGGTCACTTTACGCAAGGCAAATATGCCCTCGACAGTTGGCGAATCTTCTGTCGCGACGAGCTTTTGGGGCGGGCCCAAGACTGGAACGGCAAAGGCGCAGCGCCCAATCTCCAACCTGAGTGGATGAGAGTGCGACCCGATGACAAGGAGCTTCGGGCGTGTCTCCGCTGGATGTGGATGCGTGAAGGATGGGAATGGGATCCCGTCACAGGTGAGAAGACAGTTCTTAGAGATGAGATGCGAAGGGCAGTGGATGAAGAGCGCGTCGGATACGATGATGCGGGAGGGTTGAAGATTCTTGATAAGCCGCGATCAGCCTCGAGATGAGGCGTCTTCTATTGTTTTCGTCAAGTATCTGATGATTTGGTTCAGCCGCGAGCTGGATATGATGATAGTTGGTTGATACCCGCACCGGAGAGGGTGCTGCATTTACAGCATAGGAAAGCGACGACAGACTCCTGTCAGGAGACGGGAAATTTCAGTATATCGCAGTGGCCATTAGCAATAGGCTCCAGTCCCAACGGGCTATAATGAAGTTTCTGGATGCTACTATCCATCCGAATCAGCCATGACTTGTGCTACAGCCTACATCCAACGTTCGCTCAACCATCCTAGCTCCTCACCGCTGAGTTTACCTTTCTCAGCTGTGTCAGTCTAGCCGTCAACCAATCACATTTTATAGTTGTCCTCCAGGCGGTCTTACTCGTGGTACGACATTTCAAAATCCCCCCGATCGTCTCGTGAAGTCAAAATCTTGTCTTACACGCCGTTGCAACCGCATGTTGCCTGACCGCACACCTGAGAGGATGCCACGTTTTTCACTTCCCTCCATGTGTCGACCCGTTCTGTGAATGTTCGCTGTGAAGTACCAATATCTAGCCATGAAATCACATGAAATCACAGATCATAAGTGAGACAAACATATGAGGTGGTTGGCTCGTCTAGAAAAGGCTGGCGTACCTCGGTGAAAGTGAAAGACGCCCACGGGTGAGGTGTAAGGTGCCCCGCATCGCCCTTGCTGAGGTTGCTGCAGGCGAGCGCGGGCCCTGTACGGCTTCTGCACCGGGTGCCTTAGCGCTGAGACCCCACCACCCTCTCACAGAGCATCCAGCGCCGGGGCGGATGTCACCCGCATTAGAGCAGTGGAGGGGGAGCGCCCGGCAGAAATGGGGGAGGAGTGGAGGGTACAAAAGGCAATCGCTAAGATAGACTGGATCGTCCCTTCCCCCTCCTTCCCCCACGTCCAGAACGATCGCGTGGTTTTGTTCCGGAAGCCACCTCGCATTCGTTGACGTATATCTTTTCTGTATCTTACCTTTCTCACACCATCCTCTTTTTCACCTACGGCCGGAAGCTCACGTTCATTCGCGATGGGGTCGCAGATTGATTCGCAAGACGAGTTCACGGTGCTCGTCACCGGCTTCGGCGTACGTTTTCTGCACATCTCCACTCGCTCCCGTTCCACTCCCCGATTGCCCCTCCTTTCCTGCCCCGCCATGCCCGCCGCGGCGTGCCGACCGTCACCTCACGACTAACGACGAGCGACGCGCATGGCTCCACGAGAACAAACATCCTCCTTCACGAAAGAAGCATTGTTCCATAGCTAACAATTGCTCTATTGCAGCCTTTCAAAGCACAGTACCCTGTAAACCCCTCCTGGGAAATCGCCCATTCGCTCCCAGCATACCTACCGCCCCTCCGTGCCAAGAACCCAAAAGACCACCACTCTTCAACCTCGACCTCCTCCTCTCGTCCCCTCCCGCCGGTTCGGATCCTCGTTCACCCGGAAGCCATCCGCGTAAACTACCAAAACGTCCGCCGCCTGGTGCCTCAGCTATGGGATCCGGCAACCCACCCGCGCATCGACGCGACCGTCCACATCGGCATGGCTGGACCGCGACTATTCTACTCGATTGAGCGCCGTGGTCACCGGGACGGGTACGCTTTCCCCGACGTGGACGGGAACAAGCTCGAGGACGATGATAGGCGGAGGGAGGAGGGCGAGAACTGGGTGTGGTACGGCATGCCGTCGGAGATTGAGACGGGGTTGGATTTGGCTGATGTGCTGGAGAGGTGGAAGGATCACAGTCCGGTAAGTTTCTGTCACAGGGTTACGAAATTCTGTTGCTCCTGGGTGAGGTCGAGGGTGGAAGAAGAGAACTGACTTTTTGCGCAGGAGGGGTCCGACCTTCGTATATCCGAAGACGCTGGACACTACCTCTGCGACTTCATCTACTTCTCCAGCCTGGCGCATCTGTGGAAAGCGCAGAAGCACCGCAGGGTAACGTTCCTCCACGTACCATCCGACGCATCCGAGGCGTCCGTCTCCAGAGGTACCGAACTGGCGATACAGCTGATTCGGTCCATTGCCGAGAGTGAGCTGGGCCGGAGACGTAAAGGGGGAGAGGAGGAAGTCGTGAGTAAGGATGACAAGATTGCGGTTGAGCTGCGAGTATGATATTTGTGACCAGCAACTATGATTTCTAACGAGCATGATGAACCACGGTTGGGCAGGATACACATGTCTGAGTACCTGGGTAGGCGGCGGAGCACCGGGGTTAAGAAGGGGGCATTGGGATGCATGACGGATCTAGCCTGGAGTTCTTTGTGCTATTTGCGTCCATATGGTTCAGCTAATCTAGCAATATCAAACGCACTTTACAGCGAGGTGACGAGGATATCTTCAACATCTTTCTTTTTGTGCTCATGGTCTTGTCAAGGATGCAAAATGACGTGTCTGCTTACTGTACTCCCGATTGGACTTTAGCTGTGTCACGATCAAAAGACCTGAATGAGAATTCTTACCGAGAGGGGCGGGCACTGACTGAGCTGCATCTGGCGGGCATGGGTTCAAGTACTTCGGTCCAAGTCTCACTCCTCAAGCTCTTCTCCGACGAGCAGTGTTAAAAACGAAGTGACCTTGCGTGCTTTTTTAATGCACTCTATAATCGACAGCAGCTTGACGACGAGTATGTCTCTGAGTGCGGGAGCCTGACCAGCATCTGCTTGGGTAAAAGGACGGGCATCCGTAAACCATTTCTATGCTCGGTAGAAAGATTGCCATACGGGTCTATTTGTAATCGCATTTAGCAAGAGATTCTCGATATCTATGCTCCCTCATCTTCCGTACCCCACGAAATGTTCCCGGACGACGACTATTTAAGACGGCGATTCCATCTTGCCCGAGTCAGTTTTTATTATTAGCCAAAGTCATCGAGCCGTCATCTCCTATAATGCGTTGTGAGTCCTTCTCTAACCTTCCAACTATGACCACCGCCCCTCCTCACGGCCTCGACGATCTCGAAAAGGTTTCTATACATATACTGAGCTCTCGTTCATCAACTAATTATTCCATGTTGAACATGAGAAAGAAAGATACGGCTGTTGCGAGGTACCTGTTTCGTGACTTGGCTCTGGGCTTAGCCCATCTGTATTTTCGATTTGGCTTGCGCCTAAAACTCTTCTACCCTCAGGAGTATATCGAGGGATATATCTCGAGACGATGATTCGGGATGCCTTCACTGATGATCAGTCCGTATATTACAGAAAAGAGCTCTCAAATATGCGATAAATCGTGGCCGGAATGGATGCTGTATTCTCCTCGATGCCCTCTCACGTCAAGCCCACTACCTTAGTAAGGCATCTCACGCCGCCCACCTTCAATTAATGTAGGAAGCAACGCAACCGCCTTTTCTCTACTTCTAGAACTAAAACACAATAGCAGACATACTCTGGGTTGTCGATCTACCGAGAAAGACATGGTCACATGGTCTCGCTCCTTTCCATAGATGGCACCAGCAAACCTCCAGCGTATGCCTCATAGCAATTCTAGTGCATTCCTACTCTACCAAAAAATATCGGGCTTGATGGTTGAGGGGTGAAAGTCGTGGGCTGCTGATTAGTTCGTGATTCTCTGTACTCTTCAGGATTCCGGCGTTCGAAACCTTGGTCGGCTCCTGTTGTTTTTGCTTTTGCTTTTTCTTGTTTTTCTCCTATTTAAGAAAAAAAAAACACTTTAGAACTATCTCAAGATCTAGACTCCCGCTTGCGTGTTAGCTGGTAGTATTTACCATAGCATTGGGGATTCGGTAGAAAGGTTAGTATAGAAGGTGGCATAGGCTAGGCAAGCGGCCCTTCTGCCCACCTCCTTGCACTTTGGAAGAGTCAATGGGCCATGCCCAACTGTTCCTCCTTTTATATCCTATAGACACAGTAATACATATCATGTTATATTTCGTCCAAGCTAATGGGATATCCTACTAATATGTGCACGAGAAGTTTGACATGATGTAAAGGTACCACGGGTAGTGATAAAAAAAGCTACCAACATCTCAATCTAGTAGAAAATGCCAAAAGAGACAAACAAGCAAAGGCTCAGGTGCCCAGTTCTTAATTCGAACTGGACCCTTACGAAATCCTCCATCCGTTGACTTCTTGAGATTTCATACCAAGTTCTGTACTAACGGACCATAGCGTTATACCGCTCGACCATGGGGATCGATTGGGCTTGGTTGAGGTAAGAGTGACTTCAACTTCAATATAAGGTAAGGCAGGCGCCCTTCCTATAGATCGAATGGAATATAACCGTCAGGTATCGAGCACCACCTCATGAGGAATAGGGCAGATAACATAACTAAATACATAACTATCAGGTATGCCAGACTGCCGAACATTTCATTGCTCTCCGCCGTGGTTCGAACGCGCCCCATCCCTTCCATATCACTCCTTCCATACCTCTCCTCAGGTAGCAGCCTGCACCTCACGCCACCCCAAAGAGATCCGATGCAGGCACCTTCCTATCCGTCAACCCAGCAGCGTAAAACTCGATCCCAGCGGTAAAGATATAAAACACTTGATCGATGCCAGGAAACAGAGGCTTCCTCAGCGCAACAGCGTCAACGCACCCATTGAACCCAGTCCCCTACAAAATATCTCACGCCTCCGTGAGCTCCAGCTCAGGCTTCGGCGGCCACTCAATGGCATAATCATCCAACGGAAGCCCAGGGATCACCGTCACCCTGACCGACTCATCTCGACCTGTAGACACGGCAGCACTCTGATTATCCCCCACAGCCACAACAACGCGCAGCCGAGAGAGTGCGAGGGGGGTCGTTAACGGGATCGCGGCATACGGGCGTAGCGTCTGCTTCGAGGAGGCGTGGGGTGGGGTGGGGTGCGCAGATGAGACCGAGACTGATGTTCACAAATCCCGTTCAGGAGAGGATATCACCTCCCAAGGCTGGGTTGATGGGGGCAAGGGCTGCAGCAGAGAGAATTTGCCTTTCTGGTCTTTGCGTTGTCCGTCGAGGACGCTGGTGGGGACGAACGTCGTAGATCTTTTGAAGGATGAAGGAGGCTACACCGTCGCCTACGAGGATGCCGATCTAGGTGTCTCCCATTTGGAGGGGTTTGAAGGTCGAGACGATGTCGTTGACGTTGATGCCGGCGTTGTTGAGGGCTAGATAGTTCTTGTCAAAGGAGATGTTTGTGCTGTCGTGTTGGGGTACGCTATCGGATGTGCTTGATCTGGAACGGGATTTTGAGGAGAGCTGTGATCTGCTGTTCGTTGGGGGGCGATAGTCTTGATCTTCTGGGAGATGGGTCTCTACGGAGGAGACCGGGACGGTAGACTACTGTTGTTGTTATTGTTGTTGTTGCTGGTTTTGCAGGCTGTTCAACTTGCTGGGCGCGATACAAGGGATGGGGCGCTTCGAGATGTTGACGAGGATAGTATTGGAGGGAGAGGTGGGATTGGGCGGGAGAATGCCGAAGTAGTTGATTATGGTGTACGGCCTCGTTCTATGGCGGGTGGGAGACCGAATCAGCGTTGAAGGTTGGAGAGAAGACCGTTGGTGAAGGGGACGCGTTGGAATACGATGCCGGAGGCGAAGGTTTGGGCTCGGCCTTTGGCTGGGAGGACGACCTTCTTGGTGTTGGTTTTGTAGGCTGCTGGGACTTCATTGGCGGGGATATTTTGGAGGACACTCATGGTTTTGAAGTGGTGTAAGTGAAACTACGTTAGCCGGAAAGGAGATGTGACGATTATGATGAAGGGGATTGAAAAGTACGCATGTACGGCATGGATATCCCCTTTTTCAATCAATCTCTATGTAAAATATCGTAGCGTTGTAGAAGTAGCTGTGAAAATCAGCTTATTGAACGGAGCTTACAAGTCATGATCAGATATCAGGAATCCAGAGGCAGTTTCCAAGTGTAATAACCCAAACATGACGGCGTCTGGCGAGGCTGATGTATCGCGAGAACTTGACGCGAATCTGGGTTTCGCAACCAGAGAGTGCCGGACTGGCCCTTTGGGTGCCCAACCGTGTTCCAAACTGAGAGTCTGTCATTCGCCAAGTTAATCACGTCGGATACGGTCATCTCTCTGATAGTCTGGCAGAGGTAGTTTGCCAATCACCAATTGTCAAGTTTCGCATTCCTATAAGAAGGCATAGCTGGGAACGGAAGTTACTCTCAAATCAAGGCATAAAATCCTCTGCAAATTTCCACGCTAAGGCTAGCTCAATCCCATCTGTCCTCCAGGACGAAGCCATCGGGGAAGTCTTCAGTCTTCACCATACCTGTACTGATCTAGTCTGTAAAGCTTGGCTCTGGGTACACTTCGTAGCGTGTTCTGATATGTAACTACCACAAGAGGACACAGATAAAAGGCAGGGAGAGAGTAGACTCATCTTATGGGACCGACACCTTCTCTATGCTCTTGCCAGATGGACTGAATCCTGAGCCCCAAACACTTGCGCTGACCCTTTGCTCCAAGACAAGTTGGAGGAGACGGATTGCGCCTATACATCATTGAGAACGTTAACCATGAAACAATGGTATTTACACATCTATGTCACCATTTACGAGAGTCAGCAAGGAAAATATGTCTTCTGAACCAGAGGGAAAGAGGTCAGAAGCCTAGGCAAGTAGGAGCTGGCGCATGATCAGACGGTTGAATCCATCATATCTCGCACATAGACAACGCGATCACCTTGATGGCAACCTCAGGAGTGAATATGAAATGGTTTAGTCGCACCGTTGTAGTTTAAGAAGCGATGAAGGTCAACTTAGACTGATGCGAGGCCGCTTGTGTGTGTGCACCACGTTGCCCCTTCTCGGTGGACGACCTCCTTTGACGCTAGAAAAGAAGCACAGAACACTCATTTAGAATATACGACGGGACAAAGGTATATGCTCCCCCTCAATCCGATTTCTGTCACGAGCAGGCGCCCCTCTACGTCGGGGGATCAGGACAAACTGGCCAGGTGGTGGAGTGGTTCATGGTCAACTACCAATTACGCCCAAAGCCTACTCGACGACAGGCTCCGAGTTCGGGTTCAATTCCCAGCGAATGTACCAAGAGATATAGCCACCGGTGTGAACTCGTTTTTTGTTCTTCAGGTTTGACTTCCTCGATGGGCAGCGGATGCCCCTCCGCAGAAGGGTAACAAGTACGCTGAAGGCTATGCCGCTCGGATATGAATGGCCGCGGCCGGTAAAACAGGTCGGCGGCTCACGATGGCATCGTGTACCCTTGAGAGACGAGGTCAGCCAGTCCCGTAGTGCCTATCATTGCATCTGAGGTGCAGATGCTGCTCTGATCTGTTTGATGAGCGTCGCGACCTGGTAGGTAGCAACCTATACTGACCAGTTCGCGAGGACGTACCTTGATCAACCTGACTTTGTGGACATCGGAGGAGTCATCGGCTTTTGAAGGATTCGGGAAAACTTGGTTTAAGCAACGCCTCTACTGTTTGAAATCTTCAGCGCTGGAGTATCACGCGGCAAATCGACGAGTTACTAGCAACGCCGAGGGCGTGGCAAGAGCAGAGCATGAACGCCATCCCCAAGGGGCGTCTGCACAGTCTTGCGAGGCAAGTGAGCAGTCTCTTTCGATCGATTGCATGGCATATTAAGCGCGATCCTTCAAGTCGAAGGCCATGAGGTGGACGACCTATGGTACATAGGAGCGACAGCTCAGCTAGTAATTGGTCCTTCAAGATCAAAATTCGACCTCTTTGAATCCTCCACGTCGCGTTTATCATCGACGTCCAACAGAAGGATTCACAAGACGCCATAGACACACTAACATCACACGCCGCTTGCGTGGACCAACACGATTTGGATGCGCCTCATGGCAGCAGTTGACGAGATTGTGTGGCTGCATGCTGAGCATGGGCAGCGAGATAGAGAGGCGACTCCACGAGTTTGCGGCGCGCGAGCTGGCGTGGATCTGGCAAATGAGATGCCAGGGAGCTTGCAGGAAACAGGCGCGAAGGATTCGATCTCCTTTGAACCAGCGAATAGAACAAGCCCGGGGTTGGCGCTTATCACCAGAAGTTATGATTCTAGACCATCCACAAACAAGGAGTTCAGAGTCGGCAGATGGTGAATTGGGCCAAAATGGTCGGCAAGCAGGATTGCAGACGAAATGGGCTCTGAGAGGCTGTGGGAGGTGTCCCGGCCCATGATGTCTTGACACGGAGTCGGTGGTGGTGAGGGTCGACGACCGGGCCGCGGCCCAACGTCATACTGGCTGGAGGCGCGCGCTGTATTAGAGCCGGGTACGGACTGGGGCCGGAGCAGAGCCCCCCAAGTGTATCGGAGGCAGGCAGAAGAGATGGCCGGCCACGTACCCGCTCCTCATAGCTGATGCCCTGCTTGGGGGCAGATTGTGCGCATGGGTATGCAATTCTCTGAGTCGCTGACGGCCAACGACGTGTTGGCAGCTAGGTCCAATGGCCGAGGTGCATCATATGGCGCGCGCTCTGGCATCTGGCGAGACTCTGGTTGCCGGGCCAGGTGGCTGGAAATAGGACGTCTGGTGGTCCATTGACGGAGAGCGCTTGAGAAGAGATGGAAAGATAGGCTCAAATCGATCGAGGGAGTGTCGAGAGTCGAGACGCTGACCGGTGCCGCGCGCGGAGTGAAGCACGAAATAAATTTCGAAAAACGAATTCTTGATTTTTTGTTTTTGTTTCTTGTGAATCTGGGCGACTAAGGCGATGTCAAACAGGTCGCGAATGGAGACAGGCGCTTGGTAAAGAATCGCGAGGCAGAGCAGACAAAAAATTGATGGATGAATTGACTGATAAAACGATGGCTCGATCCGGCAATGATGCTAGAAAAAAGAAGAAGAAGAAGAAGAGTCAAGCTCGTGATCATTCAGCTCCTTCCCTCCTAATCACTCGAACCGCCCCTTCCAAATCAAGAAGTCGAGAGCCAAGCGCTTTCCTTCCTCCCAGCACCAACATCGACACCGACACCAGAACCAACAAGGCAATCGCATTCACACTCGACCCACGCCCTTCCTTCCTTCCTGCAAAATCCTCTTTCTTTCTCTCTCTCTCTCTCTCTCTCCCTCTCTCCACCTCTTGCCTCCCACACCGAGGCTCCTGCTCCAGGGCATCTTCTACACCTTGACTCTTTTTCGGAACTCCAATCCACCACCACACTCATCTCAGATCATCAGGTGCTTCAATCCACTTGCATCCTGCCTCCCCTGTTCAGCTGGCACTCCCGCCCGTACTCATTGCGGCATCAATCATCTCCGGCGTCTTCTCTCGGCCCCACTGTCATCACGAGGTCTGACGACGCTTGACGAAGTCTCTTTCTCATCTTTGCCTCTTGCTTCCTCTTGCAAGCCCCCCGGCTTTCTCGTCATCGGACCGAGACGTCTTTTCTTGTGTCCCGTCTTTGTTAGCTTCGAATCTTTCGGTCCATCCAACGAGCTTGCTGCTCCGCCTTGCCACACATCACCATCGGGACCGGTTCTCGACACATCTTCCCGGTACAAGACTCATCTGCAAGATCTGGTGGACGACGTGGGGATTTACAGGTGAGAAAGCGCCCTCGGCCAGCGTCCAATCACCACTCGTAGACACACAGCACTAAGAATAGCCAGCTCAACCGCGGAACACCCTCCGGACGGCTGCCCCGGCCGACTCTTGTTTTCCCACTGCCATTCCACGTCTTTGACTGGCTACAGTGCTTCTTTGCTAGCGCCCATAAGCAGCCCCGTTAGACCCAGCGACGGACAGCCCGCAACTGCACAACACCTCACCGCGAGCCTCCTCCAAGACCCAATCAAGACTCTCTGTCAGCCTTTCAGACCAGAAATCGAGGCCTCTCCACGCCGGGCCATCGCACACTGCCTTCTTGACTCTTGCTAGCTCAGGTAGCTTCGCATTTGAATTACTTGGGCTCTACGATCGCATCGCTTCTCTTTGCTTCTCTGCGGCTTTCTGTCTCTGTCGCCTCTCCTACCATCCAACCGCCTGAGGTAGCTTTGCATCCCCTCTCCACTTACACGGTGCATCACCTCCACCCACTGCTGCGAGTCTTTGTAGCCTCCGCTTTTGGGACGACGCTTGATACCTACTCCGTATTACTTACTACTCACTGGACGACTACGACTTACAGGTGCCAGTAACTTGTGCTAGCCAGCCAATCCTAATCCACGAGACATCCGTACAAAGCAACATCGTCATTGCGCTACGCCACTACCTGAGCCTGCCTTAGCTGACTTTGCTACCCGGCACCCGACTAATACCTTGGACCAAGACTCGTCCAATAATCACACATTCATCACATTTACCGGGCGAGAGGCCACGAGGTATCCACGATCGCGCGACGGGATAAACGGTGATCCCAGCCATCCGCCGAACGCCAACCGCTTCCTCAATCCAAGCCACTCCCATTGGCTTGTCGCCTTAAGACGCAAACAACCGGAACAAAAAAGCCAGTCTACCTTATTCCATCACAGCCAACGACAGCTTCGGGCACCGCAGCAAAGCACGGTACGAAAGCCAACCGCTGTGCCAGTCACAACCAGAACAAAAATTTGCCCGCTTTCTTTTGGCGTGCAACGAGCCGGTTCGTCCAAACAAGGACGCCAATAGAGGCAAATTAATTGCTGCGGCAGCAGTTCATCAACCCCCTTGTCCGCTTTGGCTCTTTCTCTGCCCTGGCAGGCCCCGTTCTCCGTCTCTGTCCAGTCTCTCTGTTTCGCTGTCTCCTGCAGCAGGCTCAGCACGCACTAAGGCAGTGAACACCATACACCACACGCGCCCGCGCAACGAATCAAACCGTCGTCTGTTGAAGCTCCACGACCAATCCCAGCTCATCCGCCCGCTGCTTCCCTGCCGCTTTAGATATACCCCGGTCACCTCACTCTCTCTTGACTCCCGCGTCCGCTCCTCTCTGTTGCTGTCCCGTCCTCCCCACCACCACCACCACGCTCTCACGCTCTTGTTCGTGTCTACCGCTCTCTTTGACACTCCCGCCGCGCGCCACTGCTTTCCTCTCGTTGGACCACCCGTATCCGCTGTCACCAACACATCACGACTCCTCTTCACCTCACAGAATCCTTCACGCGCTACCGCAGCCTTTTGGTGCAGGCTTTCCATCCTCTGTTGTTTGTTTCTCTTCAAACCATCCACCCCTCCCCCTCGTCCGCGGCATCTCGTCACCAGACGCCCCCTTCTCACCCCTCTCTCACAACTCTGCCCCTCCCTTGTCCAGCCTGCCGACCTGGAAGACTGACATTTTGTCTGCCTGCTTGTCTTCCCGCCCAAACTCGAAACCCATTCCTGGCGAATAGCACTGGCTTGTTATTGCCCACCTGTTCAAGCCCCCAGCAACCCCAGACCAGACTTCCGGGAGCACATCAGCTTCCTAAAACCTTCCATTCTCCTTGCCGCCGTCAGAGCTTGACCTCGCACTGCAGTCCTCTTTCCGGCTCATTTACACTACGACCGCATACATACACAAGCGCCCACCGCGTTCTCTTCGAAATAATATAACGTCCACCCACCCTCGCAACTACCGATCCTCTCTCTCCCTTCTCCCCCCAGGCGACTTGTCTCTGCAGCTCGTAGGCAGTCTGAGTTCCTCCTCTCTCACCACGTCAGAGTCATTTGGTTGACTGGGCATCTCTCCCCGTTCACACACTCGCTACTACCTCACTCTTCTCTCCCGCCTATTATTCCGCCTCAAGTCATCATGCCCGTCAACAGACCCAAGTTGGCCCAGCTGGCCACGCCCGTCACCAGCACTTTCCCCTCGGAGAATATGTTCTCGGCTTCGACTCCGCTCTCTGCCAGGCCCATGTCATGCAAAGACCTTCCCATCAAGACACCCATTAGCCCGCCAACGGCCTACACGGATTTCCTCAAGGCCATGTCCCTCAACTCACCAGCCGCTTTCAAGCCATCAACTTCTGGCGAGACTACTCCCGAGTCCACGCCCGACTCATTGCCTTCCACCGCCACCAGCGAGCAGACCGATATCTCTTGCAAGTGTGAGCACGAGCATAAGGCTCCGGCTACGGCGCCGGCCATCCCGCCAAGCCCCTTCACACATCTGCCAATGTCAGCACCTCCCACCGGTGCGAATTCTTTCCCAAGCCTCAAGATTCCGCCTTCTCCGGCAGTATCGCACCTGGACTCGCCAATGAGCGCGAGGTCACCATTCAGCGCCAGATCGGTCCACTCAGTATTCGATTGGGACGCAGCACTCAAGGCCAAGAGGTTGAATGATTCAAAGAAGCCCTCGAGGACCAGCGTGCGTCACATCCGCGAGGTGGTCACGCGGACAGTAACTTACACGCCGAGGATGAACCCCGCGCCAAAGGGAAAGAGGAGGAAGGTGGAATGAGCATCTGGACCAAAACAAACGAATCCACCTCAACATAACACGACATCGGCACTACATGTCCCGATCTATTTTCTTTTTGTTCTACCTACCATCACCATCGCCTCAACAACGTTACTTTTCAGCAAAATGCAGCACCATTTGACGACCTAGGCCTAGCGCCACAAAAAAGAGAAGCAGGACATGTGATGAAGCAGGCTCTTCCCACGGAGGGACTCAACAACGATATGACTTAACGGAAGTAACTTAGCGTACACAAACTGGCGCACACCATGACATGGCGGCAAACATGAGGGTGAAACCAGTGATTTGGTTCATCGCAAGGAATATGTTGCGAAAGAAAGAAGGGAACTGGTTGGTCTTTTGTTTCAAATCATCTACCGGTCCTCGCTTGGGACCGGGCCAAACGGAGTTCTTTGGCGTCTCTACGATGCTCATGTTCGATACCAGGAACTATTTGGGTGGGCGGAATTGATTATCTGAATGGAGAGGAGGTTGAATGCGTCTTTGAAGTTATTGGGGACGATGGGGAGGAGAGATCTATGGGGAGGTCAAGATACCTACTACACAGCGAGCCAGGTAGCCTAATATCAGCATTACTGTGTATACCTTAACCTGACTGTGGTTTATGAGTATGATAACAACTCCTTCACCGCAAGACCATTTGTGACGGATCATGTGTATGTGTCTGTGTTTATTTGTTTCTCGTTGCACGGCCGACATCCTCGTGCAGCGCGGCCCTTGATGCGGCCAGCATCGTGGGTTTGTTATGGCCCCGCGCTCTAGCGGGGAGAAGGAGACGAGGCCGCGATGGCCGGCCGGGTGGAGTCGCCTACGAAACGGGTAGATTCTCATGATCTCCCAAGAATAAAAATATTGTTCCCGTTCCTCGCATCCATGGTGTTGATCCCAAGTTCAGAGCCGTGAACACTTCCTGGGATGTCTACTCAGTCTTCCAACCAGAGATCCTACATAAGGTAGAGTCTGAAGTGTATGACTGGGCGCCATAATTGACCATCTGACCGTACTTCGTCTTCACTTTCAGCTGGCTGGCCACCGGTACTCTTCTTCCCCCGCCTCGGTTTCCGCTGAGGAGATGGGGGATGCCATCCCGTCCGCCTTGTCTTGCTCCTTCGCTTCATCATACCCATCTCATCCCGTCACACTATTCAATTTGGCGTACTCTCTTGAAAGCCGAGTTGTATAACCCCTCCCCATCGGATGGGAAAGCACGCCAAGCAGGGGGATGCCATGAGGGATCGATGTAATAGCCGTCGATCTTCAGTAGTCCAGTGTGAGAAAAACCTTGGAAAGAGGTGCAATCGAACCGGAGGGGATGGGGGGGCAACCACCCGGCAAAAGGTAGGCTGAATGGGGTTGGGATGGGGGATGATCGTTCGGCGGTGATGCGTCAAGTCCCGGCCGGAGAGCGGGCATCACATTACAGCACTATAGATGCTGCTCCTGCCGCCGGGGCGTCATTCTCCTCCTCCCGCTGCTAGTCGTGGCTTGGTGTTGCAGTCGTGACAGGCGATGCGGTGATGACTGAAGTGTAGAAAGGCGCACCCATGTCTACCCAGGCTCGTTCCTTACAGCCCCCTCCCCTCCTTCGTGGTCCGCTTAACCTTTTCATCGCTCTTTAAGGGATAGGGCACGGTTGACGAGCTCTATGACTGCCTCGCACTCATACAGATGCGCATATGCACACCCCGCGGTGCGCATATTGAGTATGCGATTTTGTTTTCTTTTCTTTATTTGGCGTCTGTCCCAGACTGTCCCAGAAAGCGTCTATTGCAGCTTCGCGGTTGAGATCCAAGGAATACTGCGTTTCGGAACCCGCGATGGGACAGAGTCAACAACTCAGACGCAGTCAAGGGCGTGTCGTCAAGCCAAAGAAAAGTACCAAGCAGGCGAAACGTCCACTCAGGAAGAAGTTCAGTAAAGGACCAGCAAAAGCGGCCTGAAGCGCCTTGCCGGATCCGGCCATGGTACGACCCGGCACCCGGGCACTGCATGGGGGTGGGTGGTCGCGTACGGAGCGAAGCCGTGGAGGGCCCCCAGTCACCTCACTTTGCTAAGCGCCTGTCCTCAAAACAGCCGGGGTCTTGATTGGCTCGACGTCGGGAATGACAGGGGGTTTGCGGTATCCCGGTTCCCGTCAGGACCATCACCAACGGTCGGCGGGGAGGCAGCGGATTGGCCGAGGGGTTAAGCGCCGGCGTGCTGGTGTGGGGATTGTGGTGGGCAGGGGCCAGGCGAAGCGTCTGTGACTTTTGGTTTTTCGACCCTTGACGCAGAGTCACCCATCGCAAAAAGGTCCGTCACAAGTCAAGTTGCTCCCACAGAGCTGGAATCTTCCGGCCTTCTGCTTCGAAAACGGGCAAACGTGGATCTGCGTTGAGAAGAGACGAAAGACGGGATGGATTGGCGCTGTCTTGAGGGAAGATGCCGGTAATGTTCTGTTGCTAGAAACAGTGAATCCTATGTTGGGAGGTTGCTATCGACTTCTGTCATCTGGCGGTGAAGAAGGTCGATAGATCATAGAGGCATGAAATGGCACTACGTACGGAGTCGTCGTCCCGTACATTAGCAGCATGTTTAGGACGCATGTCTGGACCACATTAGCCCACACACGCAGTAGAACGAAACGCCAGACCAACCGCGAGTGTAACGACCTCCACCCCCAAAGATGCGGCATCAGTAGCGCGGGGAGGGGCAAAAATCGAGACTGCTGCAAGCCTTGGGGAGGCCAACATGCGGTGCTGCGTCTGCCAATCTCGGTGAGAAAGTGAGATTTCATTGCCTGTCCTACTTCCGACGACTCAGTGCAACGCAAGGGTCCGCCCAAAGTCATCTCCCAAAGTCCCGACTCTCGACGACTTTGCGTGATTGGCTGCATGTGATTCAGAAAATCTCCGACCCAAAACAAGCCCTGTCTGCCGGTTGTCGCCTTTGACTGGATGTCTCGAAGTCTGATACCAGATTTAGCCTCTCCCCGGCGCCACGAGTTGTAGACCCTGGCAATGCTGAAACGGGAGCCAAGGCATTCGACAGTTTGTCAAATGATCAGATTGAAACAGGACCGTGAACTACCAATCATAGATGAGTGACTGGTTGTTCGACGTGTCTTGTTTTTGACCGGTAATCTGAACAGAGCTTAGGTGCAGCTTTAAGTGGCGACCCGGCCGTTTCATAGTCTTCTCTCGTCCTTCTTTGCTTCCATGGGTTTAAAGTGATTGCGAATCGCTGAAGATCAGATCCTATTTTTGGCATTGCCATATGTCGTATTTCGGCTCCCCGCCCTCGAGATAATTCGGCTGATTCGGCGGGTAGGAGATAGGCTCCACGAACAGTTCCAATTTCAAGAAATCTTGACCTTGAAGCCGGCGTGCTTTGCTCCTGCTGGCACATAGTACGCACGAGGATATTGTCCCATCTCCCGGATTCGGGAAGCGCTGAGCTTTCAAAGCAATCTCCGCTTCCCGTAACACCACGCAATATTCCGAAAGGGTACCCATAAGAGTGGACCAAAATATCTTTCGGCAGGTAGGGGCCTTTGAGGACTCAGAGGACGTCTTCAATCCACAGCTCTGACTTCCTTGGCCACGGCGTTGCAAAGTATTACCTTCACACCTGCACCCGTGAGAACGTGGATCCATAGTCTCTGAGTGTCACTGAGACGGTCATTGGCACTTTTGACCTCAGCGAACATACATTCCTTTTTCGGCTCAGTCCGCCAGAGGATGAGGTCGGGCAGGCCTCCGCCCCGCTGTCGGTATTCCTGTGCCATCACCTTGCAGAGAGCGGCCAGTGCGCTACCATCGAAGCACCCGACCAGCTCCACAAGATCCTCAACGTCGTAGTCCCAATTGAGGCCGATAACACACGTCCGTCGTTCGCGTTCTCTGGCGTCGACCTCGCGGATGATCCTTTCCGCACCGCCGTTGCCTATCTCGACTAGTCGGTGATTAATCTCGGACAGCCGCGTCGGATAGAACGAATCCGTGTGCAGGTCCAAAGGGCATGTCTGATAAGCTGTCTGAAACACATTTGGGATGTAAAGGAACAGAATGTCGTAGAAGAGATAGGCGAAAAGGGTGCGCACGATGCCTCCCTCGGCGTGGTAACCTTTGTAGCCCTGGCTTCGGTACCAACTAAGGCACATCTCTTCAACGCTGCACTCGCCGCCTTCCTCTAGCTCGTCAACCCAAATCGTTTTCGTGCTTGCTTGTCGGCCATTCCTGCCTTGGCGGTCCTCTTTGATCACCTGGATGCCTTCAACGGTATGCTCTATGGGCTTTTGGAGACGAACGTGGCCAAAGTCGTGCTGAAGTCGTCGTGGGATGCGGAGCTGTTTTTCGAGCTTGAGAAGACGTTTCTGCAAATCGTAATGGTAAATCAAATGACATTCCTTGTCCTCCAGCGCTGTCTCGCAAGTTGTCGCAGCAATTCGTTTCCAATACTTCTTCTGGACATCTGGATTGGCAGACACTGCGTTGGCATCTAGTGCATACATGTAGTGTTCTTCCAAGAGGGCTTTTCGTTGGTACCAACTGCCTCGCCTAGCAGGGTGGAATAGGTGCTGCTCGAGAAGTTCGGTGAGAATAGAATGTTCACGTTCGTGATCTTTCAACTTTCCAAACACGTATGCTGCCTTGTGGATAATGCGAGTGTAGGAATGGACAGGCGTAAATCTTCTCAAGTAGGCGCCTTCGCCTTCTTCATATACTCGCTTCTCCTTGTCCTGCTCCTCACTCAAAAGTGTTTTCCACCGAGGGTAGACGCGATCGAAGACATCCACGACCTTGCGAAGACCTGCCTCACCCGGAGAGCCATTGAACTCCAAGACCTGGTCGACCTCGGCCTCAACGCGAACTGCTGACTCGAACTCGAGAACGTGTCTCCGGGAAGCAAAGATGTTCGTACTTCGGCAGACGATGTACTCTGGGTAATTCCGGCGTGCAATGCTAGCAAGAATGATAGCCGTTAGAGACTTCTCAGTCCATTCTGTCGACCGATAGAAGACTAAGTGCACTCTTTCGAAGAGTTTGTACGTTAGCGGCGATAGTCTAATGCAAGGGCCCGTAATGATCCTGATCTTTTCCAGAAAGTGCCGTGTCTGATTCGAGTCCTGTCTGTTGAGGTGCGGTGGAGCGTCGTGGCGTTCTCGCATCAAACCTCGAGCAGTCTGTGACTCGCCGCTGCCAGAACGTTGTAGCCCATGGGCGAAGAGACCGGTCTGTTGATAGCCCGTTCGGCATAGCGCTTTCACCAAGTCCGCTTTGTTGCGTCCTTGGAATTTAGCCTCTTTGGCGAGATCTTTCAGCTCGTCTAGGCTTAGCAGTGAGGCTGCCTCCTCGATGGCCGTGATGTGTTCCTCAGAAGCATCGGCAAATGTGAATGTGTCGTCCAAGCTAAACTCTTCCAGATCAACCCCTTCGACAGGATTGCTGCTTGCGGGAGCGTCTGGCTCGGGAAGATCTCTAACTTTCTGCAGAGATGTGATGGCGGCTTCAGGGTCCGAAACATCGCTATAGTACCCCAGGCGGTCTTGACGGTGCCATGCGGAAGTCTTACGCAAGAACAAGCGCACATAACTACCGAAGGCATCAGTCAAGGAAAGAAAAAGTCCGGGAGTAGGCTAAACTCACAGATACTGGGCCTCGTAGCCCAGCGATTTCCATTGCTCGAATACGTTGCATTCCTTAGCGTCAAATAAATGGGATTCATCTGCCAAGACAGTGTCCAAGGCGAGGTTGAAAGCATCCACGTAGATGGAGCTCTTGCCCCTCACCCATTTTTGCTTAGGCGCAGCTGCTGGCTCATCTTCAGCAACGCTGACCTGAGAGCTCCTCATCAACTCGTATTCCTCGATTGCTTCTTTGTCCAACTGGATGGGTGGCAAAGTGCTCTCGATGTCAGTCTGCCGAGTGCGGTGCTTGACTTCGTCGTCTACGTCGGAAACATCATTGACGGTCAGGCCAGAGGTGTCAGCCTCATCATCTTCAAACTTGCTTTCATCATCGTCATCGTCACAGTCGCTGTCCTTGATCTCGATCTTGAGCTTCTTTGCAGGCCTCTCCTCACCGAGCGGCGAGGGTCTCGTGGGAGATCTCGAGGAAGGCTGTGATCTCGGGCGTGGTAGCCGCTGTACGAAGGCATCCATAGTACGAATTGATCAGTTCCGACATTGTAGAGAGATGGCTCTTGTTTCCGTCAGCGGAGTTTGCGAAGATGATCATTGGAGTTTGCCTTGGTGGCGTCATGTGTAATGGAGACGCGAAGGAAACAGGCTGCCGCAGGGGGGAAAGCGCAAATGAACGCGAGATCAGGTGACCCCGCGTAAATGAGCTCTGATTCTTGCAGCCCCACGACAACAGCTTCCTTCCATCGTCAGGGCCTCCCGACTGTCGCAACTTCCCCCGCAATCAATCGATGACTTCCCCGACCCTCAAAATACGGATTGAGCTCCAGAACAACCCATCCTTCTTCGATCGCCTCACTTCAACCTTTCAAGACCGCTTTAGTGTATCTTGATCCTTTGGAAGCTTCGTCTTTGAGCATCTTGCATCTGCGATCGCAAACTTCACAGCTCCCGGTAATCAACAAATCTCAATTGCCTATCTATAACTGCCGACGAATCTCGCCTTGGACACCTACCTGCTCTTTTGCTGATTGGGAGTCTGCGCGTTATCACAATCTCGACCAATTGTCTTCAGCCATCTTCCGTCTTTCATGATGTCCAACCCAGCAGAGCCCACAACCCAGGAAGCCACTGCACCTGCAGACTCTACGGCTGCTCCTGCGCCTACCACGACCATGGCCGATGCTGCTGGCCTCGACGTCCCTATGGCCGATGCTGGCGAACCTGCTTCAGTATGATTCTAGGAAAGCCATCCACTTCAAACCGATGCGCTAATCTCAATATCGCAGTCTCCCGTTCCGATCCCGCAGGTCGCCCCGAGTGCTCCTAGCCCTGCTCCTCGAACTGGTACTCCCAGTCGCAATGTCAATGGCGAGGCCAGCTCTCGTGCTGGCTCTGTTCATCCGGATACGAATGCGACAAACATCCCCAATCGCGCGGTAGAGCATGGCGACAGTGCCCGCATGTACATCAATAACCACGTCACTGCTGCTCTGCTCGAGGGCATGAAGATTATCAGCAAGAACCAGTAAGGATTGCCATTCCATGTTTATAACCCATGACATGGTGGCTGACAATGTGGTCCGTTAGGCCTGCTAACCCTCTTCATGTTTTGGGCAATTTCCTTCTTGAGGAGTCTCGTCGCAGAAACGAGCCTTCTGCCTGAGCTGCTGGGTCGTCTCAAGGCGATATCTGGGCTTGAATGGCATAATCATTTGGGACGATGGACTCATGATTTGGTTGGCATTGAGCTAGGCGTTCAGGAAGCAGAAAAGTCTTTGCAATAAGTACTCTGAGCATTATGCTTTAGGTCATGACGATACGAATGATACCACGGTTCAAAAACTTCTTGATTCTTCGTAGCAACCCGTAAAAAAAAAGCTCAATAGACACTGGCGTTGCCGTAGAAGAATTTCCTCATTTTTGTTTGGTTTTATGTCTACTTCTTTTGAGTGACATGCAGGGAAACTTTTACTCCTCCTCGGCGGCGTGAACCCCCCGCGCGGCCACCGGGCCTAGAGAGCTGGCATCAGAGCTCTAAATGCACTTTCCTAATACCCCAACTCCATGACCAGATTCCACCGCGTCGTGCGACGACCCATCGATTCGTTCGTAATAGCGGTTAAAAGGCGCTTAAGCGACGATGGTGGAGGCGGTGGCGGACTCGTATCTCCAGGTAGGGGGGAGGACACCGACGGTCTTGTAGTAGCGGGCGAGACGGTGGATACGGGACTCAATGAGAATGAGGCGGAACTTGGAGTCCTTGTCCTTGCGGTTGCGCTCGAGGTGCTTGCGGACGGCAACAGCCTGTGTCACACGATTCATTAATTATCCGCCCGGGGGTTCGCCGAATCAGACAGAGACGACCGTCTCGGAGCAATTGACGTACCTTCTTGATGAGCATGTAAAGGTCCTCAGGGATATCGGGGGCGAGGCCTGTTCATCATAATCTCTCTGTCAGCCTAGACCAAGCAGAGGCGCATTAAATGCGGTAAAGAGGATTGCTCCTCGCGGACGGTTTTGATAATCTTTCGACATCGAAGTCGCCGCTTGGTGTATTCATCTAACGGAGATCGTACCGGAGGACTTGAGGATGCGGAGAATGCGGTTTCCTATTGATCGCGAAAATAGTCAGTCGCAAAGTTCTATTTTTGATTCTCCTGCAGAGAATTTGGGATATTTCGATTCCGACTTACCGGTGACAACGCGGACCTGGGCAACACCGTGGGAGTCACGGAGGATGACACCGATCTGGGAAGGGGTAGCACCCTTCTTGGCCAGCTTGCAGATCTGGTCAACGACCTGCTCGGGGGTGGTCTTGAGCCACGAAGGGGGGTTGCGGCTGTAGGGGACCGCAGAGGCGGAGATACCCTTTCCCTTGGAGTGAAGACGGCCCATTTTGACGGTGGTTTGTGGTGTTGTCGGCTGGAGTCGAGGGGGTCAGTCGGTCGGTCGCTGGTCGGATTTGAGAAGGGAAGGGAAAAAAGTTCACGATCAAATGCGATATGTTTGGGCGGGCTGTCGCTCGGCGTGGACGGGGTGGATTGTGCGGGCGGGAAAATCTCGCTTAATTAGGGCAGCCGCTGGATTGCACTGGTAAAGTGTTGCTCTTGCCGTGTCTGGTTGGATGCAGAGCCTGCAGTCGTGGATTTGCGCCGTCCCGTCTGGGCTTGGTCTGGGAAAATTTGGAGGACCCGCTTATGGGCCGGAGTTATGGGGCCATGCAGCCTCTCCTTGGTCCGTGCATTAGTTTGCTTACCTCAAGCTTCGTGAGCTCAAGATTTTTCTTCCTGTTCCCTCAACTTCATCTCTCTAAGAGACGAACAAATAAGTCAGATGCAATGCCACTAATTGCTAATTCGCGGCGTCGTCGTACATCCTTTCTCCCAGGTAAGAATTTCTCACTTTAACGCCTCATCTTTTCCCTACGCATCAAATGATGATCCTCCATTATTACTTTTTTCTGGTACCTCTTATTTTAAAGTCTTCGGGCTTAATGAATGAACAGGACTTCTGATTCTGCACACTTTCGCTCTCATTCTGAATCATTCACAACAATGAAAGGGAAGCTAACAAGTAGTAAAGGTCTACCACTCTTCGATATGTTGTCTATCTTGCGCCTCAAGTGACGCGGAGTAGAAAATCACAGACATAGAATCGATCTGGAATGTCGCGTAGTCTTGGAACAGATAGTAAATCAAAACAAATGACAAACGAACTCTTGCAACTTTGGTGACGGAATGATCGGGAGAACGGTGTAGGCAAGACATCTTTAAAATAGAGACAGGACGACCTCTGAGCTTCAACCCATGTTGAACGCTCAGAAGGGGTTCATTGATGCTAGTACGACGTACTAGGTATAGCCAACGCCTTGAACCATGGTTTTCAGCAAGAAGTTTTTATAAAGCACCCCTACTTTTTATCCACCGCGCCGGCTCATAGCCGCCGCAAGTCATCTGCAATTTCGCGACTCAGTGGATGCTCCCGTCCCTGTCGTCCGCGGCCCGCATCGCGGAATTATGGTACAGCATTTTCAGTGGTTACAAGGCTGCCAAAGTATGATCGGCCTGAATGTTCCTTTTCCGCCAGCCCTTGCCTTTTTGATTATGTTATCTCCCCCGTTCCCTGTGCCGGAATAAAAACGGTTACCAGGCACCGACCTCGAAGTTTTCCTACAGCAGGGTCAGTAAGTGTTTCGCGATGTCATACTGGGGCTCTTCTCACCTCGGGAAAGTACGTGGTAACAACAGTGCGATCCGCGAACTTGCGTCCTGCAAGTGCTTGGAGCGCTTTCTTGGACGACTCCTTGGTCTCGAACTTGACAAAGATCTTGCCAACACCGGCAGATTGTCTGCTGCCCCCCACAGGACGAGGGATCTTGATATCAAGAACGTTGCCAAACTTGGCGCACTCCTCCTGGACATCCTCCTTGATTTCTGCAGGTTGTCAGTATGTGCATAAGACCAAAACTAGAAAGTGTCGCTTACCCTCATAATCGTCGGGGTCCATCAATTCCTCTGGAGTAACCATGTTCAGGAGTTGCAGAACACGAGTTTCCTCAGAGTCCGTTGAAGTCGTTCCAGCCAGCATAGACATGGCTGCGACTCCCATTTCCACTCCAGCAACTTGAGTTACACCGACACTGGCCTTCTGAACCTTGAGCTTCTTGTCTCCAAGGTCCATACCGTTGAGACCCTGAATGGCCACGTCCGTAGCTGCTGGATCAACGTACTCGCAGAATGCGATGCCCTGCATGAATGGTCAGTATGATTTTGAGACGACCAACCGGGACTCAGCTTACCCGAGATTCTTCTGTGCTTCTGTCACGAACAAGAACAAACGCCTTGAGCTCGCCAAACGACACCAAAAGCTCCGAGACTTGTTCATCTGAAAGGTAAGGGGGCATGTTCACGATGCTAATCTTGTTTGGAGTATCGATCACCGTGTTGGAAACGACGCCCGGCTCGTATGGGACGTCGTCAACCACCGCGGGAACAATGTAATCCTTCGGACGACGGATCTCGAGGCCCTGGCTACCCGCTGCACCATTTGTAGCATCGTCGGCTTCCATCGAGATTCCATCTAGAGCCAGCGCTACAGTGGCTTCGGAAGCGTTTCTGAACTCAACCACAGCGAAGGAGCTGTCCTTTGAAACCTGACAGCTAGTGCAAGGGTCTGTGCTCTCGATAATGTTGAGGCCGTTCAGCTGCAAGTTGAAGAAGTTCTGGAGGGTTTCTTCGGTCGTGGATGGGGGAAGGTTGTTGATGAGCAGACGCTTAGCCTGGCGCGAGTTGCTCGGCTTCAGCGCGGCACTGTTGACTTGGCCACCTGGCTGGTTCATGATGGCTTGGAGCTTGCTGGGATCCATGGGTTGCTGGCGAGGAGCACCGGGCAGAGGGAACATGCCTGACAGCTTGGCTTGTTCAGCAGTGACATTCTCATAGCCGGGGGGTTTGATGTCCCACTGAGTCAAACGTCGCTTGCGCTCCAAGACTGAAGTGATGTTTGTCAGATCAGGTGTTGGCTCCCTCTTCTTGGGAGGTGGCGTCGCGCTACGCTGGCGTTGTTGTTGTTGTTGCTGTTCACGGCGGCCGAACCCGGCATCCTCGTTTCTGTCTCTTCCGCCTCGGCGTCTGTCGTCGTACGGGTCGCGATCTCTCCGCGGGCGATCGTCGTCGTCTCTTCTAGCATCGCGTCTGGAAGATCCGCGGTCGCGATCCCACTCTCGATCTCCACCACGTCTCTCGCGCCCAGAGTATCTATCCTCACGCTCGCGCTCGCGATGGCTACGACTTGTCGCGTAACTGTCCTCGTCCTCGCGACGTCTAGAGCTTCGGTCGTAGGGGGAACGGGAACGTCTTCGGTCTCGGTGTCTGTCTCTATCACCACCGCGTCTATCATCACGGTCTCTCTGTACCAGATATTAGCTATGGTTGCAAGCAGCTCGTAGAAGGTTTGGACACATACCGGATAGTCGCGAGATCCCTTTCCTCGGCCTTTTCCCCCATAAGGCATTGGTTAGACACAGAAACACATGTAGAGTCAGGTCTTTCAGACGACGAATGGACTTACCGCGAGAGTAGCCGTCGCCGTTCATGATTGCGATTGCGCGTGGCGTGATAAGGCTAATCGTTAACGATGGGCAACGCAGGCTAGAAAAGGCGATTGACAATGGAGTTGAAGATTGCCGCGTGAGGCAGAGGCGCAGTCGACCAGTCCACAGGCGCGAGGCTGGAACTTTTTTCCCTGAAGAGGTCAAGCTCTGAAACTGTGACGTGATTGGCCAATAGCTTTGGTTGAAGTGGATCTGTCCAGACCTTTGGGCCCGCTTGAGGTGTCTGCTTCCGCGCTAAGGTGATCCCCGGTCGCGATGCGTTAGTCAGCAAACAATGTCATCAACCTATCTGTGCAGACACTACTAACTTCTTCTCGTGGACTCTGATCCAGGGTTCAATCTAATCTGGGTATTCTCACAGGTTTTGGCCGTTGCTCGTCATAGGCTGAATCAGTTCGTCTCCCGAGATATCTTACATTCATTCTCAGTGTCCCAATACATGTCTCTTTTAAGACACTGCTTCGCGCATGCAGTATCTGGTTCCGAAGATCTCCCCTCGATAACTCTGTATAGGCGATCTAATCTGATTTCAACCAGTGGCTCTAATTTCTTGAGCCTCGATCGAAGATGGCAATCTCACTTAGATATCTTCTCGCGACGCCTGCCTTCTCCATGGGACGCCTTCCAATCAATACTTCCGCCTCCATCGCCCACGTCTGGCGCAAGCGTCTATGATTCAGCAACACCCACTTGGCCATTCAATTCAAAAATCTTCCCGAAGATTCACTGCGCATGCGGCTGATCTCGAACCTTACTTCCTCCGGTCCCCATGTACCGAAGTTGCGCGTACCGAAGAGTCTCGGAATCCCGTCAGCCGCTGCGCGTCAGCGAGCTGGTCTGTGCGGTAGCTGTGCTCTCGCCCAAGCGGAATCCTTTCGCTTTACCTCCAGCAGCTTCCATGTCAAGGAGCTAGAAACTAAGGCATGGCTTCGGTGCCCATTCTGCTACTAATTCATTGGCTGTTGGTATAGGGAATCTCTATGGGAAACATGCTTCAGCCTGCCGGGCCCCTCGTCAGTCAGCCCTGGGTTTCTCATAGGGAGATGACTGCAACAATACAGGTAAGCTCTCACTCGCCATTTCTCGAGTACGAACTCAGTTAGAAGTGTGTTTCCCAGCTTGGAGTCTGCTCCCAGGCCCCCTACCATGGCTCAGCCATGCAGTCAGCATTTTCAAACAAAACAAGCCGCCACTCATGACCTTAAGAGCGCTGCCGTTGTCCCGCACCTTGGCGCTGCCATCCTGCTCGTGGCTTTCACTTTTGACATCGTCTAATTGTGGACGACAGCTGCTCCCAGAAACCCGAAACCAAGGGAGGATGGCCGGCTGTTTTTCCGAACATTGTCTCACTGTCAGCCCTGGATCTATTCCCCAGAGCCCGATGCTCAACGCTAGTGCAACACTAGGACCCTGATAATGTCTTAGCGCCTACATTGTCCGGACACAACTCGTCTCAATCGGGACGTCAGTTGTTTCTTGGGTCTATCGTAAGGCAACTTTTGCTGTATCACCGCAGAAAAGCCGTCTGGCTGGTGATCTTTTGAGATGAGCACTGCATTGGGTTGGATCCGCAGGGAAGGGAGACGGGCAGGGTTATGTTATAAAGGTAACCAGGGCAGCCCCTCCATCACCCTCTTTCCAGATATCTATTCATGGTGCAATGTTTCGGACCTTCCGTCATCTGGTCCGGCTGAGGGCGTCCTACCACATGGACTGTTGGTCCGGACTCATGACAAGTAGCTCAGCGAGGGACCACCATCATGCGTGGTTTTGCTTCCCTAAACGGCCCTGTCTGTGGGACAGGCGCCACCAAACATTGTTCAGGTGAGAGCCGGTCGAGCGCATTTGAAATCTGGACTAAAGAAGCGAACATGTAAGGAACCGCCAGTGTCCATGTTGTGATAAACGAGCTTCGTGTTCTTCAAGAGGTCTCTCGCGGCAGTTCGTCCTATGTTTCCTTGTGGCAACTGTCTTTTGTGAAGGATCGTTTCTGAATTTTTGCTTGAGTCAATCCGACTTGGCCAACTGCCCCGTTTTCCTCCAGTATCACCTGTCTTGGTTCTGAGCCTTTCTCTGGATATGGTCAACTGATCCGTTTCTCTGTTGACCTTACTCCAAAGTACTTCAAGTACCACAAGAAAATTGCATGTTACGTTTGACCTCATGGTTACGCCATATTCGGTCCTTCGCGCGCATTTCCTGACAGTAGCAAGCCTCTCAATTTTGTTGCGAGCCTTTGTTTCCTCTCGATTTCCTCCAAACAGGTCATCTATGAGCGTAGGGCGCGGCGAGAACCCCCCCTTGCTTCGAAGGCCGATTCGTCGATCGATGCTCAATAGAGGATGTGTCGAGGGCGCCGTCAAGATTCAAGACACATGACTGCATGGTTATCCGCCACTTTCCTTTGCTACCTGCGCCCAACATAGAAGGCAGTCAAAACAAAAGATGCAAGGTAGTCTCTGCCATGTGGGCACCAAGCCAACGGGTCTCTCATGCATGCTTTGGGCGGAGTTCTCGAGCAGCATGCAGTCTGATGGTCTCAGCCATCGGGCCCGAGTCACCCCGCCCCAGCCCCATCGTCAGCCCGGCCCGGTGAGTACGTGAGAATGTTTGCCGCAATAAGTATTGCCATGGGGCCCTCACACGTTACATTTCCCCTCCTCTTTCGAGCTGTCCTCTCTTTTGGTTTCTTCCTCGTTACCATTGCTTGGTCCCAATCTCAAGCCTGTGATTGAACAACACAGTTTCTTGATAAAATGCAGTCTTTCACCTTGGGAGTTGCCGCTTTGGCAGGCATCGTGAATGCTCAGGTGCTGCCGACAATAACAATCTCGCCTTTCCTCACCTCTACAACATCTACTTCTATAGCTACCGGGACACCAGCATTGGCCTCGGCGACCGGAAGCGCTTCTGCTGCCGCCGCGCAGACGCATACTATTGCCGTCGGAGCGGTAGGTGACTAGATCATCAAGAACTACCTGACATTAGCTAAACTGTGACAAGTCTGGGTTTGCCTTCTCGCCCGCGAAGACGGAAGCCAACGTTGGCGATACTATCGAATGGATCTTCTACCCAGATGCTCACTCGGTTATCCGAGCCGAGTTTGGCTTCCCTTGCACACCATACGAGTACATTGACATTGGTCGCGAGGGCTTCTACAGCGGAAACCAGTCGGTCAAGGCCATCACGAATGATGTTAGTACGGCACATGGAGATGAAGCTAGTGTTGGCACTAACATGAATTAGATGCCACGGTACAGACTTCGTGTCAATGACACGCTTCCGATCTTCTACTACTGCGGTGCCCCGGGGTCATGCTATAAGGAGAAGATGATTGGTGTGATCAACGAAGTAAGACGAAACCGCCCAAGGTTGCCAAAAGGATCGGTTATACTTACTAGTCTCAGAACTCAACTCAGACCCTCGACAAACAGCTCGAAGCAGCCTTTCCACTAACCACCCAGATTCTTCCGGGCGAACCCTTCCCAACTGAATCGGATGCTCCAAAGGCAACCAACGGCGGCTCCAGCTCTTCCGACAACGGTGCTGTCATCAACAACTACCATCACAGTGTAAGCGGCGGCCAAATCGCCGGTATCGTGATTGGCTCTCTAGCTTTCCTGCTCCTGGGAGGCCTATTAGTATACTTGTGCGGCCGACGAGGCGGCATCAACCGCGCATACCGGAGAACCTCGACCGCATACCAGGCACCTCCCCCGGCACAATCCCAACCCGCCGTCACGGAGCTCAACTACTCGATGCAACCCAAGAGCCCGGCAACTCAGGGATGGAGAAGCAGTCACTACAGCAACTTCAGCGGTCCCTATCGTGACAATGCCACTCCCACGGCATTCTCCCCTCAACTGAGCCCCCAACCTACCGGATTCTCCCATCCCGTCAACGGCATGCAGACATACTAGTAAGCTTCTCTTCTTTTGCCGCTATTTTCAGTCTCCGCTGACCTAGGTCCCAGCGACCACCGCATTTCGTCTATAGCTCCTAGTGTCGTCGTCGAAGCTCCGGACAACCAGGCGACAGCCCCTGCTGCGGTCCCTGCTGCACCCGCCGCTGCGCCAGTCGAGCTGCCAACGGCGACAGATTCGGGTAATTCTCCACCACCCAGATACATGCCACGTTTCTCATTCGCAGGGCAGGAAAGTGATTACCGACCATCGAGAAAGGACATGGAGTGATCTTTGTAACAATATAAGGAGGCGGAATTTGTAGGAAATAATAACAAAGCATGGGTGATGGAGCGATTAGCTCAGTCGGTATGGCGTTGGCGGTATGATGACTTGATATTTGTTTTCAGTATTGGTTTCTAAGCGCGAAACTTATTCCTACTTGGTACTCTGAACAGCGGCTGTCGATGATAAAATATATCTAGACAATGAAATCTATCTTACTTCCCACATTTAGTTCTCTTAGTCTACAATCGTCGTGATCCAAGCCATGATGTCCGAACAGATCAGAAGTCACAGCCCAGCAACGGTTGAAGGAGCCGAGGCTCTCAAATTGTGGCTTGACATGGCGATTCAGACAGCTAAAGCCAGAAGGGTCAGGGATTAAGACCAAGATATCTCATTGGTGGTATTAGTGCCCACTTGGTCTCTCCGGGAAAAAACTTGGGGAGATGAAAAATCCCCTTCAAAAGTTTGTGCTTCCCAGACTTGCAACCCAGACTTTCAATTGCACCCACAGACTGTTCGTTGCCTTTGTGCCATTTTGTTTAGAGCAGCCCCTCACGTCTTTGTTCCTGGCAAAGCTGCGACGCAACCCTGCAAGCACGACAAACATGCTTCCATCCTGGCGCCCTGCAACTCAAGCAAACACAAGGGAAACAAGCAACGTTGCCTGATAAATATGCATTTCGGTGGATCTCAGCCATCCAGGACCCGTAACTCAGTTGGTTAGAGTGTGATGCTTATACTTCGTGATCACTACGGCAGTATGCTTCTTCAAAGTCGAGAGTTCGAACCTCTCCGGGTTCAGGTTTTTGCCCGTTTTGTCTCAATCCAAGACTTAGTTGTTCCTTAAGATGATTTCTGAGCACCAAGTCACTTGGGACCTTGCTGGTAGTTCTTGAAGCTCTTTTTTAGTCGCGTGGACGTCGGTGCAGTCGCAACGTAACACAGCAAGTTGGGAGGACTTGCCAGAAGGAGGAGTTGTCAACTGGCGACGCACGTTTGAATGCGACCTTTGACTACCCTACCTAGTACCATCCTGTGAACTCGACTGAACCGTTTCTCCCGATCTTGGCATGCCGAATCATGAGGCAGATTATCTTCGCTGATGCAATGTAGATACTTGTTTTGCAGGAAGGTCTGGTGCTTTCTCAGTTGATCCGATTGTGATGACACCATGAATCCACTGGCATACCCTCTCATTTGCTTCTGTGACGGCATGCTTGTATGGACTCTCAGCATGTATAAGCTTAATGCCATGGCCTCTAAAGAAGAATCTCTCTCCGGATCCCTCCTACCAAAATGCCGGAGATGTGGGTCAACCGGCCCGTCTTGGGGGCACTGGTCGCCGGGTTGCTTTCGGATGACCGGAGTCAGTCTTCTTGATTGGTTTTTTGTGTCCTGGATCTTCCTGGCCGCATAGTCATTCAAAATGTCATTTCAGCTCTGCATCCACTCTCGCGAGACATAGGTTTTGCCTGGTAACGATTGCATTATGAACGACTTTGAATGCCGTCGACATAGACACCTGATTGGTAATTCGCAGCGCCGTATGACCCTCCATCCCACAGGCACAAGTCTCGAGTATGTCCTGGCGAGATCTACGTCTCACTTATCAAACGCCGAAATGCTGGAGGTCGTCCTGTCAAATCGCAGGCTCCCGATCTATGTCGATCCAGCTTTTCAAACAATTTGTATTTACAATTTCACTTCGATCGAGCCGCGATAATGCGCGAGTAAAGTCCCGCATGTATTCTACCGCACGACGGGCGGGCCGTTCATGGGCTTCGAATGGGCAGTTGAGCAGCGTTACAGCTACATCGCGAACCTTATACGCCTAAAGCGTACGTTAGTAAGCCGTCCAATAACGGGGTCAAGGTTTGGGCATACCAAATACAGGCCATTGGGCTCTAGGTGAACGTATGGGATGCTATGTAGCAAGTGGAGCATCTGGCGGCAAATATCCTCACGCTCAGCCCAGTTCGCTTTCAGGGCCGCCGACACTTCCTCACGTGCAGTCGTCGAGGGGTTGGCGATCGCGCCCTCTTGAGTGACACCGTCAATCTGTTCCAGCAACAAGCTCTGCAACCACAGGTGTGTGACGTGGATATTGGCCCTCATGATCTCGGCTTGGCTCTGGATCACCTGTGAGTAGGATCCGGCTTCCGTAGCATGGCTATAGTCAGCCGGGCTACCATAGCTCGATACGGCAACAGCCCTTTCCTCGTCGAACCGCGGCGTACTGGGGGCCGCATCAATACTCTCGGTGGAAGCCCATTGCCGCATGGGACCCGGGACATCGTCGAGCATGTATCTCATCTCTTGGAGAAGATCGCGCATGCGCGCGAGACGGGCGGCGGGGGTGCGGCGGAGTTCACATTCGCAGCCCAAGGTGGCTATGGCTTCCTGGAGACCCTTGCGGAATACTCGGGAGTGAATGATGAAGCCGCTGGTGAGTGTGAAGGTCGCTCGGGGTTCCTGCGTGTGGGCGGATGGTGGGCCGTGCGATGCCATTGGAGAGACGGGGTCTAGGATCCTGTCTCTGAAGATGTGTTCGTCGTCGATGTCGAGGGGCATGAGAGCTTCGTAGTTGACCTCGCGTAGCTCACCAGGTCCAAAGTATGTCAGCCGCTCCCAGCGGCCTGCTTGAACTCTGGTATGTCTGGTATCTGTCAGCCTCACATGACAAAATCGAGGCAGGAGATATAGAGGGTATGAGGATTTGACTTACGCATAGCCATAAAAGAGCATCCAAAAGGCCTTTTTCCGCAACTGAGTCTCGATACAATTGAGACCCTCATATTCGGAAATGCGATGCAGCCCAAGCAGTCGTGAAACTTGCAGATACTCCACATCGAACATCCGGCTCCGGTTAACTTGGCCAGTCTGGAAACAGGCGACGGACAGGACGTAACATACTGCCCATTTCCGATGGTTGATGTGGTCCCAGTAATTTGCAGTCCGTTGTCGAGTGCATATCTCCGCGCAGCAGTTGATCATTGCCGTTCTATTCTCGAAGCGCATCGCAGCTTCAGGGTCAACTGCTCTGTAGTCACGGAAGCGCGACGGCAACAGTCCGACTGTGAGCGCGGCCAAACTCATCAGGACAGCAAAGAAATCCGGGTCGGTGATGTCGCGGTTTGTAGCCAGATCATGGCGGAAACTAGGCCGATGAACGACGGGGACCAATGGATAGACCAAGTCGAGATAATCTGCCATAAGGATGTGTATAAGTGCTCTTGAACACAACTCATCTGTTGGGAATCCCGCGCTGGCTATCGAGGGCGATTCCGTCTGGGCCGGAATAGCCGCACGCGGAGATGGGCCATGAGGGACAGGATGAGACGGGTCGTACGGAGACCTGACCTGTGAAGGTCTCGAAGGAGGGGTTTGGTCTGGCAAGACGAGGACAGGCTCAATGCTCACTGCAGGCTCGGGAGCTTGCTGAGACTGTTGCTCGACTGCCTCTACATGATGAACCTCCGCTTCATTGGGTAGCTCACTCTCGCTCCGATCAGACATTGATGGGAGCCGTTTCCTGCCAAGCCAGTGAGTGAGTGGCTCTGGGCAGAAAGTACAGACAGAACGAAACCCCCTGCTACCCCGGATCTTCTTACCTTCGTTTAGGCCCCCGCGGCCTCGTGGGCACCAGGAAGCTGCATGGTATGCCGAGTCTGCAGCAATCGCGACACTGCGTCGGAGACGGTCCCTCAGCATGGGGCGAAGACCCGTCAAAGTGACATTTCCTCCTTCGAGCACGACAAGCGTCGCACGCTCTGCTGGCGATGCTCGATCTCACTGCCGCCGCCGACGAGGAACTGGTTTCGTCTGGCGTTTTGCTAGTAGCCCTTCGAATCGCAGTTGGCGAGACGCTGACGGACGCAGCCTGAGTGCTTGAGCGACGGCGCATGCTGGTGGACTTCGGACCGATAGGGATGGTGGTGCCGCGCCCATACTGCCGGGATTTCTGGAAAACGTGGAGAGGAAAATGAGGGGGAGAAATATGAAGAATGCGGAGAAATGGGATGAAAGGGGGGGGTGACATGCTCCCTTTTAGTGTCACTCGATCCCTACGCTAATTCCCATGGCAAAGGAACTCAATGGAGGCGCGTTGTGGCCCCGACCGATAAATTCTGGGGTCCCCAGCCGATTTTCCACTCTCGAATGGGGTTAGACATGGGATGGTAGCTTTGCGCGTGATCGGAAGATGTTTTATCACCAGGGATGACTCGGGCAACGCCCGAGGTCTGTTGATGAGTGATCGCGGCGAAAGGCCGACGGATTTGAGATTGTATCCGTAAAGTGGGATGGCAGGAATCAAAATAGCACATGGAAATTCTCGGCTTAAGCAGTTAACGTGAGGTTCTGCGAAGATGTCTCAAGTTTGGGCGTCTAAGAAATCAGAGTCCTTTGACAATTGCTTGCTTTGATTATTATCAACCGTGTCTAGCTTTGAAGTATGATTTCATGATGCTCTCAAGAGCAGAATATACGTTCTGAGGGGTATTTAATCCTCTTTGCAACACATCATGTCTAATGTCCTAACTATTTATGTACAGAATGCATGTCTAAGTCTAGTCTTCTAAGCCCTCAATCCTCTCCATGTCCTTGACTTCTCCACCTTGACGGTCTTCTCGAGGAAGACTCCACGACTGCTGGTTCCCACAAGAATGCCGTACGAGCCGGCATCGCTACGCCAGCAGTCTTCCATCTCGCTCCAGTAGCTCGTCGCACGCAGAACATCCAAAGAGATCTCTGCCGTAGCGCTGGCTCCAGATTCCAGGGTGACCTTTGCGAAGCCCTTCATCTCCTTCTTGGGACGGGTGATGGTATCACGAGTTGTGCTGGTCAGGGGCGTGCGTGCCGCCGGTGTAACGTAGACCTGAACGACTTCGGAACCGGCACGAGAGCCCGTGTTGGCGACCTTGACGCGGACGAGGAGGTTATCCGCCTCCTGGATCGTGATTGTGTTGTTGCCGTTGGCGTGATCGTTGGTCTGGACCGATGTATCGGACACCTCGAGATCAGACACATTGAATGTCGTGTATGAAAGACCGTGTCCGAAGGGGAACAAGGGCTCAATGTCAAGCGTGTCGTACCAGCGGTAGCCGACGTAGACATCTTCGCTGTACAAGCAGCGGCCGTTATCTGAGCGGAAGCTCAGTGCTGCGGGGTTGTCTTGCACTCGGCGCGGCATTGTAAGGGGAAGCTTTCCGGCCTGTCATGTAGCTTGTTAGCAGGGCAACCTTACGCTTGAAAATGGAACTTGATAGAACTTACCGGATTAACTTCTCCAAAGAGGACGTCCGCAATACCGTTACCGGACTCGTTGCCTCCAAACCAAGCATGCAAGACAGCGCCGGCCTGGTCAATCCAAGGCATGGAAACCGGCGTGCCGCTCTGAACGACCACAGCCGTGTTGGGGTTCGCCGCCAACACCGCCGCAACAAGCTCGTCGGTACCCGGGGGCAGAGCCATCGTCGTCCGGTCAAAGCCTTCAGACTCCCACTCGCCACTCAGACCGGTGCACACAACGACCTGGTCAACGCTCTTGGCGACCTCCACAGCCTCCTGAATTGCGACAGCAGGCTCAAGCTTGGGGCAACCGCTGAAGCGGACGCCGCCCTGGCCAAAGTCGACAGTGCCGGAGGCCTTGACCTTGCTGGTCGCCGAGCAGCCGAAGCGCACCAGGACGCGGTAGCTTTGTCCAGCTTCCAGGTGCATGGTGCCGGTCTCCTCGACCGTTCCGCAGCCGAGGAAACTGCTGCCGAGGCGCTGGTTTTCGACGTTGGAGACGACAAGCTTGCCATCGATGAAGAGCTCGCCGGTGCCGTGGACCGACAGGCCAAAGTCCCACTCTCCCGATCGCTCGGGGACCAGGGTACCCTCCGTCTCGGCCCACCAGATGGGGTTGAGGTCGGCGTTCTCGTAGTCGACGAACCAGATGTTGGCGTCGTCGAGGACGCGCTCCTCTAGCGGTTTCCGGCTGTCGGCCGAGCTCGCGGTGTCCTTTGGTGGGGGGTCGTTGTAGATGCGGAGCACGAAGCCCTTTTGCTTTCCGTTTGGTGTCTTGAGGGCCTTGCCGAGGAGAGGAAGAGACTGGTGGCCGTAGGCGCCTTGTGAGAAGACAACATCGCTGGCGAGTGACTTAACGCCCTCCAGGGGAGTAACGGTATTGTACGCTCTCAGTCCAGCACTACCGCCTCCGCAGTAGGTTGCGATGTTCGCGTTGGGACCAATGACGGCGATTTTCTTGTTCCTGTCAAAGGGTAGGATACTCCTCTCGTTCTTCAGGAGGACCAGGGACTTGGCGGCTGCTTCGCGCAGGAGAGCAATGTGCTCTGGTGTGTTCGCCTCTGTTTCCGGGGCGTTGGGCGGGATTGAGGTGTTCTCAAGGCCCTGCTTGACCAGCTTCAAGACGTTTCGCACCGCCGAGTCGAGCTCTGACCGCTTGACCTTGTTAGACATGATAGCATGAGAGAGAGCTCCGGCGCGCCATCTACTAGGGCCTGGCATCTCGAGATCGAGGCCGGCCTTGATAGCCTCGGATGTGCTGTAGGTCCCGAACCAGTCGCTCATGACCAGTCCGTCCCACTTCCACTCGTCGCGCAGGATGTCCTGCAGAATCTGCTTGCTCTCCGCCGCATGTGTGCCGTTGACCTTGTTGTAGGCGGTCATGATCGCGCGGGGCTTACCCATCTCAATGGCGATCATGAAAGGAAGTAAGTAGATCTCGCGCATGGCGCGGTCTGTTACGATGGCATTGACGGCCATGCGCTCGCTTTCGAGATCGTTGCACACGAAGTGCTTCAACGTGGCTGACACGCCCGACTCTTGAACTCCGTTAACGTAGTTGCCGGCGAGGATGCCAGACAGCACCGGATCCTCGGAGTATGACTCGAAGCCACGTCCGCCTAAGGGGCCACGCTGAGTGTTGATTGTAGGTCCGAGCAGGACGTGGGCGCCCTTCGCGTGAGCTTCATCTGACAGCAGCCGACCGAGCCTTTGGACGAGTTCGACATCGAATGTTGCGCCGATGGCGGTTCCGCATGGTAGGCATGCGGAAGGTGTGCTGTCGAAGAAATGTGTACCGCGAACGCCGTTGGGACCATCGGAGAGACGAATAGGCTTGATTCCCAAGCGCTCGACTGTTGCCGTGTGCCACCAGCCAACGCCTTAAGTCTGGTTAGAATCTACTCTCTAGGTAACAGTTGTTGGTAACTTACCAGCTGTGAGTGATATCTTCTCCTCTAGCGTGAGCTGTTCAAGAAGTGCTTCGACATCCATGGTGAAACGTGTGACAGAAAGCAAGCTGGTCTTTGGAAACAGTTCAGACGGTGAAGAGACAGGCGAACTTCAACAACAAGATCTGAGAATCGTCTGAAGAAGAAAATTTAAGGCACCAGCATTTGAATAAGAGAGGAATCGAGCCGATCAAGCGGCGCGTCTCAATCCGGAGCCAACGCGGGGAGCCCCAAGTCTCCAGCATGGCCTCTGTGTCTCCCCTCGACCGCGGGGTTCTGATCCACATGTTGGGCACAAAGAATCGCATTCCGAAGGCCGTGACGTAACTTCACTTGAATCAGTGAGTTTTCTGGGTCTTCATTGTCCACTTTACTGCTTCAGAGTCGCGTGGATGGTGACCTGACGCGCCGACATTGTGGTCACAATGGGGAAATGGTTTCGAAGGCGGAGAAATAGAAGAAATGGTTTGAAGCCGGTCTCAACTGCCATGGCTTAGTGGGGTGAGGCACGGTGCATTATCTGGTCTGAAGCAGATCCAGCTTTGACAAGCCAACATTAGCCAAGAACATATTTCTCCGCCTCGGTGTTAGTTTCCTTAGTCTCCTGACACTTCAAGACCTCAACTCTGACTATTCCCGTCACATCAAAGCATGAACTGACTCAATTCTCCGCCCCCGTTTCCTCCTTTCTCCAGACCAACCTTACGACTACTTCGTAAAGCGCTTTTCCCAATGTTTGTCAAGTGGGTCGTATGGGCCCCCGCGACAGCTTGCATTGGGAGCGTTTTCTCCATGGGGCGTGACACTGGAGAGTTCTGGCCCCCCAATCCCCCATCCGACCCAAATCTGCGTTCCGGACGAACACGCGACGACCGGGGCATCGGGATGCCATGCTCCACCTCGTCGGTTTTTTTTCGTACGCAAAGCGCAATCCAACTTCCGGCTTGTTTCCCCTGTTGTCACTTGTGAAGGGAGTATCGATCGTATATAGACCTTGCCTTCTTCCCCCCCTGGACTGTGTGATGTGACCCTGCTTCACGGCGCTCACAGGCTCTAAAGAGTCCCGACAACTTGACGACAATATCTTTGAGAGTTCCTTCACGAACTTGAAGCCCTCTGTCTCTCCTCCTTTTGCCAGCCTTTCCTCCGACTTTGCAAACCCAACGCCAACATGGGTAAACCTGTCGAAGACTTGGCCGTGATCCCCGGCGATGACCTGCCTTGGTGGAAGCACGCCCACTTGCGGAAGCTCAACTTTATCACCTTGTCTATGGTGTTGTTCTGTGCGTAGACTCACTTCAACGCTGAGTGGCCTGTCGTAACTAACTTCGAATACGCCAGCTTCTGCCAACGGTTACGATGGATCTATTATGGGCGGTCTCCTCGCCCTACCTCGATGGAACGCCTTTACGCACAACCCCTCCGGCGCATATCTCGGTTGGATCACAGGTATCTACTGGCTCGGAAACGGTATCGCCTTCCCCATCGCCGCCATCTGCTCCAACCGCTGGGGTCGCAAGCCTGGTGTCTACGTCGGATACTTGTTCCTGGTTCTCGGTGTCGTAATGCAAACGGCTGCTCAGAACGAGGTCACATTCACCTACTCTCGTCTTTTCATCGGTATTGCTGCCTCATGGCTCGGAAACTCGGCTCCTCTCTTGATCAACGAAATCGCACACCCGAAGCAACGATCCATCGCCAATGCCCTGTTCATGGTCGGTTGGTATTTCGGCGGTACCCTCTGCGGCTGGGTCACTTTTGCCTGCCGGAACATTGCCTCGGACTGGTGCTGGCGTATTCCCGTCGTCCTCCAGATCGTCCTACCCTTCGTTGCCCTGCCTGGCTTCCTCATGTCGCCCGAGAGTCCTCGTTGGTTGATTAGTGTTGGGCGCGTTGAGGAGGCTACCGAGATTCTGGCCAAGCATCACGCAGGTGGCAACAGAAGCGACCCCTTAGTGACCTACCAGGTTGTGGAGATCCAGGCCACCATCACCGCGGAGAAGGAGGCTTCTGCCAGCGCTTCGTACGCCGACATGATCAAGACACCAGGAAACCGTCACCGTCTCTTCATCTCTGTTACTCTCGGTATCTATGCCCAGTGGGCTGGTAACGGCGTGGTGTCATATTATCTCCGTGAGTCTTAATCGGAAACATTTATTTCTTGTCTCAATAGCTAACATATGCCTAGCCCGTACGATGTTCCATCCTTTCGAAACCTTTCAATAGGTGGTAATATAGAATAGACCGTGCTAACGAATGTGTAGTTATCCTGAACTCGATTGGAGTCACATCGGTCACGAACCAGACCTTGATTTCGGCTTGCTTGAACGTCTGGAACCTGCTGTGGGCTATCGCTGCTGCCACCAGCGTTGATAAGCTGGGTCGCCGCTTCCTGTTCTTGACTTCTGCCAGCGTCATGTTGGTGAGCTTCATCATCATTACTGGCCTCAGCGGTTCGTTTGCCACGACCCAGTCGTCTGCCATCGGATCCTCGGTCATCCCATTCTTGTTCATCTTCTTTGCTGGATACGACATTGCCATGTAAGTCTCCATATAATCTAGCAGTTGATTCAAGAGACCGATCATTAACCTTACACAGGACTCCCTTCCTCACTGCCTACCCTTGCGAGATTTGGCAGTTCAGCCTCCGATCCCGTGGTCTCACCGTCACCTGGTGCTCAACCGTCGTCGCCATCTTCATCAACACCTTTGTGAACCCCATTGCTTTGGAGGCTATCCACTGGAAGTACTACATCGTCTTCATTGTGATGCTTGGTCTCCTTTGGATCACCGTCTTCTTCGCCTACCCTGAGACCCGCGGACATACCTTGGAGCAAATGGCTGTTATCTTTGATGGTGACGACGCTGCGGTCCCTCCTGCGGCTGCTGTGAGCGAGAAGACTGAGGCCTTGGTCACTCATCAAGACGATGAAGATAAGAGGCAGTACCAGAGCGATGCTGAACACAGAGTTTAATGCATCGCATTTCACGAATCCAGAAGCTTTGAAGCTTCAAAGTCAATACCCATCTTGCATTTAGTAAAGTAGTAGTACCATCCAATGCATCTCATCCAAGATTACTCGTCGCACTTGATCTTTTCACTGAGGTTCGCAATCTGTTCTAATTGAAGGCAACCCCGTAAAATGGTTCAACACATGCCAACGACTGTAAGTTGAAACAAGCTCTTACCAATATCTGTTGAAGAGCAGAGGGGATGTTTGTCGCCATCTTGCCGATTACTGTAAGAGACTATTGGCTTGGTTGCAGTGTGACGAGCGATGCTATTGGTGCATAAAGCCTGCTATCTGCACGACTAGGATTCACAACACTCAGCTGAGGACTGGAGCTGGATATCCTCAGGCATCTACGGATATGCCAAATAGACAACAGTCATCGTACGTTATTCTCATGCTTCTCTGGCTGCTCTACCTGCTTCTCAGCGGGAGCTTCTACGGCAAACTCAATATCTTAATTAAGTCGCCTCCTAGGGTTCAAAGTAACAGTATCACTGCGCAGTATGTCTATCCGGCTCATCGATACGGAGACTCTTCAGCTGAAGCCTTTTGCCTCAAGCCATGCGCCAGCATATGCGATCCTCTCGCATACCTGGATCGAGGATGAGGAGGTTAGCTTCCAAGAACTCAGGCAAATCGGCGAGGCACCAGATCACAAGGCATTGAGAAAGTCTGGCTATGAGAAAATTATCGCAACATGCCGCGAAGCCAAGGCCAATGGCATAGACTACGCATGGATTGACACTTGCTGCATAGACAAGACTAGCAGCGCTGAGCTTGGCGAGGCTATCAACTCTATGTTCCGCTGGTATCGTGATGCTCGAGTCTGCTACGCCTTTCTCTCGGACTGGCCGGCTGCCGGTGATGGCGGCGATTCCACCGACGACGCCTTGAAAGATTGCAGATGGTTCACCCGCGGCTGGTGTCTCCAGGAACTCATTGCGCCCAAGGTTCTCCGATTCTACGACGAGAAGTGGATCTTCCGAGGTCATAGGTCAGACTTCAGAGAAGCTATCTCAAGGATCACGCGGGTAGACGCAGACGTGCTAGGGGATTGTACACTCCTGGAGTCAAAGCCAGTGGCGCGCAGAATGTCTTGGGCATCGAAGCGGACTACGACGAGGATAGAGGATGTTGCCTACTGTCTCATTGGAATCTTCGACGTCAACATGCCGATGCTATACGGCGAAGGCGACAGGGCGTTTTTGCGTCTGCAAGAGGAGATTATCCGGCGCTCCAACGACATTTCAATATTCTGCCATGCACCGCTGCGGCCTCACCCATCGACGTCGTTGATGGGTAAAGAAGACTTGCCGCGAGATCTCTCGGATCTCTATTTCTGCGACATGCTAGCCAAGTCTCCAGAAGCGTTTTATGAGTCCAATAGCATCTCGCGAATTCGAGGGGCGTTGCTCGATGGACGAGAGTTCGCCATGACCAACCGCGGGATCCGATTCGGCCGGCGACGATTCTTTGAGATCCCGGAGATCAACTGCCTGGGAATGAAGCTAGACTACGCTGCTTCACCTGATTGTCAGAACCCAGAGATATTCAACGTCTTTCTTCGGAAAGTCGGCCCGAATTTATTTTCGAGAGTGCTGCCTGTTTCAACAAAGGATCGGCGCACACGTGTGGAACTCGACGATGCTCGAAGAACCATGTTGGTAGAGAAGGACGCCTGCGTAATTTCCAGAGTGACACCGTCTATTCAGAGACAGATACAAGAGTCTGTTACCAGGAGAGTAGATGTGTGTCTACGGGTAAAGCAGAATCAAGACGAGCATCTCAAAATGCACGTTGTGGAGGGCTTTCCCCCAGATCGTTGGGATAGCCTGAACAGGAAGTTTTTAGTTCCTAAGGACACGTCGTATAGAACGAGCCTGCGGCTAAGACTTACCTTGGGACGAGATCACAACGATGTCTATCTCACTTGTGGTATACCCAACACCGGTGAGAAGGACGGATGCAAACAGCCATGGGCTACATTCTCTACCTCTGATTGTAGACAGTTGTGGTACAGCGGTGACTGGGGAGATGAGGATGAAAGTAAGATGGCACAAGCCACTGCCCAGCACGTTACAAGTAAGGTGCTGCTCAATGCTCGGATCTGCCAGGAACCTAAGAATACTTGTGGTTCCGTGCCATTCACGTGCATAATCGAGGCTTATCTTGTGCTGTAAATGTCACAGGGTAAAATTGACTTGTTCTTGCATCCTTCGCCGGAGTTGACTTGCCAGATGAGTAGCTGCCTAGTAGCACCAGTACAGTAGTCTTCCCGACATCTTGGCCACAGTCCACGTGGAGTCCTCAGCTCCTTACACGCGCCCGGTGCTCTTGAACGCTATAACTACTTATCTTTGACTTACAAGGTGCACTATTCACACTATCTCAAGCCCTCTGTCTTTGCGACAGCGGTTTTCGCCGCTTGCTGCAGAGCATCCCCAAGGTCTTTGGGCATACTGAGAAACGGTGAGTGACTGGCCGAAAGGCTAGCCGTAAAAGAGCTGGGGGAAAATTGAGAGGCCATCATAATTTGTAAATCGAGCGGTATGGCCTGGTCATTCTCAGCAAAGATGTAACCCATTTCAAACCCTTCGTTCCAAGGTTCAAAGCCGGATTTGTCTTGGAATGTCTTGAACGGCTGAGGACGCAGAGCCTCGACGGCCTTGGCGGCAAGAACGGGCTCGACGTCAGCATAAAATACTGAGATGGGATCGAGAGGCGAGATAAAGCCGTCCTGCATGGGTAAGGGTGGTGAGCAACAATCTTTGTCTTTCCTGAAGCCGAGAGCTAGCACACCTTGATGTCCCACCAGGGCACTGAGCCCGCTCCGTCGGATAGAGCCGATCCGGCACCAATAGCAAAAGAGGTCATGTACACGATCATCAGAACACCGCCCGTCTGGCTCTGCGCAACGCGATCCTTATAGTTGAAACCCTCTACCGCGTTCGCAGTAGGAACACCGCCATAGGAATGCGCAACCACGACGACCTCACGCCCGTTGTCGACAAGCTTCTGCAGCTCGGTGCGGACGGCTGTCGTGTCTTGCTCCAATCCCACGTTCGCATCGGTGCTACCCACGCCGGCCAGTGTGACCGTTTCAGTACTGAAGCCCCGGCCGTGGAGGTCGTCACGCAAAAGGTCGAACGACCATGGACGATGCCAGGCGCCCGGCACTAAAAGAAAAGTTGGAGGCGCACGAGAACTCATTGCGATGATACTGGGTGCGATTTTGAGGAGTTGATTGGGAATTTGAGATTGAAGAGGGTCCGACTAAACTTGGTGGTGAGTGAGAGCGAGAGTGAGAACTGAGATGAAAGAGCTCGTTCGGGTAAGACCTTGATCAGGGGAAAACCATGTTACTTATTTCATCGGGTCGGGAATTGGATTCGGGAGGTGTTCATCCCCTGTTTCTTTCTTCAACGAGCGGGATATGGACGAAAGGCCGGCGATATTGGGTCACATTTACTTCCAGATGGGCCCTATTTCGTGGGACTCGAGCTAGGGCACCTGGCAAGTCTTGGCTTAGTTGTGTTGGTTGGCGACTTGGTGTGGATACTGCACGACTCAAGCAAGCTACAGTGACATTTCCAGGGCGGCCCAAAACATGCCATTTTTTCCCACTAGAGCCAACTCTTAGGGACCCTGTCACAATCCTTTCGAGTCGAATTGGTGATACTTGACGAGTAAGACGAACGCCAGCCAGTCTTTGTGTGGACCGGTGGGTTGATGTTCCAACGGATGGTGTAATAGGTTATCGGCGGTCCCAGGTTCTGCCCGGATCGTGGAGAAATCAATCTCGATTTTGTACCTGGCGGCCCCAGTTCCCGGGCGCAAGAACCAGGGCCAAGAGCCTAGTTCTGTTGCATCTTCGTGTTATGAATCGAACCGACTTATTGGCCAGCATGCAACGGCAAGTCTCGGTTTCCGGTTCACACGTAACATGGTCATTGTCTGGCTCGGACACCCCCCCAAAAAATGCCTGAAAATCTAACTTGACAGATGTCTGTTCTTCCGTCTTTAACTCAAACACTGAAGTCTTCACGGAACCGAAGGCAAGATGGCCTCTCTGCCAGTTCCGGATGGCATAGATCTCAATGAGTCCAGGGCGACCAGCATCATTGGTGCTCTCAGTTGCACGTGGGCACTCGCAACCATCGCCGTTGCGCTTCGGTTCCTCGCTCGACGAATACAATCCAATAAGCTTTGGCTAGAGGATTGGCTGATCACTATTTCCTTGGTATGCAACAAAGGCCCACGTTTGAGTTATCAACTACTATCTTACGACAAAGTGCACGCGGATCACGCGCTTACAATTCGATCTTAGACTGCAGCAGCTGTGCACGTTTTCATAAGCATAGGGTACAGTAAGTCAACTCCACGAAGCTCGAAGTCCAGTCGAATTATCAAAAGCCCCAACCTGACTGCATGCTGACTCCGGCGTAGTGATCCCTCATGGTACCGGTAAACACATTTGGGTAGCGCCGCCCTCAGCGACAAGAGCGTGGGCGATAGGTCTTTTCATATCAGAGGTTGCATACACCGTGACTTTATCAACAGTCAAGTGGTCGACATTGGCGCTCTACTGGCGAATTTTCAATGCCCGTAAGAGCATCAGATATTACATTTGGGCTATGGCCGGCATCGTCTTGGCTTGGTTCATTGCTGTTGTATGTTGAAAGACATCCATTCCAACTGCGGTCTCAATGTCTGGCGATACCTGGGCATATCACTGACAAAGTTCGCAGATTCTCGTCACGATTTTCCAGTGTCTCCCAGTCCATGCGTTCTGGGCCCGCTATGACACAGTGAACCCCTTGTCGTCTGATCAATACACCTGCGGCGTGGACGTCAAAATGTTCTTCAAGGGAAACTCTATACCCAACATTATAACGGATGCACTGGTGGTGTTGCTACCCATTCCCTACGTCTGGAAGCTACAACTGCACAAAGCCCAGAAGTTTGCCCTGGCGGGTATTTTTGCGCTTGGTACTTTGTAAGTTGAAGAGCAGTCTGTGCCACCTACAGGAGACATAACCGCTGCTGACGAATACTGCTAGTGTAACTGTAGTTTCCATGGCTCGGTTAAATGTGATTCTCTCAGTCGACCTCACGTCACCGGACATCACTTGGAACTTCATCGACACCATTATCTGGACCAATGTCGAAGCCAACACAGCTATCATTTGCGGTAGGTTCTTTCGGCTCAGTCGGGCTAGAACGTTGCGATGGGAATGAATAACTAAAATTTCACCTGCCAAAAACTAGCTTGTCTCCCATGCCTCAAACCAATTCTCAACCTCGCGCTGAACGGGAGACTAAAATCTTCGATTAAAGCGAGTAACCAATACTCTGGCGGACAATATATACTCAACGACCGTACGAAGCCCAGCACTGCAAATGGTAGTAACTACTTAGGAGGTTCTAGTACTGGGACGATGCGGAAAGGGCTTGGTGGAGGTGCCGAGGACGAGCGCCCTTTTACTCGACTCAGTGAACGGGACTCTGAGCCAAGTATCGATGTCGTTAACGACGACGGAGGCAGTGGGCATGGAAGTTTGAGCAAAGGGGGAGGAATTATAAATACTCACAGTGTGAGCGGGAATTCAGCTCCATAGGCGTCATCGCAGCCAGCTTCAGTACATAGTAAGTAAAGACCCGCATAAGAAGATGGTCTTCTGAGAGGAATGCTCCAATAACAAATACTTGAGTGCCCGGTGAATTTCTAGATCGTATGCCCGACAAGCTGCAGTTGCCCCGGGTACTTCAATGTCATCCCCATGTCTGTTGGACCTGGAAACAGGGAATTGGTCATGATCCTTGCTTTCATGTGAACCCCAGTAGGAGGACGCAATCGAAGTTATCGAACAACAAAAATGGGGCGACAATGTTCCAGACTTCTTTGTTCGTTCTGCATGTATCTTTCCCCTCATTCCAACATTCCAAGCTTTGGACGTGACATCCCGAACAGGCTCTATAAGTTGACCGTTACCCACACCATGGCAGAAGAGCTTTCCGGTGAGGCAGTCGCTGTGGAAGCAACCGCTGGAGTTCACCCAACGGCTGAAAATGCCGAGAATGCTGCTGCACCAGTAGCACCGGCATCGCCGGCTGCCGCATCACGCCCCGCCCTGCTATTGTCACTAGTTGCTGCCGCGCCGATTGTAGCTGAAGAAGACCCAGATCCACCCACTGATGGATACGAGTCGGGTACCGATGGCAGCTCCAACGCCTCAACTTTACTGTCATCGAGCGTTCGTGACTACGAATGGGAGAATAAGCGCCGCTATCACAAGTTCAAGCAAGGCCGTTACCTGTGTCCAAACGATGAGCCCGAGCAGGATCGGGAGGATATGAAACACGCTCTAGTAGTTCACATCTGCGACGGTAATCTGCACAGCGCGCCTCTGAAAAACCCGCAGAAGATTCTGGACATAGGCACCGGCACTGGCATCTGGGCGATCGATAGTACGTGAAGAGGCTTCTCTTCTGGTTTCGGCATGAGCTGACTAGATATGAAAGTGGGTGACAACTATCCGGAGGCAGAAATCGACGGCATTGATTTAAGCCCCATCCAACCCGGTTTCGTGCCGCCGAATGTCAAGTTCCTGGTCGATGATGCTGAGGCGGAGTGGCTGTACCCGGACAACTCGATTGATTTTATCCATCTGCTGCACATGGCGCCTTTCATCAAAGACTGGCCCAAGCTACTGCGCCAAGCATATAGGTGAGTTCTTCACTCAAACTCAAAGATAAATTGTGGAACTTTACTTATAACAGCAGGGTGTTAAAGCCGGGTGGCTGGATCGAGTTGCAAGAGCTGAGATGGAGATTCGCTTGCAACGACGGCACAATGGGTCCCGACTACGCTCCGACTAAGATGACGAATCTCATCGAAGAAGGTCTCGGCAAGTTCGGCTTTGAGCTCTGCGCATCGGAGACCAACCCGGAACGTCTCAAGGCTGGTGGCTTCGAGACGCAAGTCCACGATGTTAGGAAGGTGCCGTTGGGGAGGTGGCCCAGGGACGATAATTTGAAAACCATTGGGACGTATTCTCAGGCGGTTCTGTTTGACGGGCTGCAAGCTATTACGATGGGACCTCTGACGAGAGGGCTAGGCTGGACTCCAGAAGAGGTCGAAGTGCTGCTGATGCAGGTGCGGAAAGACCTCAGGAACTTGGCTTTTCACACGTATGTTTACTATCACGCTTTATCTGGGAAAAAGCCGGTATAAGAGGCTTAAAATAGTCTCGATGACGGGCCTATAGTTTAATCTACATATTCTTAGTAATTGCAAATGCAATGCTGCATTGCAACAAGTCAATTCGAAGGTGATGGGAGTTTAGCTAAGAGCGCCAAAACTATCGACCATAACCACCGGACTAAGCGTTTACTATTGGCAAGACCGCAGACAAAAGTGATATGTAGTTGAAAGAGCATTGACAGAATTCATCATTTGTAGGACTATCCAATATATTCTTGACAGTTTGAGCGATTTGAATGCGATTTCGAAGACACGAAAAGATACACTCTCCGGCGTATTGGATAAACCACATGTCGACTCTTATCTCTTTCATGGAGAATCTTGAATGTTTGCTTCTATCAATACACCTTACCCCCTTCCTTATTATAAGTAAACATGTTCTAGGTGTACCAAATAATGTCAGCTTTGACTATAACACAGCGGCAGCTATTGGCCTGATGAACTACCCCACAAGGTACCATGGCGCATGTGAGGAAAAAAGACCTAGAACTGGGTCAATTCGTAGGGACTGCACATTCAACTCATAATATCTCGCCTCCGGCTGCCCTAGGTCTGTCGAGATACGATACTTAGTGTTGAAATGCGGACCACCAGTCGTTCCGATTGGTAAATTGCACCTCCGAAATGGTGTGGAGTGCTTACACCCTTGCTAAGCCTCTTTAGCTGTGCTGGGTCCTGTCATGATGGTGTCCGTGTGGAGTGCTTACGTCCTTGTCAAGCATGTCTTGGAACAAACGTTGGATCATTCAAATCCAGTTTGATTCGCGTTTGCAAGTAGTTCGTCACTCATTCGCATCACCGGAGTAGGTCTGGACCCGACTTTCCGGTCCAAGAGGGAATGGACCGGAGTTAAGTACTGACCTCGAACTTCGAAGATACCTAGTATTGCGGAGTTTGTGTGAATGCGTTGCTACGCCGGGTTGTGATTCCTTGTGTACCTCGGTTGTCCCCATTTCAATGTACTGGATTGAGTATAACCTTGGACCTCAGAGATCGTGTCTGAGCATCACCTTCGAACTATATAAGAGGAAGGTCTTCCTCTTCTAAAACTTAATTGCCAAGTTATCTCACCCCCACACCACATATCCCTTCAAAGTACAAGCTCATTCACTGACATCATTCTCAAGATCAACCAGCATCATGTCTTCCAGAACCGACTTCAACGCTTTGACCTCAGCCACAGAGATTGCCGCGACATATTCTGAAATCCTCACCGGCAAGACTATCATCGTTACCGGCGTCTCGCCGGATGGTCTTGGTCTGGCCACTGCTGCTGCCTTTGCATCCCAACGTCCGCAGCGCCTCATCTTGACGGGCCGATCCCCTGAAAAGGTACAGACCTCCATAAGTACTTTGGAAGCGTTGCATCCAGGCGTTCAATATGATGCGCTGATCATGGACCTGTCTTCTACAGCCTCAGTACGCGCTGCTGCTGCAAAGCTCAATGGAGACAAGAGTGTTCCTACCGTTGACATTCTTGTCAACAACGCGGGTGTTATGGCGCTTCCGGACCTTCAACTTTCCGAAGATGGCATCGAAATGACTTTTGCCACCAATCACGTTGGCCACTTCCTCTTCACGAATCTCATCCTGCCCAAGATTATCAAGGCAGCAGAGATGACTTCAACCCTTACCAGGATCATCAACGTAAGCTCCTATGGACACCAATTCTCGCCAATTCGCTTTTCGGACATCAACTTTAGCAAGATCCTTGCGAAGCTTCCCGAGGAAGAAAGTCCTGATCTTCAAAAGGCCAGCTTCTTGACGGGCCAAGATTGGTCCGACAAGTCTTACGTTGGCTTCCTGTCATACGGGCAGTCCAAGACGGCCAATATTCTCTTTTCGGTGTCGCTTACCGAAAAACTGGAAGCCAAGTACGGCATCAGATCGTATGCTATTCACCCCGGTGCAGTCACTACCAATATCAACCGTCACGCCAAACCGGAGGAAATTGAACAGGCGCTCAAGAGGGTAAAGGAACTTGGCTTCGAGACTCTCGCCAAAACACCCGATCAAGGTGCCAACTCTTCGGTCCTCTCTGCCGTGGATACCGAATTGCCGAGCCCGGACCTTTCGGGCCTTGAAGCAAAGGGTCTCTACATGGCTGACTGCAAGCTTGATGATGAGCAGTGCGCTGGATTTGCGAGGAACAAGGAGTATGCTGACAGGCTCTGGGCGCTCAGCGAAGAATTAGTCAAAGAAAAGTTCGATATCTAAATCAAGAACTGAGTGCACTTGCTCGTTAAACATGGACTTTGTCACTTTGATCGTGCTGTCAATTGAGCCTTGCGATGGGCGGCTTAAGAGTCAAATATAACAATTCATTCCATCTTACTGCTACTCGTCGTATTTTGAAGGTTTTAGGTTCGCAGTGCGCCATAGTACGTGAAGAAAGCAATCGCGGCCCAAACAGCGGGCCTAGGAGAAGTCCAGAAGCCCATCAATTAGGCACTCGGTCAGTACGTGTAACGTCATGAGTTTAGGTCTGATATTTGTTCCGACTCATCAGTGTGCAGAGTAAAACATGGCGTAGCACAAATGATGAATGTCATTGTATCTGGAGTCTAGTATGATTTCTATGAGACCCAGTTCATATGCGCTCCTACGGCGGCTTTACGACCTGGTGCAACTTAGGCCGGCGTCGGATCGTACTTTCGATCAAACTGTTAGAGTATTTAGATACCTTATGCTGTTGCTGCAACTTTCAAGCCGAATTAGACGGGATCGAAATTGAGGAAGGACTGGCACACTTCTTAAAGCCATGCTCTGCTGTCAGCAAGTGGAGCGTATCGCCTTATGGACAACATCACAAGTCCCACTATCAATTAATTGATCGATGAGAACAAGTAATTCATGGAGTTTATGACTTAAGGCATGGTTTCGATGTTACTTGTTCACCTCACGTGTTGACACTCTACTTAAGGGGTGAAAGATGTAAAGCTTTCACTATGCCTTTCCCCAAACTGATCGGACTAGGGACTCAATGTCGTCTTTAAATAATTTGTTCTAGCTACTCATTGAAATAATAATATCGTTTGAAAATTTGCATGATGAAGACAAATCTAAGGTATTCCACTGCATTGCGAGAAAGAACATAATAACCACTGCCGAAAGGCTCATCTCGTGTAAACAACTCCAAACTCCCACTGTATAGGATGGTATCTCTTAGCCTGACCGCCATTCCAATATGTACAATATAAAACGAGAATTTGGACTTTCGAAATGCCAAAGGTTGGCTAAAAACAACGCTGTTGCCAAGCTGAAAAGCGCCACGTTTGATGACGGCACTTCAGCCCAGATAGTATGTGTAAGTGTGTGTGTGTGGGGCAACGCCGGACCCTTAGACTATTGCCCAAGCTGAGGCCAAGATCAACACGAGCGCCGAGGACTTGGTGACAAGACCGCCGAGCAACTTGGCACCCGCATCACTGGTTTTGACCGCATTGCAAGATAACGCTGAGAGTTTGCCCTCGGGATCAGGCCAGGTCCCGTTCTGGCAATTGGCCCGAGTGAGCATCGCCTCCTTGACCTGCGTCTCCAGAGCCGCGTCCATCTTGAACCCGCAGGCTTCAGATGCAGGCTCCTTGTCCGAAACCACGGGACAGATGTCGCCGTAGTCGTGGCTGTTACCCGTGATTTCAAAACTGCCGACAAAGTCGGGGCACGCGGTTGTGTCGACGAGAGACGGGATCTGTCCGTTGGGGTCGGTTGTGAAGAAGGCGGTACCATTGTACGAGACATCGTAGACCTTTGACGACGGGCCCTCGCCGGTGGCGTTCTTGGGGCAAGCGCTGAACATGGTCGCCGTGTACCGCAGGCGAAACTCCCGTTGCGTCGCGTTGACCAAGTCCCTGCGGGATGCGTCGATGATGGTGTAAGTATCGGCTGTCTTGTTCTTTGCCTCTGTCTGCCAGACGCCCGAGCTGAAGAGTTGTCCCGTGTCCGCATCGTTAATATCGGTGTACCCCGTGAGATCCCATTTCACCCAAAAGTTGTAAAAGTTCTTTTCGTCAGACTCTGGCCAGAGCTTAGAGGCATTGCGGACGGCGAAGACGAAGGGGAAGGGCCAGACGGGCTTGTACGTGCTGCCGTTGCGCGGAAAGGCAAGATCGACTTCGACGGAGGTCGAGGGCGTCGTTGTTGTCGTCGCCGCAGAACTGAAGCCCGCGAACAGTGTCAGCAGCTGCAGCGAGCGGCTGCGTGAGACGTGCATGGCCGGCTTGTTTGATGTGTGATATGTTATGTCTTTCAGCTTCCAGAGAGAAAGCGATATGCCGTCGGGGGAACACAAGTTCAGATAATCAACACAGAAACGTAGGAACGTCGTCCTTCGGAAAGTAAATATAGATCGTCCAGGCACCCCGAATTGCCCAAAGGGGTCGATCGTTATTAACATGACATGTCACCACCGGGCTGCGGCACGGCCGCACCGGGGGTGGACACTGGGGCCAGGGTTACCCGGGATGGGTTGCTGAAGTTTACGAAGACAACCTTTCCGAATTTCCGTGTCAAGAAAACTTAATTGGAAAGCGGAGTGATTATGAGTGGACAAAACCGCCGTGTTTGCGGGTTTTGAACAAAGATCCAATTTCAAACTAGAGACTCGAAAAAGAGCCTCTGGCGCCACCAGCTAAAAGTACCTAGTTTAGTGTTAACTAACTCGCTTTTTGGGTTTTTCTCGCAAAGCTTGGTCACGATATCAAGAGAGTGAGTAAGGCAAAGCCTTTCCATTGGTTGCGATTGCATAACCAGTAAGCCCATGCAGGGGTTGCAAGCCACGCACAGTTAGCGTGTAAGTCGGTGCTCGTATCGGGCGGTCGAAATGTTCATCTTACCCTTGACGGTTCGTTCCTTTTGCCCATCCGTCATTTGTTCAAAGCTGATCCCGCGAATCCTTCACTCCGTTGACAGCCTTCATAATACCAAAGTTGATCCTTCGAATATCACTAGCGCCAAGGCGTACATGATCTAGTGCTGACCCAACCAAGCAACACGGCCACACTTTGTTCAGCCAAGATACGGATCTTAGTGTGCCTGGCAAGTTTGCGAAATTCCATTGCCAACCTACGGGAAAGGAGGTTGAATACCAGATCACGTCAACGGCAAAAGAGTTTCGGCTTCGAATTAACAAAATGAATTGAGTTTAGCAACAGGTATTATGCCTGAATGGCTTCTACAAAGCCCCACGAGTAATTTTCTCGCTTTTCCCAAATGCCCATAGGCAACTTGAAAAGACGGCTCAGCTGCCGACAGCTCAAACCCCCAAAGCACTACTTCCTCAAGATTAAAGAAATTGTACAAATAACGGAACCTTAAAAGATTTCGAATAAGGTTCCGCAACGGCGCGACAACGATGTCTCACACGTTCTACAATAATTAAGCGGCATCTGGAGCCGGAATGCCCCACACAAACGACAATGCGCTGCCCACAACGTGGGTTCCGTCGGACCACACGAGTCTGCCCCAAGAAGTGGCGTCCGCGCTGGGCGGGGAGCTCATCGTGACAGTCAACTCGAACGTCTTCTTCTCTCCGACCGCCTCAAAGGTGAGAGTCTCGGGCGTCACAGAGGCCTTGACCAAGTCGGCGTCGTTGAGCGAGATGTCGGCCTTGTACGTGCCGGCACCGCCGACGTTGGTGACGGTGCGCTTGAAGGTGGCGGTGTAGGATCCGTCCGAAGCGGCGGCGCTGTCGTACAGGGCAGAGAAGGAGGGGTAGTTGAGGTCGTAGACGCTGTAAGTCTGGTTGGACGCGCAGGTGAAGTTGCTTCTGGTGATGGCGGTCGTGAAGGCGACCGTCGAGTTGACGGCGCAGAGCCAGGGGAGGTAGTCGGCGGGGGCAATGTCGTAGACAAAACCCGGGTTCAGGGCGGCGACGGGATCCACGTGGCCGTTTCCGTAGAGGAAAGGAGTGGCGGCCTTGCTGTCGGAGGAGTCCAGGAGAGGGGTCTTGGCGCCCTTGGTATTGGTGTAGGCGGTTGTCATCATGGCTGAGCGGATGGCAGCCGGGCTCCATTCCGGACGACGGGCCATGATCCAAGTTGCAAGGCCGCTCAAGTGAGGGCACGACATGCTCGTACCCGAGATGACATTCTGGTCGACCTTGCGGGTGTCAGTATCAAGACCGGTAGGTCCAGTGCCGGCCCAGGCTGCAAGAATGGAAACACCAGGCCCCTGTCGTTATGTTAGTCTATTGACAATCTTACACAGCCTCTTTCAGCTTCAGAATACTGTCCGTTACGTACCGTGATATCCGGCTTGAGGAGCTGCGGGACAATGTAGTTCGGGCCGCGCGAGCTGAAAGCCGCGATAAGCGGAGCTGGGACTCCGAGCCTAGTACCCTCAAAGTCCAAAATAGCTGTGCCGTTGCCGGTCTTTGCGTAGGCCTCCACCTCGGCTCCATCTGAGGCAGTAAGGTGCAGAGCGGGCAGGATGTGCGCATCGGCAATCAGCTCGTCGCCGTTGGCGGGCGCGTTCACGAGGACCATGCCGCGACCACCAGCAGCCTTGACAACGCCGCCCTTCTCGGTTCTGCCGTTGTTTCCGCGCACGCAGACGACGACCTTGCCGGCGACCTTGGTGGGGTCGAGGCTGTTCGCGAGGCACAAGTTGGCGTTGGTGACATTGCCCTTGCCGGCCTGGCTTGCGTGAACAAGGGGGAGGACCTCGCCAACCTTGAGAGGCGTAATGTCGGTGACGGAGCCGTTGCTGTAGAGGGAGAAGCCGGTGTAGTTCTTGCCGTTGCCGAGGGTGACGTGAGCAGGGAAGTCACGGTCAAGCGTGCTCGCAGCGACGGTCAGAGCCCAGGGGGCCTACAAATGTGTCAGAGCCTCAATGGAGCAGTGAGATTGGGATAAGGCTGGGCAGATGCTTACGAGGTTGGCTACTGTGCCTGCTCCTGGGCCAGAGTTACCAGCAGACATGGCGACGAAGATGCCCTTCTGGACAGCGGCGAATGCACCGAGTGCTGAGCCATCGTCCTCGCTGAAGGAAGGCTGATCGGGACCGAGAGAAAGGGACATGACATTGACGCCATCCTCTATGGCCTTATCCATGGCCGCGAGGATGTCAGAGTTGAAGCAACCCTCCTTCCAGCAGACTTTGTACATGGCGACACGGGCGAACTCAGCCATACCGCGAGCGGTACCAGAGGCCTGGCCAAAGAGGCTTGCGTTGGGCACAGCGGCTCCGGCCGAGGTGGACGAAGTGTGCGTGCCGTGTCCATCATCGTCCCTAGGGGACTGGTACTCTCCGGTCCAATTGAAGGAGCCTGTGTCGTTGGTGACGGCGGCGACGTAGCCCTTGTAGAAAGCTCTGGCACCGACGAGCTTCTTGTTGCAGCTGGAGGCCGGAAAATCATCGCTGGCTTCACACTCGCCCTTCCAGTTGGCAGGGATGGGCGGCATGCCGTCATCCTTGTAGCTGGGGTTCTCGGGCCAGACGCCCGTGTCGAAGATGCCAACGATGAGGTTGGACTCTGCGCTGGTGCCGTTATAATCATCTCTCTCGTCCAGGTAGCTGCCGACGTCGAGCCCGCGCCCAAGAAGCGAGGCGTCGTCGATGCCTAGAAAGTTCGGCGTCCTGGTGGTGTGTAGGCGGTAGGCCTTGTCAAGGGTGACGGACAGGACGTCGTCCCGGTCTCTCAGAGCGTCAGCTTGACCGTCTGTGATTTTGGCAGCGTATCCGTTGACCGTGTTCTCGTAGTGGTAGAGCACGTTGGCAGGATCGGCGGAAACGGCGACCAAGGAGGAGTCGAACAGATCTCTACGCTGGAGGCCGGAGGCAGCGGTGTGCTTCATCTGGACGATGTACGTCTTGCGAAGCCCAGCACCATAGGCGGCCCCCGCAAGGAGGGAGCCCAGGAGGAGGGTGAGAGAAGTCTTCGTCATTGCTGCGGTATTGTCAACTCAATCTGACGTTGAGTCCTTGGCGTTTGGGTGGGATCTTGACGCTGAGGATCGGGATGCCGTCACATTCAAGGTGCCAACCAGACAGCTCTATATACTCATTCTAATGTGACATACGTCCCATGGACCATTACTTCCCCATGTCAAGGGCCGAGGGAACGGCGCCGTGGCACCATATCGGCGGGATCTAGCCCCTGAGGTCTTGCAGGCTGCAGGAGTTTACTTCTCGTACCTGGCGATCTCGCAAATAAGCGAAGCCGACATGCAGTGACCAGTCCCAGGAATATCGTTCATCTGCACGTGTATTCGTTAGCCACCTACCCTATCCGACCTTAGGGCCGGGATAAGAAAGCTTGAGATAGTGTAACCTGGGGGCTTGTTGTTGTTCTGATTGGCTAGAAACTCCGCAACTTGCGGCAGTCCATCAACACTCAAATAGAGTGCCAGGCAACCTTAATCCTAGGACCTAATGTTCGTCCGACGTTGCCGACTTGGTTGAAGATTTGCGCTAATCAACCCAGAAAGTTTAGCATAACGTTGGCACCCCCGCTTGGGAAATTGCCATGTAGCATCCCGCAGAAACCGGTCCATTGTAACACCTGAATACCGGTGCTCGGTACAAGACCGCAGAGCTCCGGATGGTAGGACGGGCGCTGCAGCCTGTAGTAAATGCAAAGGTCCCGTCGGCATACGTGATTTCTAGATGCGGGGGATTCCTTTGCTTCACGATCGATCCAACGACATGCCGAGCTTCACTAGCGGCGGTTATTTTGTCATGATCTTGGTTATTTTAACACAAGTCCACCAGGTAAGGTTCAGGTCGACTTTTCGCGGTAGCTTTTCGCTAACCGAAAGTCATCAAATCTGTTAAATTGAAAAGTGCTCACTCTGAGTTGCCTTCCTCTTCTGGAATTACGGTTTTGATGAGTGTCGGAATGATTGCGGATTGGTCACAAATGTCAAATATCATGCGGCTCTGCATATCAGGCCGGTGCCGACGACCTACGAAGAAGACGCCGGTTAAGGGAAGCTATCTCGGAATGGTGAAGGCATCGTTATGCTGGATAATATCCTTCTAATTTCGGCGACTACACAAGTACATCGAAGCCGGTGCATCCAATATCTGATGTTTATGCTCAACAATCACTCCTATATCAACAGCTATTGTCACAGTCGATCTAGCCTTTATGCATCAAAGCCTCCTAGGCGGTTTAGGTACCCCAGTCTGAACGGGCTGCGCGAGAGGAGCGCCAGATTGTGCCTTGGCCATGGGGCAGAATTTCTTCTTGATGGCACCGGCATCGCCGTTGGCGTCCAAGTCGCCCAACATGTTCGCGAGCTCGCCCATTCTCTGAGCGATGGAGACGAACATACCAGCTGTGGCCAAAAATATTAGTTCATGTTATGGGCCGTTGAAAGAGTAAGTGGATGACTGACCTTCAGCGTGCCACAGATAATGGCAATGGAAAGCCCAGACACCCGGGTTGTCTGCTGTTATGCGGATTACCAGGTGTGAGTATCCTGGAATTGTAATCGTATCGCGGCGCATTGGGTTGTCAAAGTTCCATGTAGTCTTGCTGGCTCCGAAGAGGCCATTGCCCCAACCAATGACTTGGAAGTTCTGGCCTATTTACGGGTTAGCACGTCAGCAAAGAGTAGAGGAAGTTATGCGAGTAAGTACCACTAGATAGACGATCAGTTATGAGTTCAAGATTGAAGGTCTCAGGGAAAACTTACTGTAAATGCCACGGATGAACCATCATAGCGTCCGAGTTGACTACAATTTGGGCAGCTTTATCATCCCGGGACACCAAGACGAATTGATCTTTTCCAAAGTCCAGTTTCGGCTGAGGCGAGTTCAGGTTCTCCGGCGTGATGTCCTGCTGCATAACCTTCCACAGCGAAGCATCGTCGGTCAGAGGTGTATACAAGGTCTAGTCGCTGTCAGCAAGCTTTTCTTCATAAGGTCAACCATGAGCTTCTTTCAACTTACATCATTGACATGTGTACGAACGACGTCATGGACGCGCTCCTGCTTGAACGTGAAATAATGGTAGTTCCTGTCGCCAACCTCGTAGGCTGGCCTGCTTCTCACGGGCTTCGGGAGGCTGTGCGGCAAGTCCTCGCACCTGTCTCCCCACGGCTCCTTGCCGACACCAGGGTTCGAGTTGGCATTCAGGTCCCACGCCTTGCCAATCGGTGGGACACCGAGGTCTGTCTCGTCATACGACAGAATCGCGGTGGCTCCGAAAGGCGAGCCGTGCATCATACCCGCCTTGTGGTTCTTGTGGGACATGTGGAAGCACCTAACCGCGGCGTCGGCACGAATCAGGTAGTTTCCGGCAGTCTGGTTGGCGTGAACCAGGACGGAGTAGCGCTGGCCAGGATTCATATACACGCGGGATGTGGCAATTGGAGCGACCTCGACGCCGTCGATCTCGACGATTTGAAGAGGATGATCGTCAATCGTCACGAAGATCGGCGTCGACGTGCCGTGGTTGATGAGACGTAGACGAGCCGTTGAGCCGCTCTTGACACGTGTGTTGAAGAGGGAACCCCATGTGCACTTGGGGGGAGGGGCATCTCTAGGCGTCTTGTGGCTTCCCATGTTCTCCATGTTGTGGCCGCTGTGGTCTTCGCCTAAGTTGGCCTTATTTGCATCATGGCCTTCGATGCTGGAGCAGTTGAACGTGTTCTTGCCGTTGATAATGACATTGTCAGGGGGAGGCTCTCTGCCAGGCTTCTTAGGTGCCCAGGGTGGATTGGCACTTAGGTACTGAGTGAGAAGCTAGTAGATAACTGTAAGCAATACATGAGAAAAATTGTCACCGAGTAAACTTACAGTGCCTCCATACTCATGAAAGAGGTCTCCGACCATCACGATCTTGTCATCATCTACAGGGGGAATCTTTTCATCTGGATCATGGATGACCTACATTGAGAGATTGTATGTTAGTACCGCCGAGCTACCTCACAGGTCAAGACTTCACAAGCGGTGTCCCATGAGTTTGGTGTAAGAAAATACTTACCAAGGGTCCAAAGAGTCCATCAGTGACCTGAACTGAAACATGAGCGTGCCACCAGAACGTGCCTCGCTGGTCGGTAACATTGAACTCGTAGGTGAAGCTTTCGCCGGCGGGAATGGCACATTGGCTTACGCCAAAAACACCGTCCATCCAGACCGACTTCCTCTGATCGATGCCGTGCCAGTGAATTGTTGTACTCTCCTTCAGCATCTGGTTGTGCACCGTGACACGGATGGTGTCTCCCGTGTTTGCCTCGATGAGAGGGCCAGGCGACTGTCCGTTGACGAGGATCATTGACTTCTCAAAGCCATCGGGAGAGTGCTGCTGCCGCGTAATGTTGAACACATACTCCCGCATCGACGTCACGTTCGATACCTCGAATCCTGTCTGCAGATTGAATTGCTGATCCGGTGTCAATTTCACTTCCGGTGTTTGCGTGGGGATAAGGGACGAAGTCATTGTTGGCGTTATCATCGTCGTTAGTTCCGGCACTGGATCCGCCGGTGGTGGCGGCGGCGGCGGCGGCGGCGGAGGCGGGCTTTCTTCATGGTTGTCCTCATCATGAGCCGGTTCCGCCGGCCGATCCTTGGTCTGCACGTTGAAGAATTGCGCAAAAATGAAAGGAATCAGTGTCAGGATGGACACGCAAGTGAGTACCATGATCCATCGAAATGTCTTCTTGTGGCCCGCATGGCGTCGGTAGTTGCCCTTCTCGCTATAGTCGGCTGAGTCGGGAAGCAGGCGGTCCTCCACGTCAGTTTCCGACGATGACCTGACGCCGAGCATGGGGTCTTGCTCGTCGCGCATCCCGTCCCGCGGGATCAGGCTGGAGCTCATGGTTGCTGCGCTAATGACGAAAAAGATGCAAATATGATGGCTCAAAAATGTACAAAACGAACTTGGGTTCGTTATCAGGAAGAGAGAAAATGAACAGAGCCAGCAGCCAGACGCCCCAGGTCGCTAGCAATTGACATTCGCCATACAAATCTCGCTGCGTGGGTTAATAAGAAACACGAGAAAACGAAGAACCATGTGGTAAAAGGGGCAAATGGCCGGGATGGAGAGAAAAGCCACCACTAAGATATTACGGGGATCCTCTCTTTTTGCTTGTATCCGATCGGCGAGATATTCGGAGAAACGGGGTGATTGACCCTTGGATGAATTGGCAATGTTTACACGGGAATTATGTCCGGGCGCTTAGCAGCTCGATACCTGCAACTTTCCTTTAGCTGTTCCGAACATCTGGAAATTTCGACGCCATGAAACGCGAAACTGTGACCCAAACTATGCGGAAACTTTTAACCAATTGAACCTTTTGAAATCTTTCACCCGCAGTTCGCGTTGACCGATTTGCGCCGTCTTGAGAGCCAAGTAACTTATCCATGTCTACTTGCCATTAATGGGCCGTTCTAAAAGTGTCCTCAGAGGCCTTTCGCCTCTCCGGGAAAGACTTTGTAGTCGGAAAGATGCATCTGATAGAAGGGAGATTCAGAAGTGCCAAGTTTCCGGTGGGTTCAGGGGCCCGCGTTCAGGAAAGTCTGACCACTATCGTCCGCTAAACAGCCCCCCAATACAACGCCCAGAATCATCCCGTCTCGAGTTCCGGTGCATCGGGTTAGGCGTTTCATTCACACGGTGTTCACCTGCTGGTCCTTCCTTCAAACCCTAATGCCACGGTTGGGCACATCATAAGATACTTTCGATCACACTGCCAGTTTGGGATAAACTTTCTCTGCGTAAGAAGTATCAGGGCGCGACTCCGCAGCTTGAATCGTCTCGTCGGCGATGGCCCCCTGACTGACAGGCGTGATCGGCGAACTACTGTCTGCTGTGCCTAGTGTACTAAGATCGAATCCCACCGTTCATTTTGTTACTGGTTCAGCTGCATAAACTCCAGCCAGGATGGAGATCTGTCGGTGGGTGCTCCTCGTGGGCAATAGAAAGCGGACAATTGACTAAGATTGTTTACTTCAAAATTGTGTGGTTCAATATATCCGTACACATAGGCTGAGTTAGAAGGCCTTGAGAATGGCATAGGTCGACCGACCTTTCTGTCTCCCAGCGTCCACATTTAGTCTCACTCTTTGAGTAATTAAAACTCCAACGCCTTTGCACTGAAACTTAGTGTTGCGGAAACCTACGGCCCCCATGTGTACTTGCGCGGAAGCAGTATGTTATGTCTTTCCCTTTTGTTACACGCACAACCCGGTTGTCCACCTAGGCTGACTGGTCGTTGACATTGAGGAAAGGCATCAAGTCGAAACGATTTGACAACTATTTCCAACTCCGCATTGGTTGATACTTACCAACTACTCCTTAGTCGCTTCGCAACCGGGCTGTGTCCTCACTGGGATCCCGAATGTCGAGAACAAGATTCGATTGACTGTACGGAGTACGAAGTGCTCCGTGCCTAAGAGACATAGAGCAAAACCCCACAGGCTCAATGGGGCTGTTGGACGACACCAAAGGGACTTCTGTTTAGATCTCGACCCTCACCAAATACTAGATTCTTCAGAGGGTGTTGCATCGGCCGTAATGCCTAAGAGGGACCTAGTTGGTTGGCATGGATACACTCGTGACTCGTCACAACCGTTGGAGCAGAACCGGGCGCAAAACATCAATTGAGCATGGTCCGTCTCCCGATCCCCACGGGTCTAAAGGGAACACGCCAACCATCATCCGCGGGCCCGTACGGAATGAAACGTCGCTAAGGAGGGGCGAGTGGGAGACCGAAAGTCCACCGAGTCCGCTCCACGTTCTCGCAGAGACCTCCGCAGTTCGTGACAACCTGTCAATCGCTTTTGAGGTTCCTATCAATGGCAACGGCTCCCAACTCCGCAATGTGACCATGAGTAGTCTTCCTCGTATTTAAGGTCCTTGTTCTCTCTCATAGTGTATCTTCACTTTGCATCCACCGAAACTAGCTCACTTGACTTTTGTACTTTCAGGGCAACACACGACGGACCAGAATATCGGAACCAGCAACATCATCATATTCAACATGGCGGAAACACACGGATCATGCGAGTCCAAGTTCCAAGGCGTTCGCGATAAGTTCAGTGAGCTCTTGGGATCTGGAGTTGAGCTAGGCGCATGTCTTACCGTCACCATCGACGGCGAGGACGTCGTCAACTTGTGGGGAGGTTACGCCGATGCCAAGCGCACCCGCCCCTGGAAGGAGGACACCATCGTCAATGTGTTCTCCACAACAAAGACCATTTGCGCACTCGCAGTCCTCATCCTGATCAACGAAGGTGAAGTGTCACCCTACGACAAAGTCTCCAAGTATTGGCCCGAGTTTGCAGCCAATGGCAAGGAGAATGTCGAGGTCCGCCACCTGCTGTCCCACAGTTCGGGTGTGGCGGCGTTCGAGGACCCCATCACCCTCCAAGAGATGTGCGACTCTTACGAGGAGGTTATTTCGAGACTCGAGAAGCAGCCCGCTCGCTGGGAGCCAGGTACCAAGTCTGGTTATCACGCATGGACCTACGGCTACTTGATCGGAGAGCTGGTGCGCCGAAAGACAGGACTGACTCTCACGGAGTTCGTCTCTGAAAGGATCGCGGGACCCCTCGGAGCCGATATGCAAATCGGAGCAAAGGAGAAAGATTGGCCTCGCGTCGCAGAGCTGATCCCCCCGCCGACTCCCCCAGCCCACATCATGCCTGAACAAGACGAAGACCCCGACTCCTTGAAGCACAAAATGCTCCATCCGTTCCCGGACCCTAGCGTCGCAAATACGGAGCCGTGGAAGAAGGCTGAGATTGCCGCGGCGAACGGTCACAGCAACAGCAAGGCGCTGGCTACGATTTGGTCCAAGTACCTTACGATCAGTGATGAGAGCAAGAGGATCTTGTCCCAGGACACGATCGATCTCATCTACAAGGAACAGACATACGGGCCCGATTTGTGCATGGGATTTCCCGTTCGCTACGGAATCGGCATGGGTCTTAGAGGCAACGGAAGCACACCCGTGGATTCTTGGCTTCCGGAGGGAAAGATATGCTTCTGGGGTGGGTGGGGTGGATCGATGCTTATCAACGACCTTGATCGTCGGATCACTATTGCTTATGCGATGAACAAGATGTCACTTGGTTCTGCGGGCAACGAGGCTGTCTATGCTTACGTTGCAGAAATCTACAAGACGTTGGGAGTTCCCGTAGGAACTACTGATGGCAAGATCTAAGTGAAGTTACCTGGCGCTTCCAAATGGGTAGAAACGAGATCGTCCCGCTTAGTCACAAATAAAGAAACTCGCTAGATAATACTAAGGACCAACGGCTCACTACTTCTCATGGACTAATTCTAACTCCTCTTAACAGATGTACTTTTAGTGATCTAATGCGATCAAATTACTTTACTGATTTAGACTTGTATTATGCTTGGCCCCGGTTACCGAAGACTGTAACTTTTTGGAATTGTAAATATTTATCTACCTTAGTGCTGGTTAGCAAGGTACTAAGGTTGGCATGGTATCAACAACTTGAACTCAACAACGAGAAAAAGAATTCGGTCTACACTTATGTGTGTGGATCAGACTCAATTCTAGCACTGGAAAGTACTCCAGTCATCATTCATAGCCTCCTCCATAGTGTTGTTCTCTTTGGTGATTGATCACTTGAGTTTTTGGGTTTCGAAATCTGCATTGCGGGTGTCTTAAGCTTCTATGTTTCAACTACAAACAAGTAAACTCATCACTTGCGAACTTCCCTCGGACTATCGCTTGATGAAAGAGACTTGGGCAAAACCATTGGATATCTAGTATAATTACTACATCGATTATGTTGGTTGTCGGTTCGACCAGCCTGGTCACTGTCCTAACATCCTCGGCAAAGGGAACGCTTCCGGCCCACGGCTACATGCCTCGAACCGGATGGATTGTTTCGTAGCGAGGCACACCGAATGACTAGTTCTTGACAAGCTCCCATGCTGAATTCCCACGAACATATCTGGGGTTTGGACCCCGGACCCCTGTGGGGTAGGGCTGGTCGTATCTGTGTTATCCCAGCGGTACGTTGCCGAAGATATTTCCTGGGCACCAAGTGCTGTGGCAATGCTACATGCCTGCATTACTGCTTATTTCATTGCATGTCTAGGGCGAAAAAACCCACCCACTGCATGTCAAAAAAGAAGCAATGTCACCAATGGTCCGTAGATTCGGCCCTGGGGTTCCTTGCTGGCCCTTGGCTGCATTAGCAAATTCATCGTGGGCAGTCATGTCGGACTCGCACATATCTTTGGGGGAACCCGCGTCCCACTGCCCCTTTGCTTTCGCTCTTCCTGCTGTATTGGCCAGGCCAGAATCTCATTCATAACTGTCAAGTTTATTGATCGCATCAATCGCCACTTTTCGATATGCGCCTCTCGGATTTGAGCCTTCTGGCCCTGCAAGTTAGCACCCTCGGTTTGGCCAGTCCTGTCTCTCGCTCAGCAGAGTCCGACATAGATCATGCGACTACCGAGGGACTCCAACAGCTTGCCAATTTAGCTCAAACCGCCTTTGACAAGACCAAGTCAGAAGTCGAGAGCAGTGAAATCAAGAAGCGCAACAACGCTTGCTCTTGGCAAAATGTCCGCGTCCGGAGAGAGTGGTAAGTTCTAGCCTGCCATACATAGAGCATCATTTCTACGATCGTCCTATTTACATTTTATTCTCTAGGGGCACACTGAGCAGAGTTGAGAAGCTTGACTACATCAACGCTGTCAAGTGTCTTCAGTCCAAGCCAGCCCGCACACCCACCTCAGAGTCTCCCGGGGCCAAGACTAGGTTCGATGACTTTGTCGCAACTCATATTAATCAAACTCTCAACATACACTACACCGTCAGTACCTAGAGCTCTCTGGTGTAATATTGATGAGACATCTGACCGTAACAGGGTAACTTCTTATCCTGGCATCGATACTTTACATGGCAGTATGAGGAGGACCTGCGCATCGAGTGCGGATACAAGGGCACTCAACCTGTGAGTATTCCAACTCATTTATGCATCTGTATTCTTGTTGAACTTCCATCACAGTACTGGGACTGGTCCAAGACGGCCATCACAGGCATGGAGACCTCCCCCATCTTCGACGGAAGCGAGACGTCCATGTCCGGGAATGGCGAATTCGTCTCCGACCGAGAGCCAATTCTCCTCGGTGGTCAGAATGGCTTGCCAATACTCGAACTCCCTGTTGGTACAGGCGGAGGCTGTGTGACCTCTGGGCCCTTCAAGAATATGACTGTCAATCTCGGTCCCGCTGCTCTCGATCTGCCCGGCGGTGTTTCTGAGGCGAATCCCAATGGGCCCCTGAGATATAACCCCCGCTGCCTCAAGCGTGACCTGACGACCGCGGTTAACCTCTTGTACGCGAATGTGACCGCGGTTTTGTCCAATATTCTTCAACCTCAGAATGTGTACGATTTCCAGATGCAGATGCAGGGCGTGCCTGGCTCTGGCAGCATTGGTAAGCTCATGGGTACAACTTCAATGCGGATAGTACTGTCACTGACAAGACGTTCGTTAGGCATCCACGGTGGTGGTCATTACTCACTTGGAGGAGACCCTGGAAGAGGTGAGCCACCCTAACTTCCAAGCTTCCATACATGCCGGGCGATCCTAAATGTGATGAATAGACGTTTTCACTTCCCCAGGAGATCCAGCTTTCTACCTGCACCATTCGATGATTGATCGAGTGTGGTGGATGTGGCAGATGCTGTCACCTCAAGAGCGTCAATATGGCGCCACTGCTCTCAGCGGGACCAACACATTCTTGGATCAGCCTCCTAGCGCCAACGCAACCATGGATGATTTGTTAGAATATGGTTGGGTCGGAGAGCCCCTTAAGATCCGGGACGCTATGAGCACTGTCTCAGGCCCATTCTGCTATGCATACTTGTGAAAGAGAGTTGAAGGCGAAGGGGACTGCGTGGTAGAGTTGTGGCATCAATTTTGGAGGTTGGGGCAACAGTAACTCCAGGGAGATCATGAATTACTTCTAAAATGCAACCTGTCTCAAAGAACTGCTCATATTGGATCGGCAATGGTCTCGGAGCTTGAGCTCCACCATCACTTCTCAAAAGCCGTGCCGGCCTGTCTCCGGTGCGGAGTCGAGCAGATCTCCCGAAGACCGCAGTCCGAGGAGTACCCCCACTTCGGGGTCATTCCGGGGAATCGACTCATAGTCCAGCCGATCGACTTTTGACATCTAATCCAACAAAGGCGGCCTTGTGCTGCTAGCCGATGCGTTTCTATGCAGGGCGTTCCAGACGATGACGCGAATATGCTCAATGCGGATAGTGCTGCCGCGGTTAGCACGGCACAGCTTTCATCAGGATTCAGGCGCCAGAACTAGCGTCAGCTACACGCGGGAGCTCCCTCGGGGGGATACGTCTTGGCAAATGCTTGATTCTCCCGACTGTAATTTCAGCATGTAGAGCCCACGGAGCTCATTGAGAGCATATCTGACTGTGTTGGAGACGTCGGAACCCTCCCTTCCAAGATGGTGGTCACGTACCGTTGGAGTCACACACTCTCTCAAAGGTGGAATACCAAGAGGCGCAGCCACTTCGAGACTTGGACACATTAGGACGCATATGGATTAGTAGAGATCAAACTACTTAAAAAGAGCGTTTGCCAAACCAGAGACATCAAAACATCTGGCCATCTTCACCGATTTCATTAAGTCTAGTCGTTTCTTGGATCTCACAACATCATGCGTGTTCTTATCAGCGGAGCAGGTATCGCCGGCCCTACGCTGGCTTGGTTTCTGGCCAGGACCGGCGCGCGCGTGACTGTCGTGGAGAAGTGCAAGTCGATTCCTACTTACGGCCATAATGTCGATGTCAACCATAGCGCCATCACCGTCCTGAAGAAGATGGGCCTCATTGATCAACTGCGGAGGTTCAATACAACGGAGAAAGGAACGCAGTTCATCGACCCAAAGGGACGGCCCTTCGCACCCTTCCCCGTCAAGGACGGCTCTTCCGCAAGCCCTACGTCAGAGTTCGAGATCCTTCGAGGGGATCTGGCTGTAGTCCTGTACGAAGCCACGAAAACCCATCCAAATATCGAGTATCTCTTCAGCACTACCGCGGTCAAAGTCATTTCCAATGACGAAACCGCTGTCAAAGTCGAGCTGAGCAACGGAGAGGTGCAAGAGTACGACTTGTTAGTCGCAGCAGACGGCCAGTGGTCAAAGGTGCGAAAACAAGTCTTTCCTCAGGAAAGCATCACCGTCATCGACAAGAACATGTATGTAGCTTATGCTGCCATTCCTCGTCTTCCAGAGGACAATGACTGGTGGAATATCTACCAGGCTCTTGGATCGAGGATCATCACCACCAGGCCCGACCCGCACGGGACCATACGGGCCATGTTCACGCACATGCCCTGCGAAGGTGCGCAGAAGACGGCGTGGCAGGAGGCCTCACGAGGCGATAAGAAGCTCCAGATGGAGCTTGTGAGGCGGGAGTTCCTGGACGCTGGGTGGCAGACGCCCCGGATTATGGATGCCATGATGCAGGCGGAGGATTACTACTTCCAGGATCTGAAGCAGATCAAGATGGACAGGTGGTCCAGCTCTCGCGTCATCTGCCTGGGCGACGCGGCCTTTGCACCGACGCCTCTCTCAGGTATGGGGACTACGCTTGCCATCATCGGAGGGTACATGCTTGCCGGCGAGCTCACCAAACTCAAGCCTGGGGAGCATCCCTCCCGGGCATTCGAGACCTACGAGGCTGCGTTCCGCCCCTATGTCGAGGAGACTCAAAGTGTTCCGTGGTTCTTTCCGGCGGTCGCGCATCCGGTCACGGCCTGGCAGAGATGGTTGCTGGGATCAGTTGTCTCGACAATCTCTCGAGTTATTGCGATGCCTTGGGTGGCTAGGAGGTTTTTTGATGATACGAATAACGACGATTCGGAGTTTCCATTGCCGGCGTATCCTGAATTAGCCGATGAGATGAAGCTGAAAGATGACAGCCTATAACATGCATACGATAGTGGATAGGAGGACGACGCTGATGATTTCGGGCCAACGGAGTCATGAATGAGCTTGGGGCAGCATAGTCGAATTGGTGTATAGATCATATCCCGGTTGTTGATAGCCATGTTATCGGGTGTAGGACCATGCCTTGTTATTTAAGGGCTTCTAATCGTATTGGGTGGTACGTAGAAGAAACATGGTAATATAGCCGCTCAGCTCCTCCTCCCTTTCGCCATATCCAGTATCTTTCCCGCTGAGAAATATATCTCCCCGCCGCCGGGCAGAGCGCGGTTGACATCGAATACTTGCACGTCAGAACAAAAAGCCCGCCCCTTAAAGAGAGAATACAACAATGCCTACGTCTAGCAGCCAAGACATCTCCAATCACAATGGCCACTTTCCCCTCTGCTCCAATTTACCCCTGACGTCCCTCCACGTCGCCGGGTCGATCTTATAAACCCATCCGACCTCCTTCTCTCCGTAGCTGACCGGGCCCTTCGTCTTTAGCTCGCTCAACTTCATCGATCTCATAACCTCTCGCCAGGGCTTATTCTCAAGCTCAGTCTCAACACGTACAATACTGCAGCCGAGTCCCTCGACGGCAAAGTCGACTTGGCCACTCAAGACCTCCCTACCGTACCCCTTGCCCCAGTAACGATGATCGAGGGACACCCCAAAGTCGGTAAGATACGGCGTGGTATGACGACGCGGAGCCTCCCCAGCAACGTTATCTCCCAGGGCCTCCTCACTTCCCTCCTGATATCCTTCATCTCTCATCCTCTTCAGCGCAACATCACACGTCTCCCCCTCGGCAGTCTCAAAGCAGTTGAATCCGCCAAATCCGATCAACTCGCCCGTCTCCCGAATTGTAATCATCAAAATAGCTTTCTTCCCAGACGCATACTCCGGTCCCCACCTCTCAATGCGGCCACGTATGATATCGGGAGAGATGTTCGTCTGAGCGCCTCCGAAGGGGTGATTCTCCGGCGTCGAGAGGAGGCGGCAGAGAGCCTCTGCATCGTCAGTGACGGCACTGCGGATGATGAGCCGCGGGGTTGTGATTTTATAGGCGGCTTGAGGGAATGGGGCTGTCATTGTTGATGTGCTCTTCTGACGCCTAGAGATTTTCTTGGAAATGGAGGTGTGAAAGATTGATGACTCGGTTTGAGAAATTGGTGATGTGAATAGTTATAACGTGAGATTCTGGTTGGCGGCAGCTCACCCTGCTGTTCATGCGGGTTTGCCTTGTCTGTGACTGCCTTGATCAAGAAGATTGAGGCGGGCTTCGAACCATCACGTCAAAAGCAATATTATTGAGCTCAAAGTCACAGTTGGTGCCGGAGAATGATAGGTTTTAGCCTCCTACCTGCATCTTGAAAAGAGGAGGGGAGATCCTCCTGTCTACATAAGTACCTTTCCCTTAGCCTATCAACGTCTGACGGTCTGTCAGACTATGAGTCCGCGCCTCCTCCTCGCTTGCGATCCATCCCTGTCTTTTCTGGCCTCAATTACGGTGCATGAGATGAGTCGTAAGTGAACCGGGGGGGTAAGCATGACGATCGAGAGGGTTTTCCATCTTATTGCTTACGAGCGTGTCCTCAAGACTCGATGATCATATTGCACTCAAGTCTTTCAAACACAGCAGATGATCCAACTTCCTGAGGATCAATGGAGCACACAATCGATAGAAGATGATTGACATGGCAAAGGAGCTAAATAATTGTGGTGTCGAAGAAGTAGACAGCCACCGACTTTCTACCACTTTATAAACTTTACACGGCTCAATATAAAATTTCGCTAACGAACAACTAAGATATCATCTCCTCTTCCGTCTCTGACGGGAACGACCCATCGACGCAGGAATGAGAAACAGCTTCCAAGGCCTGCTCACACAACATGAAGCTCAAACAAGGGGATAGGGGATGCCCAACTCGCGGCTCGCTAACGGCCTCGATTCCCCCCAAGCCCTCCCACCTTGCGTCACAATTAGTCGGCGCGGCGGCGAAGGTTTCTCCTGGCCCAGCGCGTGCGGAGCATGGCCTCTGGTGCCTCGGCACGCTTGTTGTTGTTGCCGTTCTGCTGGTTCTGGCGGTTTCCGTTGCCCTTTCCAACAGTTGCCAACGGAAGTGCGTTGTTGTTTCCGTTGGCATTGGCATTGGCGTTACCGTTACCGTTGGTGTTGCCGCCGTTCTGGGCGTTGGTGTTAGCACCGCCGTTGTTGTTCTTGCCTCTGGTACGTCCGTTGCCTCCGTTGTTCCCGGTGTTGGCGTTGGTGTTGCCAGTATTCGCATTGGTGTTTCCGGTGTTGGCATTGGTGTTGCCAGTATTAGCATTGTTGTTACCGGCGTTGGCGTTGTTGCCGCCAGCCGCTGCACCGCCATTGTTGGCATTGTTGTTGCCATTGCGGTTGCTCTTGCCCTTCTGTCTTCCATTGCCATTGCCGGCGTTGGCGTTGCCATTGTTGTTGTTATTTCCGTTGTTGTTGTTGTTGTTGTTGTTGTTGTTCCCAGTGTTGGCGCCGGAGCCGGCAGGGCCAGCAGCCTCCTGAGTGGCATTGTTGCCGAGGAGCTCCTTAATGGCGGTAACACCCTGATCGTCCTGAGTCTTGGCCTCCTGGTTCGACTTGACGGCGGCGGGGAGGTCAACAACGTTCTGCTGGATCTGCTTCAAGACACCATCGAGGGTCTGGGCGGTGGGAATGTTGCCGGGGGTGTTCTGCTTGGGTGTGATGTCGGTCTGCTGGACGGCGAAGCAGCCACCGAAGGGGCCCTTTGCGTTGTCGTTGAAGCAGCGGACGGTGCAGACATCACCAGTGGAGGCTAGTAGCATGTTCGTTAGTATCTAGCAAACTTGAAGCGAGATGGAGGTTCCATGGCGAGTACCACAGAGAAATACGAAGTAGACATACCTCCTACGCAAGCCAAGTCGTCCGGCATCGTGACCTTGAGCTTGATCTGTCCGCTTTGGGCCCCTGCTTCTTGTACCTGAAGCTTCGTCTGACCCGTGGCTCCGTTTGCGTTGCTAGTCAAGTCGAGATCGCAGCTGTACGGGCCGGCGCCGTCTGCGCTGACCTGGGCGATGGTGACATCGACGTTGGAGCCCTTGGTGACTTTCGTGACGGTGTTGTTGCCTAGCTGGGCCTCTGTGGTCTCGCCGATATCGATGTTGCCCGCGAGAATGGTTCGACCGCACTCGTTGACGACGTTGGTGACAATCTCCTTCTGGTTGATGATGTTTGCGTCGTTCTTGTTGGGATCAACTGGAAGTATTCGTCAGTACTCCGTAATCAAGTCTGAGATAACATTTTGTAGAAAGTGCATACCCAGAAGTCCTGGGCTGGCAGGGCCGTTGGGGCCTTGCGCCGCGAGAATGACACCTTGGGCTTGAGCCATCGCCAACATGGCGGCGGCGGCCAACGCTCTCATCATGGGAGAAGACATGGCTATGAGAGGAGACAAGTGGACCGAAAAGAAAAAGGTTCACGAGTCAAAATTGGATTAGTAGCGAAAGGAAGTTGAAAAACAAATGTGTCCAGCACCGCGTTGATGGAAGGGAAAGAAACGAAAGAGGTTTGGTTATGGCCTCTCTCAAGAAAGAAACAGACCGGCTGGGAGTGTGGAAGGGGAAGAGAAGGGAAGAGAAAAAACCAAGAAGAGATCGAACTCAAGGAAAGTGTGAGCGAGCGATCCAAACGGGAAGAGCACAGGGAATCCTGCGTTTTACCCGATGTGCGAAGCCTATTAAGTTTTATACATGCCTGCTTCCCATTTCCTCTTTCCGGTCTTACCCCCTTTGGCGATGACAAGAGGAGTTGCTTCAAGGGTAGAGCTTGTTTCGACAAGGGGTCACAGACGTTGAGGATGGGAGGATAGACGATGGGGCTCGTTGGAAAGATGAGAGCATGTTTGTGTAAGCGCTTCTCAGCTGGTGTTGAGCCGATGGGCGAGAGTGAGGGCGAGGTGGGAGGGAAGAAGCAACAGGGCCGGGGGTAAGAGGGAGTGGTAGAGCCCCTAGGGTGGACCACATGGGCAAGAGAGCAACAGACTTTCAGGAACCGTGAACGTTGTGCCTGTGCCTTGTGCCTAAACTATCCAGTCTTTCTGCAGACTGCGGCTCTTCCTGCCCGTGTTTCCTCGGAGGTTCTGGGCAGGCTAGGTAAGGCAGGCGAGGGACCCCGGGCTTGCACAGATCCCCTCCGCGGCTCCGACGATCTTCTGGAACGGATGCCGTCGCGTGGGTGGAGATGTCAAGTGGGGACGGGGGCGTTACGCGGGTTATAGACTCATGGAGACCTCTGTGGAGTTGGAAGGGGGTTATGGAGACTTTGGGATACTGGAGGAGGCTGCGCTGATGTGTCGAGATCACGCATTCGAGTCCAAGGACCAAAACCGAGTCTTCTCCGTGGGGGCATGCCTGCGTCGCCCTACGTCTGCGTCCTTGCTGGCCAAGCCTGGTGACCGGTCAAGGGGCGGATAGGGCGACGAGGGCGACAAGGGAGGGGGGGCGACCATCCCGTCACGTCGGCCGGGGATGCATCGACTATGGGCAGATGTCGAGCTGGGAGTCCAGACGAAGACGGGGCTGCAACCGCGTTTCAGGCCTTCTGAAGATGGGCCATAATGGGTTATAACGCTGCGTCCACGAGAGTGAGTGGATTAGAAGGAGAAGGATCATTACCAGTCGCAATTGAGAAAAGTCGAAGCACAGCCTGGATCCCTTTCTCCATAGTTTCCCCCCTTTCTTCTCTCCATCATGATGGTCCAGAGGGTGTCGCGGCGGCGAACCTCCGATGACAGCTTTTTGTTCTCGCCCGAGAGAGGAAAAAGTTCAGACGGGCCCGCACTCTGAGACGAATTCGTAACGCACGGGAGTCCAATGACAGGTTCTTCTTGCGGCGGCGCCCCAGGCTTGAGCGTTCGAGATGATGGCGGAAGGGGTATTTAGACCTGATGATGCTCCACGATATTTCAGTTCACGGGAACAAGCAGATTTGGTTGCCGGACCACTTGTCTCTTCTCTTGCCGTTGCAACCTCAGCGGGAGCCTACCTAGGTGAAGATGCCCTGTCGATCCAGGATTGGCGTCGGGAGGTTTACCCCGACGCTACGCTACACAAGCTTTGTCAGCCCCGAGGACAGACCGACGAGGACGATCCTCGGGGGTTTTTCTGCAGTCTCCGGCCCTCGAGACATGCTTCGTGATTAAGGTACAGCAACAGAGTTGAGTTAGGGGAAATTATTAGATTGAAGCGGGAGCTGCCATATTGAGGTGGGGAGAGTTAATCGGCCTAGTGTCACTCTTGTTGGAGCTTTTCAGAGAGGCCCGTTCCAGGGCATTTCGTCCTTAACAAGCAGTAACTTACTAAGCGTTACCAAGTTATAAGCGAAGCGGACTCGCATATCATGGCCGCTTCAGGGTTGCCCAGGCAAATGGGAAACGCTGGGTCCAGCACCACTACCACCCACAACCGTCGTCATCGCACGACTATGAAACAAGCATCCGGCCACTGTTTGACCCATCCGATGACTGAGAAAGGGAATGTCCCGCTGTCTTTGCCAGTTGATAACTTGATTGATGGGGAGACAGAGTTCAACGGCTCTGACTGGGGTAGAGGTTTAAATACCACGGGCCGGCACACTCAAAGACCAAGAACATCCACCCAGCGTGGCAGTCGGACTGCTAAAAACTCTCGCTTGCTTCCCCCTGGAAATGAGAGGGTTTCCACTTACAACTATGTGGCCTGGACTATGAAAGACTCTGGGGATAATTCCTAGCTCTCTCACTGCCTCGCATAATCCGCGACTCCATAATTCCTGTCGCTCCTGCATACTAGCTTCTCCTTGCTGACAGTGCAGCACGTGGAAGATGCGGGCTATTAATGAGTGCACTCCTCGCGATCCCTTCTAAGCCAGTGCTCTCGTCTCCTTGGAACCAACCGCTCGTTTCCCTTGGCATACGTGTAACGTGAACTCTGTCGAGTAGAAAGACCTTGGGCATGAAGCTGATCGTAGACTTTATCAAGCTGATTGATATATGAACATGTCCCTCACGATCAATGCTGTTCAACCTCTGTACGTGCCACTGCTGCATTTTCTGATGGAAAGGGTGGCAGCATCCTGCGCATCAAACAATGGTAAGGAAGAGATGCGTTTTACTAGCTTCGCATGCCTAATCTGGGATTCGCTCTGAGCAAGATAAGTTGAAAGTCAATGCAGTCACGCTTTCAGCTTGCAGCCGTCGCCGAGGTCCCGTGCATGGATGATCGTGGCCCGACTTTTCCACGGACCAGAAACAACTTTGGGCGCTCGCCATTTCTAACCAGAGAAAGAAGGCGTTATGCGCGAATGACCCGACGGGATGAAGTTTATTCCCATTTTAGCATCTGCTTCACCCTCTCAATTTGCCAACAATAGGATTGATAAGGCTGGGAAAAACTCGATACAAGATACTCAGATATGTAGACAAACTGGAAATACTACAGACCCATCGATGCTTGTAATCCTCATTCGTAAAAATGAGTAGAGAGAAAGGTATGGAACTCAAGGTTTCACATATTGGTAAAACACTTCCTACAAGATTTACTTTAGTAAAGTTACAATAGCTAGGTAGGCCACTTACTTGCAGTGAGCTTTCCTCAACCTACATTCTTAGAAACAGTATTGGCATTGCTCGTATACAACTAGAGGGTGTGTCCAGTGTCCTAATTTGGAGTTGCAGTTCAATAGTTCTAGCACAGTACAACGTTTTCTTAGGCCCAAAAAGACTGAACAGTTCTGCTACCCGGCAGTTTGCTCATGAGGAATTACATATATTCCGAGGCATCTGAACGTGATTTGGCCGCTTGAATAGAACCCAGAAATCCTCTAGCGTAGGCAAATTTAACAATATATGCTTGTTACTATTTTATACCAAGCCCAACTTTCTAGGTTCGGGCTAGAAAGAGCCTACAGCGCAACTTCTACAACCATTAGATCAACTCTAGAGTCTCAAGCTTGATGCCTCTTTTCTGAATAGCTTCTGCTGATATCCTCGGATCATTCACGCTGATTTCTCCATTAATTGTGTTCTTGAACACGGAGAGCGGCTCAAAAGGATCGATCGACTCCACCTCCTCCCAAGCATGAGGCAAAGGTTCAAGCCTTGGATCACTCTCCAACAGCTCACCTGTCTTGGTGTTGAAAAAATACGGCAATGCCCAGGCCTTTCTCTCAGGAAACCTGTATATCCACGGCGGCTCCAGAGGCGGCTTCAAGGCCTCGCCGAGCATTAATCCATGCACGAAACACGGCCCGACAACCTCGTATCGGCCGGAACTGATAGGTCGTATAATCATAGGTAAGTCACACCCAAGAATCACACAAATTCCGTCATCTAGCACAGTCGTAGAGGGTTGATGCCATACGGGGAGAGGTGAATAAGGTAGAGATAGGTCACAATAGGGGGGAGGGATGGCTTACTTTTGCGAAGGCCCCTTGCGGAAACACCCATATACCCTTCCCGGGTTAAAAAGAAAAAGGCATTGGTTCACAAAAAAGCCGTCTCTGAATTCTTGTGATGCTTTTCCATAAAGCTCGGCACCAGACAATACCGACGTCAAGATCTCACGAAGCTGCTGAATCGACCGAAGTTGACTAATGCCTGGAGCTCTGTCGCTGGTCCTACCTCGCACAAGTACTTCGACATACGCATCCATGGAAAATCCTTCATGTCGAGACGAGACAAGCCGCTAATGTAAATGTGCTCTGTGGCCTCCTCCGTTCCCCAACAACAGGACAAGGCTTCATATTGTTGTACCCTCAACTGCAAGCTTTTCTCATGGGATGCTCTCCGACCTTGTACTAGATTGTACACCCAGAGTCCGGATGTTTCCAAGAATTGGGTTGTTTCGAGTGGCGTGGGCTCATGAACAGGAATCGCCCTTTCAAAGTCTGATCTACTGTCCAGCCATCCGGGTGAGTTTTCTGTAACTCGCTGATAGATATCGTTTCAGTTTTTGAATGGTTCTATATTCTTTGGCGGGGAACTGACATGCAAAACAGCGCAGTACGGGGGGCGGTGATGGTTGCCTGATTGTTGTAAGCTGACCAGCTTGAAGTTTTGAAAAGGACCCTTATCCGTTGCAGCTTGGAGTTCGGAATAGGCAGACGATTCCATCGCGAGTCACTTGATAAAGCAGCACACGTCTAAAGTTTGGCTTCTGCGGATGATGCGGAAAGAGAGGGCTGCTCTACCTATGTATCGAAGACCGTGGATCAGCACAGAGTGGATAAGTGCGATAGACGACGAATGTGATCGAGTGGCTCACCGCTGATGGGACGCGAGGAGAAGAGCACCGCTTAGCGCTGAGAGCAATGATATAAAAGATCACAAGAAATGCAAGAGCCGGGGAGCCAAGCTGGATGACGGACGCGAGACATCAGCACATCTGTTCATTTCTTGCTTGTTTGCCTGCCACAATTTTCATTGATAAAGAACCGTTTACCGCCGGTTCTAGCTACAAGGGTAAAAAGCGCTCAGCTCGTCTGTCAAACGTGCAGATTCTTTGTGAAAAACAAGTACAAGACTGCTTCGTTAAACCCTATGATACCCCCCCACACGACATTCAGCACTCAGCAGGGATGATATGATATCGCCGCTCTCTCAAAGTCTTCAGAGCAGCCGACATGAATGGGAAAAAGCACACCAATGCAGTCACCAAAGCCGAATCAATGAGGCGGCGCAAAATCTCGGGCACCGCCATAGAAATATCATACGACAGCGACAAAATCTAAGCATACACTTTAGCTTTAGACCTCTACCGGTTCATGGAGACGGTGAAAGGCTTGAAACCCGAAACGGCCGCTTGGGAACAACAGGGCGGTGATGATGATTTGATGAACAATGTGCTCTTGTCGTCAATGATAACTCAGCAATGAACGGCCACAGGCCGAATAGATTGACGAGATTGGTGGGCGAGGCCGAAGGAATGACTCTGTGACCGGTGAAACGAGCCAAGTCAAGTGCGGCATGCTAGGTCTCGAATAACTACGACCTTGCCGTCAATCACACGTCAGATAGATATGCTATCAGGAGCTAGTCTTCTTCCCTATTAATGGAATCTTGTATTTGGCTTTCGGAACGCTGTATAATAGATCTACTAAGGCTTAGCTTCCGTTTAATTAGTACACTAAACAGGAAGAATAACGCTTCCCTTTCATTCTAGGCTTTTATAGTCAGGTATCGTCATTGTGAAAATTTATTACTTAATGACACCTTCTTATTAACCTAGATTGTATACATGATATTTCCCATCTCCCTTACTTATTACTTAGAACTTATAACCCCCCCTTATCCTTTACCTTCTTACCCTCTTCGAGAGTATTCGAAAACGAATGTCCAAGTACATGATATGAGTCTAAGATACTTGACTGTATCCTCTATTTCTACGTCTACACTATAGTATAAGCAAGGATTGAAGATATTTTTCGCCTTAATATCACCTACAGCGCCACCTCGGCTGCTAAAACATCGACATCGCAACAAAACTCAAGCTGCCGGACGTAGACATTGGGATCCCGGAAAAGAAGATGTTTATTGATACTCAACTACTGAGCTTCTTCATTACATCGGAAGTTGATGATATAACAGCATACCTGTCCAGCTAGCAGATATTGGAGGGGCAGCAAGTCCATACACTCTTCGTACGCATCGTTCGAATGACGATATTCTTGAAGGACCAACTAGTTGCAATCATCGCTAAGCTCACCAAAGTTCTGATCATTGTCTCTGTCTAGACTTACACCTTCCTGTTAAGATGAGTTCCATTGCGCGTTGCCGGTCTGTGACTTCTTCAGCATACATACTGCATCATAGAACCCAACGGCAGTTTCACCATCCACTCTGTCAGTCATTGCAGAAGAAACACCACATCACAATACAACTCAACCTCACATTTCACATCTACCAGACGCTGGCTACCTACAAACATCACCACCAACCCCCCTCACAACTTCGCCTTTCCCCCACTCTCCTCCTGACTCCTCCCAACAAGCTCCCAAGCAAACTCCGCCAACGGCCCCCTCGTAACAGCAAACCTCTTGGCCTGCTCACTACTAGCCTGCCCCTGCGCCGCTCGCGCCGCGATGCCCTGACACACGCCCGCCAGCCGGAACAGACTAAACGCCGCGCCCCACGACAGCTCCGTCGCGGGCGTCCACCCGCCGCCAACGGGAGAACCCGCGGGCGCCTGCGCCGCCTCCGCGGTGTACCACCCGACAATCTCTTCAATCGTCGGCAGACCGGGTGTCGCGCCGGGGAGGAAGCCGTCATTGGCGTAGAGGCCGCTTCCCGCGCGCGAGGCGGTGAAGTACGGGTGGAGGAAGTTGCAGAGGTCCGAGAGGGGGTGGCCTACGGTGGACATTTCCCAGCTAGGGTATTTTTGTTAGTTATTGTGACGGGCTTCATAATCGGAGGAGAAGAGGGGAAGAAAGGGGGCAAGGAGAGACATACTCTAAGATACCAATGACCCTTGGCTCCGTCTTGTGAAAAACGAGATTATCAATCTTATAATCCCCATGAATCAACGTGCCCCGATCCTTAGGTTGCCGACTCTTATCACTGAAGAACGAAACCATCTCTCCAAAATGCGGCAAATCCCCAACCTTTTCCCCCGTCTCCAAATCCACCGCCGCCGCCTGGCTCTTGCAAATCGTAGTCCACGTCTGAATCTGCCGATCGTAGAACCCGCTCTTCTTCCCAAACGTCTGCAGGCCGACGTCCTCGGGGGCGACCCTATGCAGCTTCGCCAGCGTCAGCGTCGCCGCCTTCCATAGCGCCTTGCGCTCCTCGGGCGACGAGACCTCGGGCATGGCCGGGTCCTCGAGGATGCGCCCGTCGAGGAACTCCATTATGTAAAAGGCGGTGCCGACGACGGACTCGTCCTCGCAGAGGCAGTAGGCCTTGGGGACGGGCACGTCGGTGTGTTCGAGGGCGTGGATTATGCGGTGCTCGCGCTCCACCTTGTGCGCGGCCTTGGAGAGGAGCTTCCCGGGGGGTTTCTTGCGCATCACGAAGCGCTTGTTCGTCGCGTCGGTGAGTTGGTATGTCGGGTTCGATTGGCCAAAGCCGAACTGTGGAAAAGGTCCAAGTCAGTCAAGGAAAGGAAGCTTCTTCTGGTCATGGGCAGGAAAGGACAGGGCACCGAGGGGGCATGCGGGCACAGGAGGCAAACCGTAGACGTACCTGTTTAATCTCCAATGGCGTCTTGATCTGCGGCACATTCTTCTCGATATACCGTTCCAGCGCCTGCTGGTCGATTGGGTGCCGCACGCGTCCTGCCATCTTGCCCTTTGCCGTTCTCGCTATGCAGAAAGAATGGATGCCGAGAGTAAGGGTCGTGTCCAGTGCGTGTTTACAGTCGAGTATCGCGGATTGTAGTAGCAATTGGCTGGATTGTCCCAAGTTCCTAATTGGCAGGGGTACGTCTCGTGTCGACCTGGCTGCCGAGGAATAGATGTAGTCGGTCAAATGCGCTGCAGGTCTGCCGTTGCCGTCAAAGTTCTCAGTCGGAGAGGTGAGTGAGTCCGGGGTAAAATGATACCGGGCTGGCCGTCGCATCTCTGGTTCGGACCTTTACCAGCCTCGGTTCGTCCCCCACTGACGTTTTAGCGGGCACGCGGGGGTGAGCCGGGGCCTAGACTGCTAACCAAAACTCCATGCAAGGTGGGCGGCCGGGAGAGCAAGCTGATTGAGTGCCCCAAGTTGTCCCCAACCAGCACAGAAAGATGCCGAGGTCCACCGGCCTAAGGAGCTGCAGAGCTGACTTAGCTTTGGGACTGCCATTTTCTAGAGCGGGGGAGACGGACGCACTTGGGGGACCTGCACCCGCCCAGCCCGGGGTCTCCTTCACAGAGGTCCTTGGATGCAGCAGAATGCGGAGGTGGAGGCGGGCCTCGATAGCCGCACCCGACCGAGCAAGAGATCCGACAGGTCTAACTTGTGGAAGTCAGCCATTCTTTCCCTCCATGCATGGCCCTGATCGACGATCCGTCGCCTCGGCTCCATGATTTGCTGGCGCAAAAGCCTCGTTCCTGGGCTGAATGACCCATCTTGTGGGTACCGTGGACAGAAGTCCATCCCAAGTCCAAGTCGCTGTCATGTTAATTGCTCCTTCACATGGAGATACGAAGTATTATTCCGGGAGTGGTAGCCAGTGTCTTTCTGGTCACCCTCAATGGCAGTCATTTGCAGTAAAAAGACTAAAAGATATAAATTGTTCAAAGAGTAAAAGGTCGTTAAATCCGTGTTTCTCTCCATACATGCGAATCCGGCGACGGATTTGCCAGGAAACAGAGTCTATCTCCATCAGTCCAGCAAGTAAGAAGTGGTGAGGTAGATAAGTATAAGCGTAAATATCATCTTCAATCATTCTCTTGTTCCCGTACATCAAACTCGCGGCACACCAATCGCTGGCGGCTTTTCGTTTTGGGTTTTTCTTTTCTCTTCGTTTCAACTCCCTGCTGAATCACGAAATATAAAATAAAAAAAGGAAGCCGTTGGTAGCCAGACCATCTGCCCAATTCCTACACTACCGACCGTTCCCCAAGAAGAAGAGTCCCTCATCCAGGAAAAGAATTGTAACACGAAGTGAAGTCAAATCAAGAACAACAAGGAGAAGGGGGTAATCGAGTAAACACAAGAGGGGTATCCGTCGTTTCGAGTCGTCCATGCATTCTTCCCTCCCATTTCCCTTGCGGCCACCCGTCTAAACGGGCGCCATGCTGTTGCCAGTCGATAATGTGTATTAGCCGTGAAAACGAAAAGGAAAAAAACAGACGCGTTAAAAAATACCAATGACGACCGGAGTGGCATCGGCTAGACCTGGCAGCCAGAGAGCAACGAGAGTCCTGTGTACCGGCCCGCATGCTGCATACAAAGACGTCTGTGTGGAATAATCCAGCCCCTATAAACACATCTTCCGTGCAAGCTCCCTAGTCTCCTTTATGGCAAATTCGAGAGGGTGGAGATGGCTGCAAGTCGTCTCTGCAGACGGTCGTGACTTCGTGATCGGAATGCGCGACAAAATAAGAACAAAGTTGTATGGCTGCCAATCAAGACTCGTCATCCTCCTCCTCCTCCTCCTCTTCAGGAGTCTCAGATGCCTTCTTGGCCTTCTTGTTCGAGCTAGAGTCGTCAGCCTCCGATTTCCTCTTGGAGCCGGCCTTGGACTCGACGATGTCCTCGGGGCCCTCGCCGGAGCCACCGCCCTTCTCGCGCTCGATGGCGGCAACCTCCTCAGCGGTGAGGAAACGGCCTCCAGGTCCGCGAGGCCGGCGCATAGCATGGTTGTGTCTTGACTCGTGAAGGTATGGCTTGCGGCCCTTGGAAGTAAGACGCAGCTGCTCCTCCAACTTTTGGCGTGCGACACGGCGCTTGAGGATGCGATGGAATTGCTTAGCATTGACGTAGAGAGGCGACTCCTCGACACCACCGGCGGGCATCTCGGGCGATTGCGGGTGAGGCATGGCTTGAGCCTGAGCCATCTGCGGCGGCGCAACACCAGGTCGCGCGCCGACGTGGTTCATCATGCCCTGCGCCGTAGGAACGCCGGGGCTGGTAACTTGGCTGAGGCGCCTCTGGCCCGGTAGCTGCGAAACGTTGTTCATCTGGGTGGGTGATCGAGGATCGCGGCTCTCCTTCTTGGCTCCGCCCATTCGTGGCGAGGTTTGGGGCAAACTAGGGTCCGACTGCATGTAAGGGTAGTTGGATCCCGACGCAGCTGCAGTTGCCGCCATGGCAGCGGCTTGGATTTGAGGCATGCCATAATGCATGCCCTGCTGGGGAACGTTGTACTGTGGCTGGTACATGTTGTGTCCCTGTTGTTGAGAGGGTGATTGCTGTTGAGACAGGATAGGTGACGTCTGTACGCCGTGAGGAGAGGTGATGTTGTTTCCTGTAGTGGAGTTGGTGTATCCGGAGTGCGCGTTTTGAGGTTGTTGAGGATATTGTGCGTATTCCATCATACTGGGGTTAAGCTTGTTCGAGGGGTGGTCAAACTGTGCAATGAAGGCAATTGTCTTCGTCGCGTAGAGTGTCGGAACCAATAAAAAGCCAGCGAAGTGGTGTAGCTTGACAACGGCTTTGGCGCGGTTGAAAAAACGTGACCGTGGGAGAGAAAAAGGGTATCACGGCTATGGGTCGCGAGTGACGAATGAGTTGCGACGAAAGCTGCCTTTCTCGTGAGGAGTGAGCTTTAAAATGACTGGGACGGCCCGTCTGTTTGGGTAGAGTTGGGCACACGGATTGGGAGCCGGCGGTGTCCTAGGGTCCTTTTTCCAGTGTATTGGGAGCGGAGGGGCTCAATCTATTGGTGATGCGTGGATGAGCTGGCAGTGGTGCGCGACGCAAGTGGCCGACCACGGCATATGCGGGCTGATGTAGTCGCGGGGCGGACGAGGTGGGTGGCTGAGCCTGGGGTCAGAATGACAGCCACGTGAGGGCGGCGAGAGTGTGTGGGTTCGACAAGAGGCGGGCAGGTAGGTATGTCGAGGCTGCTACCGTACAAGGCGGAGGCGAGGCGGCGGGGGTTCAGTTGCTTCTAGCCGATCGAGGGCTCCGTAGTCCGGGCTGGTCCTGGGCTGGTCTACCGGCTGCACAGCGGGAGAGCGGGTAGGGCAAAAGTTGGCTTGTCCTTGTTCTTTTGGACGAAACAGGTCGATGCCTTGAGTTCTCCAGAAATTAGAGACCGTTGAATCCTTTTCCACTTCGCGTCGTTGGATCTGTCCAACCAAAAATGTTAGTTCTCCTGTATATAAGCCAAAGCTCGAGATGATGCGACAAAGACAAGCAAGATGGGGTGGGGTTCATGTTCCTCTCCTGGCGTCTCGGGCCACCACTTGATGCGCTGGCAGACCTCGCATGCATGACGGAATATGCAGAGACAAGGCCCACCATGCCAACCTAGGCGGCGACACTTCCCCTTGATGCGGTTGTGGTGGCGGCGCAGAGCCAAAAGACAGTCCGAGCTGCTGTGACAGAGCCCGTGCTTGCACCGGTGGAGGGGAAGGGGTGCCTGTACAGGCGTTGTCTTGTGTCGCTGCCACAAGCCAGGCTGGGCTCACTAAGCGCTTCGCAATAACGTCCATTCCACTGGAAGTGCACGTCGGTAGAGTGGGAGTGGCTGGCGTGAGGAACGCTCGTAACGCGCAGCTGCTACCTCGATATGTCGCCGAAGTGGTTCCCGAGAAGGCATAGAAGGCTTGGTATGCCGATGCACATCTCTGCGCGAAGCACAGCAGTCGAGACAGCGTAACGTCAGGGGAGGAGGTAGTGAAGACCCCAAGGGTGACGCGATGGGCCCGCAGATGACAGGAAAGAGACATATTGACGTGGACATAGTGATGGGGAGGGGGGCCACCGAGGAATGGATGGTTACACCTCGGGGGGAACGGGCAGAGTACGAGTGCTGCGAAGGCCGAGAACAATGCGATAATGAAGAAAGCACAATAAACGTACAACCGAAGTTGGAGAGGTGGGTGTAATCGCCGATGAAAGCGATGTGCCGTGAAGGAGGTGTGAATGTTATGCGCCCTGGTCAAGTCAGTAAGCATGTGTTGTCCGTCCCGGTTTCAAAAGAACAACAGGCGCATACAACGTGTGTGAGAGGAATCGGGAGAAAAGAAAAGACGATGGCTTAAAAAAAAAAGTATTCGTACTGCTTCTACTCGAAGGAACCCTCGAGTATCCTCCCTCATGTACTTGGCAGTGCCAGATGAGTAGGTAGCTCAAGTTGTGAAGCGCCAGATCTGACAGAGAAGCCAAACGAGGATAGCGTACATAAAAAAAATTAAATGACAAGACTTGATAGGGAAGGAAGATGGCAGCCGTCTTCAGGGACAAGGAAGCGCGCGTACAAGGCTGGACAGGAGGGGCGCCAAAGGACTTGAGTCGAGTGGCATGCGAAACGTACCTGGTTGGCTGAATTTTTGGCTTTGGGGGTGAATTTTTCGGGGATTGGCTCCTGGTCTAAGTCGAGGCGAAGCTTTCTGATAGGCTTTTGACTCGAGTGTCACGATATGAGCTTGAAATCGCCTCCAAAGAAGCTATGACGCGTTGCGCGATAGGTTGTTTGGTATTAGGGCGAAAGTGCGACGCGGTTGAGCAACTGGCTTTTGCTGTGGTCGCGCTGGGCTGATGCGATGCGATGCGTGCGGTCCGGAGCGCTGCGGTCAAACAGGCAGAGACGGGAGAAATGCTCTTTTCCGCAGGTTGCTTCAGTCACCTGATAAGAGAGCAGTTGGGTTTGCTACTGATATTGGCCAATAGACAAAGATGCTTGGTCGGAGGATAGCGAGAAGTCGAAGTCGACGATGATAGGACCTCTCTGAGCGGATTCCAAGTCGCGAACAATTCACGACTGTTGGGTGAATGGTGAGTGGTGAAATGTGAGTGGTGGTGTCAGGTCGGGGGAGACGTTTGGAGAGTTGAGGGAGGGACGTGAGTGGTCGCAAGAAAAAACCGAGCTGATTTGCTGGGTTTTGTGGGAGGGCGGGTTTTTTCTGGCTTTTGGCTCGTTGGATTCGCTGGAGCTTTTCCTTTTGGCGAACCGGGGCCCTTTGGCACTTTGTACGCCTGTTTCGGAGGGTCAAGAGGGTCGAGAGGGAAAAAAAACCAAGCAAAAGGTGCGTGGATCCTAAAGACACGAGTGTGAGTGTGTGGCGTCGGCGGAAGATGGGTCACCTTTTTTTTTTCTTTTCTTGCTGGGATCAGGTGGGCCTAAGGCTGCGAAGAGAGGGGGTGGGTTTAACAGCAGTAAAGACGGAAGGAGGGGAAAGGAAGAAAGGCCAGGGCGAAAAAGGCGAGGAAGGCAAGGCAGCCAGGCAGAAGAGGGGTAGGGGTGGGGTGGGGTGGGGGGGTATGGTAGGTACCTATGCTGACGTTGACGTCGCAGTGAGGGAAGGAAGGCAAAGCAGAATGAGAGGGTAAGAACGGGAGGTGAAGGTGAGGGAGGAAGTCCTGGCAAAGTCGTACCGTGCTGGTGGAGGTGGTGGTGGTGGTGGTGGTGGTGGTCCAACTTACAGCAATGGAAGGTACAGAGCACACACGCCCCCTCCCGTGTTGTAATTATCTTCTTTCCACTTTCTCAGAACGTCGTCAGAAGTGCACCAGACCAGACAGGAAGTTGGGCTGGCAATAACAAAGTGGCAGAGTCGGGAGGCAGGGCCGGGCAGAGCAATGTCGCGTCACTGCCTTTTTTCTTTCTTTCTTGGGTTGAGTCGTCGTACTCTGCGCTGGCTGTCTTATTCTTGGACGTCTTCCCACCGCGGTGTTCTAGCGGTGTGTGTAAGTGAAGTACCGTAGAAGAAGGATAGAGTGCGCGCGGGCGTTGTGCTCGGTGATGCGTTGCGTGCCGCTGACGGCTTGCTTGTTTGCCTGCCTGCCGCGCTATGGGTTTCCCCTCACTGTTGCTGTAGACCTTTTCTGCTTTTCTTCACGTCTCTCTTTTTTGATTCTTCGCGCGCGTCTCTTCGCAGCTATGCTATCGTACGCACGCCCTAGATGCAAGATCGGTAGAGTCTTCAAATGCGGAGCGGATAGGCTTAGCTGGTGATTGGCGACCGATTGATTTGATGGTCGAGGATCCAATAGAATGACACCAGCTTGGGCGACCCTGGTGTCTGTTTCGAAGTGCTGCTGAGGGACGAAAGCTGATTGAATGATTCGACTCGCTCACTCTCTTGCTGCTTGCTCTCTCTCTCTCTCTCTCTCTCTTCCCACCTTTTTTTTTCTGCCTTCGCACCTTGTCACGTTTGGGTGGGTCAAAGAGTATTGATTGGTTGGGGCGGAGGAAAAGGTGGAAGACGAGGGAGAATTCTGAGCCATGATTTGAGGGGCGGGACCATTAACCCTTTAACATCTCTGACTGGCTGAATCAGCGGGTCTTAGTGGGGCCGTGGATGTGGCTGGCGTCGCTGTCTTCGCTTCTGATTTGCTGTCATGACGTGATCTTGAGCTGGGTCTACTGCGTTCACACCCCTTCGTCTCTGGCAGAGGAGAAGGAGGGGGTGTGCTTTGGAACTGTGGGAAGGAGTGGGCCTGTCCAGTAAGGCATCCAGTCATTTTCTCATCCTCCCGTCGCTCCTTCATTCACTGCTTGTCGAATTTCCAGGCCTTGGGGTTTTGAGTGCAAGAAAGCCAGGTGCAGAAGTGCCTCCCACTTCCCTAAGTACTCGGCGTACTCTAACTGAGGACTGAGATTCCTCGACTTCGTGCCGAATATCTCCGTTATGGTCAACAAGTCGGCATCTTCCAGTGTGACATTGATAGTATCCGTGGAAAGTCTGAATTCCTGAACATGGCTCGTCCTTTTCCGTTTACTGCGGCCTTGTTCCTTTTTTTTTTTCTCTTCCTCCGAGCTCCCGGCGTCTGCCTGTCAACCTCTTTGATTTTCTGCCCTGGCTCTCGAACTCTGGACTTTTCCGCATGGGGCAAAGTCTCCATCTGCCACGTTACTTCAGCACTTCCCTCTTTTAAAAGCAAGGCTGCACACACCAGCGACGACCAAAAAGATGAGACGAGGAGGGACTCATCGCACCGCTGTCGCTCAATGCCCATCCCGACCTCCCGACAGGATGACCACTTCTTGTCCATGCTGACCCAAGCTCTAACACGACGCGCGATATGTGGTAGACTGCTCTGCGTTCTCCTGAAGCTCTACGACCTAGAGGTAGGTAGGTATTGAGGCGGACCCTACTGCACTGTACCTTGGGCTACAGCCTACCTCACTAAGCCTCTCTTCCGTCTTTTCATTTTTCCAGCCGTGGTTTCATAGCATGGGCCGCATGGCAGCGGTATGCGTGTACGGTGTGGGTGACGCAACAAACCAGCCGGTCAGCGTCGGCACTGAAGCGAAAACCTGATCCATCTGTATCATCCAACACTCCGAGGAATGAAGCCGATCGACAGGTTGTGAGCTGGCACCTAGCAGTGCCTAATTTTAGTGACCGACGATTCACTCGGGGCTGCGCATCTTCTGTCTTCCGCCTTCAACGCTGCCAGGCTGCCAGGCTGCCTCATTTTCCTCGCCGCGACGGGCGACGGGAGTGGGACACCACGGACAGTGCGAGCATGGGTGCAATGGAAAAAGAGCAAGAAAAAGAAGAGGCGGTGACGGCTGTTCTGCTTTGCCCAGTGCCGCCAACTGCTCTGCTAGCCTCCCTCGGCTGTTGGCTTTGGAACGGTGAGGGGCAAAAGAAGGTCAGGTTGACGAGCGACGGGGAGGCTGGGAAGACGACGACCTGATGACTTGGGACATTCGAATTGGAGTCCCCAAGGGTACTGCTGCCGGATGTGATATCGTTTCCAATATCTGGCAACATATGGCAAAAAAGCCTCAATCTCAGTACCAGCGCTTAATTGTCACAGGCCGGCTATGGTACTCTCATTTCAAACGACCGGGTGGAATTCCGTATCACTGTTTCCAAGTTCCATGGGCCATGGCAAGATCACCAGCTCCAAGCTTACTGCTGCCGGTACGGAATACCTACGGATACTGTTGCTACTGGTCCCGATGCGGACCGACGGTTTGCGCTGGTTGGCAGCTCGCCAGGGGAGGGGCTCAGAGCTCACACTGTCGATCGGTTGGGCTGGACTATTGGTGCGGGCTGGGATACCCCCCTGCAACTGCGACGCGACTGTCTGTCTCCGGGTTTCCTGTCCCAGCTCCCTCCGCGCCGCATCACACACCTTTCTTCTTTTCGCAGCTTGGGACAGCACAGCCAGATATTGCGAGGATCCACCTTCAGCCACTTCGGCCCCACGTGACACACCGCATAATTTTCTGACGAAATATTCCATGACTTTGGGTTTCTGAAGCAGCGCTTCCCTGACGAGCCGGTCTGTTGTGCAGGTACGTACCTGCATCGTCCCTCACAGGCTCCCACCCTCCTCGAGCAACGCGAGCGGGGAACTTTGGAATGGCACTCATGAACCAAGGAAGCTCAGAAGACGAGGATGGTAATTACACCAAGTCCCAGCTCTATAGTTTTCGTGCAGAGGACTTCATCCAGTATTCAAGGCTTTGGCATCGGCAAAAGCCTGTAAGAGGAAGCTACGCATTGCAAGCGCAATTGTCGAAAAGCATCAGTATCCAACCTTGCCGACAACGGACTATTCGTACGCTACTCCGTACCTACACAGCATACGCGGTTGAGTCCGTGTTTTCGTACCGCATCCAGTGCGAGGTCTCCGTCCCGAGTGACTCGGAGTCACGAAACCTGCATCCGGCCGCTCGGAGATAGCTACTTACAGAACTCTGACTGCAGCAAGGACATGCAGCTTGAGTATCAAAGGCTTGGTGTCTCACGGGCTGACAGTCGCAGTGGGGTTGCCCGGGTGCATCGGTCGTTGCACTCGCTCGAGCAGCAGCAGGAAGCACAGCATGCTAGCAACAACGCGGGGAGTGAGAGACTATGGCAGCTGTATAGAGTACCCACGGAGCACAAATACAGGAGTACGGATATAGCCTGATAGGCAGACATCTGCTCACTCCTCGTGTCTGCCCCGTGCTTGGAATGATGCGCGAGATCAGGTGAGCAGCGCCAACAAGCGACCTAGGTGAATCCGGCCGCGCTGGTGATCCGTCATGAGCTGAGAACCAGAAATTGGAACGTCGCAACAGATCTCGACCATCTATCCGTTGATGGAGAGCCTCCGCCTCATGCTCGCACGCATCGAGTAGCGGGCGAACGTCGTGATGCGACAACGATTGGACCAGAATTCGCCTCAAACGGATTACTTGAGTGGTTGGAAACACATCATTTCTGCAGCTGCCTAATGGTCAGCTGTCTCTCTTGCACGATTCGAGTGGGTGAGAAAGCGTCACGCCTTTCCCGGGGTACACAGACATTGAGCCAGTCTGAGGGCAAATGACCAGGGCTGAGGGGACAAACCACACGCTACCTACGCTACTCTGCCACTCCCGTCGCCCGGCATTTACTATCAACGTCTATCAATGCTCGATCTGGCGTGACAGGCTGACAACATCTCGGACGAGGGCCACCGTCAGTCTGGGAATGCCGAGCCTCCTTGATGTTACAGCTATCTTGACCAACGTTCTGGAGGCACATCTCCCTGCCTGCACTGACACAGGAATCATAAGCGCTTCAGACCCCTTTTCGTGAAGCCGTGCGGTCACTGCGGTCTAGACTCTAACTGGAACCGAGCTTTGACACGGCTCACTTCTCACCCATCACGTTGGCGGTTATGCGACCAAGGTATCCGTACTTCCGTACAGATACATCCTGCCCAACTTCGCCTGGTCGCCTTGCCAGCTGCCGTCGTATGTTTACATTGGGTTCAGATGTGGCTTTTTGCCTGAAGCGCCTAATCAGCCGTCCCTCAACAGCAAGAACATCCGTCAACCGAGCTATTCTCATTGATCCGGCAGAAGAGATGTTTGTTGCTGCTGCTGCTGCTGCTGCTGCTGCTGCTGCTGCTGCTGCTGCTGCTGCTGCTGCTGCTGCTGACGCTAGGCGATGGTCAATAAGTAATCTCCCGTTCGTTCATGGCCGAGGGACAGAGACGCGTATGCCTCTGAGAGACCATGAGCAACTTCCGCACTTTCCCGGGCAAAAGTCAAGACAACAGCGTTTGCTAATAAGTTTGGGAGAGAATCCGTGCCTTGCTCCCAAAGCGCAGGACACAGACGTTCTCGCACGGAGGACGTCTGATGTCTGCTGAATTCTATCTTGTTGCGTCTATGGCGCAATTCCGTCCCAGGGCGCTCCCGCACGTCGTGCGATCGACTTACGGCCCATCTTGTTTTGTCACCAGGCTCCGGTCTCTTTCGGCCTTCATATACTCTAAACGACATGAAGAAAACGAATACCGGTATCCATGATATCTCTCGAGTTTCGCGCCAGACGCGGCTCAAAATCAGTGGCACCGTTACACTCTCAGTACCTACGCGCCCGTTCCAATCATTCCATTTCCCGATTCTGCAATCAGCTACCCCTCCACCCCGGTCGCAAGAAGGGATCTCCCGCATCTCTCTCGCGACGAATGAGGACCGTTTTCTTGACCTCTGCTTTCCCATTCGGCGCATCACAAACCCCTCCATCCTCGAAATCTAGCACCACGCCACGATCCCTTCCCCCTCCTTCTCCCCCTTCTCTCTTACAGTCTACTCGTCCACTGCGCTAACTACCCGCTCGTAGTGGATGTATGTCTCTTGTTCCTGGCGCTGAACTTTGAATGACGCGGGGCGCCCCTAGACAAAGCCGGCGCGATTTATCAACGGTTGATGAACGAATGCGCCGACGCGTCGAGCATCTGCGTTTCCAGAAAGCCCGTAGGCGCGCTTTTGTTGGTCATTATTGCTGCTTGCACCCCGGCGCGCGTGATGATTCGTGCTACCATCCGTCTTTCCGGGTGCGCCGGCGAAGCTTACTTCGTGTATTATGGTTTACGGATATCTACGGCGCTTGCTATGGACCGTTCCACTCCCATTTAATGGCTGCAGAGATGTTACGGGATACCGTGCTGGTCGTCTCTTATTCCAAGGGTCCGTTTGCCTTTCTCTGCTGATATCCACCTTGGACGCCTGCTACTGTGATTGTGACAGATGACGGTTTTTGGATGGACATAAGAGACGTCTAGTTGGACGAGATCCCAAACCTACTAGGGGCGAGTCGCCGTCTTGTGATCGTAGAGTTGTACCCTTTTATCATACCAGCCTTTGCATGCAATGTTTTCTCTGCGAACCAAGGCCCGGCGATCGGCTGCCGCTGCCAAGTTTCTGATTGCTACAGCGGACCCGGGCTTCACGCCGATAGGCGACCAGGTTTCCTGGCACCCGGCCTGTTCCAATGACTGTACCACAAGCACGACCGATCCATCACCTGGCTAGCTTTCCGATTTCGGGTTTCGCGTCATATGCAAAATTGACATTTTCCTTAGACCACTTTGATGTCTGCTCCAAGTCAGATACTCCGTACACAGCAAACAAAGAAAGCCCAGCGGGAACCTGTCAGTCGGTCAACAAGGTAGTTAGAGTAACAAAAGGCAGTGGAAGGCAAAAGATTCCGAAACCGAGAATCGAACTCGGGGCTATGCCTAACCTCTCACAGAGATGAGAGGGCATCATGTTGGCCACTACACCATATCGGATGTTGATGTCAATTCTCTGCGAGTTAGGCAATAGGAATGGTGCGCAGAATGACTGGAGACAGCCCCGGTGAATGTGGAGATATCTGCGCGGATTCCGAGCCGTTGAGTGGCTCCTCTTTATGTCGACCGGCTAGATGCCTGCGGGTTTCCGCTCAGAGTGGGCGGCTGCCCCGTTTGCGGGTTAATCGAGGGTTCGAAGTCTGGTTCCTGAATCATTTGAGTAGTTTATCCTGGGCTAAGGTAGAGAGAAGGCGTTTTCGCATTCGTGTGTTAGCACAAGGTATTGCTGTAATTTGTAAACTTGCAAAGACAACGTAGGCAATGTTTCCAACTGAGTGTGAGAACCGTGCAGGTTACATATGATGCTGAAGATGTGCACTAAATCACCGGCTCTTCAACTTTGAGAAGCCGGTGGTCTCGAGGATAAAGAGTTGTCAACGAAAGTTGTTGTCTCACATACCCAGTAAACGCTGAATATGGTTCTCGGCCTTTTCAATTTACTGCATGACCATGTCAAAGAGACTGTGCTTACAGCTTCGTAACGAATCTCGAAAGCATGAGAACCTTCGATAAGAAGCTATGAGTTCAACGGGCAGGAAGCTATCGATTAAGCATGAAAAGGAAGCAAGTCTGGAAGAAAAGTCTTGCTTTGCTATATCCGAGTCTTAGCAGGGAGGTTACAGTATGGTAAATAAGGTAGTTCAACTACCAGAAGCTTTGAACCGCCTTGCATACAGCGCTGCAAAGCCTAGATCTACGTGTTTCTGGTGAACATGTTCATATTCAAGAGCTTTGATTGATTTCTTTCTCTAAAGCCTACATGTACACTTCAATGGTGCACCATCGAGGAAGTCTTAGTTCTAATCTTCATTCGATTCTGATGGCACTTTCTTCCGCGTGTAGTGACATCGATAGTCAATGTTTTAAAAAAAACCCTAGTTATCTAGAGTTTGATGAGTGAATGGTAATTTTCAGCAGGGTTTATCATTGTCCAGCAAGGCTTTTGGGATCTCAGCGATGTTCAAGACGGTAGGTTGAGAAGTTGCAACTGAAACAAAGCCAGTGAAGCCATAGAAGAGTGAATACGATAGTCGTCTTTCACTACAGCTACAAGATCACGTGGCAGAGCTTTTGACTGTGCCTTACAATGAGAAACTCTGTATCCAGTTCAGGGCAGCAGCGGCTTGAGAAAAGTACCTAGTAAAATATCGCGATACTTTCACGACACTTTATAACCCCGACCAGAAGAGCTTGTATTCCCTCGCGCGCGGCGGGCACGCGCCAAGTCAACATGACAGCTCGGACTCCGTTTACGATAATTACAGCATGCCATCGAGGCTATATTGACAACCTTGCGTCAATACCGCTAGTCAAAGCTTAAAAGGACTCTGTGGAGCCGGCCAAGTCATTTGCACCGTTTACTGTCAACGTCAAAGTTTCCTTCCAGATTAATAATAATCTCATTCATTCTGTAGTCCGGCATTCTGCTCCCAACCCTTGAGAGCTAGTGCGCCCGTGGCCACCATTAGCGGTCGCTTCGGGTGTCATGACAACTTACACGGTAACCGGGGGCTGTGAAGGATGCGGAACTTTGCCTGGTTCGGCACTCGTAAATGCCCGCCATCTCGACTTCCGGGTCGTCCGGCCGTACCGGCGCAGGTTCTCTAAGAGAGTTCATGGCCCTGGGAAATGGTTTGGTAGGAGTAAATCAATAAATATAAGGTAGCTGTGAGTCTCGGAGAACACGCTTGCATCCTCTCTTCTTGAGTCTTTCCCACGAATACGTGCCGCATAGCTAAATAATCTCTAATACGGCGTGCACTTGTCAGTATTATCATCCAGTTCAACTACAGTCATTCCTTACCCCTTCCATTTTCACGTCATGAAGTTCAACCAGCTCGCCTCGCCCGCCTGGGCTCTCCTGCTCTCCCAAGCCGCAGCGAAGCCCTGCGCCGAGGCCAAGATCGACGTCGACGTCGCAATCATCGGCGGCGGCAGCGCCGGCATCCATGCCGCGATCCAGCTCAAAGACGCCGGCGCCAAGATCGCCGTCATCGAGAAGAAGTCCCAGATCGGTGGCCACGCGGAGACCTATATCAACCCGCAGACCAAGGTTCCGGCCAACGTCGGTGTCGTCCTCCTTGAGAACCGGGAGATTGTCAGCAACTACTTCTCCCGCCTCAACGTCTCGACCATCAAGGCCAACCCGCTCACCAGCGCCACCACCGGCGCGTCAAAGAGCTACGACTTCTCGCTCGGCTTCCCTATCCCTGCGCAGAATGCCTCTGCCACGGCCGGGCAGCAACAGGCGCTCCAGGCTGCCGCGCAGGCCTACTCGACCAACGTGCTGGCCAAGTACCCCTGGATCGATCAGGGCTTCCTCGTTCCCGACCCCGTGCCGGAGGAGCTCACGCTCCCCTTTGCGGAGCTCGCTCAAAAGTACAACTTCACGGCGCTCCTGACCGTCATCGCCCAGTTCAACTGGTGGACCGGGGACATCTCAACGATCCCGGCACTGTACGGCATCAAGGGCCTCGGGCCCGGTCTGCTCCAGAGTCTCTTTGGCGAGTTCATCCTCTCCGGCAACGGTGATACCCGGGCTCTGTACGACGCCGCCGCGGCGGAGCTCGGCGACAGTGTCCTCCTCAACTCCGACATCCTCAAGGTGAAGCGCGACGTCAAGATCGACGAGGACACCACCTCGGGCGTCACCGTCCTCGTCCAACAGCCAGGCCAACCCAAGAAGCTCATCCGCGCCCGCAAGCTCCTCATCGCCATCCCCCCTATCATGGAGAATGTGGCCAAGTACGACCTCAGCTCGGACGAGCACGCCCTCTTCTCCAAGTTCTCCGCCCTCGGCTACTGGGCTGGCGTCGCCACGATCCCGGGCCTGAACACCAGCCTCACCAACGTCGGCGTCCAGACCCCTTTCAACCAGCCCGTGATCCCCGGCACGAACGGCTTCAACACGGCCGGGTCCCCCAACGACTTCCTCGTCGCCGTCGGCTTCCAGGATACGAACTACACGGAGGCGGACGCCAAGGCCGTCCTCGTCAAGAACCTGGCTACGCTGGCCGCCGTCGGCGCCGTGCCTCAGGATGCGGCGCAGACGGTCACGTTTCCCTATGTCTCGGACCACAAGCCCTACAATGTCCGCGTCTCGACCGAAGAGATCAAGAGCGGGTTTTACGGGAAGCTGCTTGCTTTGGAGGGAGCGCGCAACACGTACTGGGCTGGCGCTACGTTCTCTGGCCATAACAGCGCGCTGGTGTGGTCGTTCAATGAGGGAACGGTTTTGCCAGGTTTGAAGAAGGATCTTGGTCTGTAATCAAGAAACACTCTTACTAGGTAGCATGGCGAAGGAGGTTGGAAATATGAAATGGGCATATTAGAGCTATGGCTGAAGGCCTTGGCCCCCAGCCCACATAGAATAATCATCTCAGGATCAATTTCTGCGCCACTCTGGTAGCTCTTTTGGGGTCAAGGGATACGATAAACGCGTGCTTTGCAAGTCCATCGTCCCAGCCATGACAAAGGAGTCAATTACAACTCTTTGTACGCTCTGGTCCACG